TAAATAAAGGATAAAATTGTTCTACCGAAAGACAAAGAGAAATTTCGCATAATCTCGGGATCCTTGGATAAAACTCTAAATTCCGCCGTTTTTGGTGCAATTATGGGCCTGAAAGCGGCGATAATTTTAGTTCTTTTTGTATTTTCGACCGATTTTTGTCACCACCGCACACCTATTTGGACGAGCACTTATCAGATTTATTCATGAAGAAATTTTACCTCTTCTTCAATTATTCTTTAAAATATGAGGGACTTGGACAAAATTTCACATGAATGCGATGAGACGACGTATCCATGCGATGGGGAAAAATAACAATTTTAGACGCGAATATGGGCATAAATTATGCCGCATAATTAATGCCGTTTGTAAATGGCGGATTGTTGAACTCTGGTTCCAGTGAGCTCATTCCCACGTAAATCAAAAAAGTCATTCAAAGACTCAGCCGTCGATTCTGTTGTTATTCGAACAACATCCGATACATCAAGTTGATATGTATAGCTTCCGAAGCAGTTTTCCACTAAATAGTACGTTAACAATTATGATGGACATCCATTTTTTATATTCCGAACCATAAATTCGACTAAAATATCTTTCAATCGGATTTAAAATTTTGGATTTTGGGGTTATATTTTCAAAAACTTTTTTCAACTCTCGATTTCAAATAGCGGATAGCGGGCATGCCAAGACAATATTTATATCTCTGTTTTTCATGTTATATCTATTGCTGTTAAGGCTTTCAAAAATGTATCTTCTTCCTGCCACGTGAGCTACACGAAAATCGAAAAAATGAATTCAAAAACTCGACCAAAACCAAACCGTGGTGGGGGTCCTTAGACATGGTTGTAGAGAGGAAGGCGATTTAGGGGAAATAAGATATGATGCGTAGGTTTTGAAACCTGTGTAGAAAATCTGAGTCACGGTCTATAAAAAGTCGCATATTGTCAATCTATTTATATATTCGCGGCTTAAATTTAAAAATTAAATTAAAGACTTTAAGGACTTTGACTCAGGTTTTCCACGCAGCTCGGCATCCTGAGTCAGGTTCGGAAGAGGCTCTTCCGAAGAGGTAAAATGAAAGGTCACTCGGCCAATCTTTTTATCCTTTGTTTTAGCTCCAAGTAGTAGTATGAAGAAAATAATGTTAGAAATGTTATTTTATATAATTAATTAATAGATTAATTACTTACATCTCCATATTTGAGGATTTGTACCGCCACCAGTTTGACGTGATGTAGCGTAATAATGTCTGTTAAAGTTTTTAATGAGAACTTTATCTCCTGCTTCTGAATAGCCAACCACGTGGTCATATTTTTGATCCTGGTATTCGATCAAAAGTTGATTCACTATATTACTATTCGTGCACTCATCGTGCAGCTTATAACCATGGTAGCGAATCACTAGTAATTTATTCGGATCATCTGTTGTTCGATATTGAAGACTGTTCGCTCGGAAATGATCGGCGTTTATAGCCCCAAAAAAGGACAAAAAAATGAAGTATCTTTTCATTCTCGAGTATGTCATGACTGAATCCTCTGCACATCGTTTTTATACCGGCTTGAGGATTATAAGCGCCTTATCAGGTTTCACGTTAAAATAGAGCCTCACTGAGGGTCCTTTTTTTTAGAAATAAGAAAACCTGACAAGCCCGGATGAAATCGAAAAATGAAGAATTTGAAGCGCGGAATCAAATTGATCGTTTAAACAAACTGCGATTGCTTTTTATGAAAAAAAGGAAGCGTTCGAACCTTATGCTCGGTGATGCGCTGAAAATTTAATCACAATCTGCATTGGATTAAAAGACTTAGGGCAGAAAGGCATAATTGAGTTTCACGTAAAGACAGTGCCCTTCGAATTCACGTTTTCTGTAAAAAAATGAAATTAGCTTGAATGTTGAGTAGTGTCCGAGATTTCAGGAATCCCCCCCTGATCCAAAAACTTTTTTGAAAATTGTTTTTTCTTCATTCTTGAATACTTATTCAGTCCAAAAATCAAGGTGCTCAGGGTGATCGATAGAAACCTTAGATACACCCTTAAGGGGTAGTATCAATTTTCTTATGGAGTTTTTATTGCCTGTAAGACATTAACTTTGCCGTTTATTGGATTTTACGCAAATGAGGATACCCTTAATCACTTTTTATAATTTTGAGCTAAGATAAGCTCGTTAAGTTGAGCATCGCAAAATTTTCTTCTAAGCTAGCTAAGCTGTGAACTGACACTCCCAGAAAAATTGCTAAGCTAGCTTAGCGAAGCTGAGTTTTTTTTTGGCCTCAGCAAAGCTATTTTTATCTATACAAGCTTGTTTCTGCCAGATTTTCAGTTAAAACTGCTGAAGAATTTCTTCGTAATATTTTCATTTTATTTCACGGAGTAAATTTACGAAATCAGTGAATATACATTTTGCTCCGCCCTGCTCTCGAGCGTCAACAGCGACACAAGTGCTCGAAGCTTTATTGGAATTTATTATGGGTTGAAAATTTGATGATTCCAGACAATTTTTATTTTCTTTGAATAAAAAAGATGATTTTTTGACTATTTTCAGTACAACCATCTCTGCGTCTCCTATTTTTTCAGGTAAATCTTGAGCTAATCTTTATAAAAAACCCTTCTCGTTGAAAATTCCTTTCTATTTTAACGCCAAAATGCATATCGACCAATTTTTGATAACGATTTGATAATTTTAATGACAGCAAAAGCTTTTCTGTAACAGACAACAGTTGTCTTTAATTTGGGGAGGTGTCTGGAACCGACAAAAAAACTTCAACAAATTTTGCGTGGAAATTTTCAACCAATCAGAAGCCTGGATTCGGCAAACCGGGGAATCAGCAACCGAGTTGCCGCCCACGCAAAATTTGTCGAAATTTTTTTGTCCGTTCCAGACACCATCCCGTTAATTTTGTGGTTGTAGTCAGCATTTCATTAAAAATTCTTTATAAAGCACTGATGAAGGCGAGATTGCCAAAAAGCTTCTGCTGTTGTAGGGGTTTTACTCTCTCTATCTCTGAGTATGCGAACAAATAATGACACGGTATTTCGAGGAAAAGAGTAAACTTTATTAGAGCTTTGTTTGACCACAGGGTAAAATAGAGTGGTGGTGAATGCCTTGCGGCGCGCAGTTTTATAGGGTGAGACGTGGGCTCTTTGGCGCCCAACGATCTGTCTCAGAACGGAAGTGGGGTGAGTCGTACCAGAAGTCTCTGTGAGCAGTAATTTCGGAAGAGTATAGACCTTACATAATCCTTCCCCCTTTTATTAGAGCATTAGTTCTGGGTTGGATTATCCTGTTGACCAAGCTCGTCGAAGAGTTGTGAGAGTCCGCCTTGACGTGGATCATCTTCAACGCTCAGAAGCCAGTCCATGAACTCTTGATTTGGTTCGAGAGAAAGGTCAGCATCAGAAATCGGGAGTAGCGACATGACGTCATCGTCGTTTGGTTAGTCGTTATTTATGAAGTTTTCAGATGGTGGTAGTTGAGGATTTGGAATCGGTGAGTCTTGGACTGGAGTTTCTTGAGTAGCCGAGTCAATTCCATAATTATTCATCTCAATATTACCATCCATTGTTCCTTGTGATGTTTGATTTCCAATCTGTGAGTATTGCGCGAGAGTATTTTCATGATTCGAGGCAATCATAGATGTATTTTCCATTGTCGCAGCAATTGGTGAGCTTGCAGTTGAAGAGTCTTCGAGAGTATTTTCATGATTCGAGGCAACAATAGATGAATTCTCCATAGTCGCATCAATCGGAGAGCTTGTAGTTGAAGAGTCTTCCAATCCAGAGTCTTGTACTGGCGAGTCTTCCAATCCAGAGTCTTGTACTGGCGAGTCTTCCAATCCAGAGTCTTGTACTTGCGAGTCTTCAACTGGTGTAAGAACATAGTTGAGTTTTGGGGTGAGAGAGTATTCAAGAGCTTCTTTCCATGTTTCTTCAAACTTATTTAGTTCATCTTTGCAGTGTTGTTTGATCATTCCTACGGATAACTTTTCCAGCGTTTTCCAGAAGACACGTTTGCATTTGAAGAATTTTTCGAAGTTGTCTAGTATTTTCGACTCGTGACCTTCACGAAAGCATGAGATGATAGTCGAGTGAATAATCCACTTATACAAGTCTGATTCTTTCTGATTATAGTTGTAGACTTCATAATCAGTGTCTCGCGAGTATTCTTCGATTTTCTTGTGAGTCTCTCGAATCAACCGTAGGAGTTCTTCGATTTTTCTTTGTCTTCTTTTTCCAGATACTGTCGATCAACCTCTATTCCGAAGATCATTGGAAGGCAGTATCTCTGAAACTTGATTTTGATCGTTGATTTTTGAAAGTAGAAACAGTGATCATGTACAGAAGACATCTTTTTGAGTGAGCATCATATAGCATGAATGTTTCCGATGTGAGGTCTGTTAATATTTAACTTGTGCGTATCTTCCTTCACCGAAGATGTGATAAGTCCATTTTTATCGCTGTCGCCATGAAGTCGGAGCAGTTTTCGGAACAGCGTTGAGTACCAGCAAAATGTCACAGCGCTGGGTAATTTTGAAGCGTTAGCCAGGAAACATTTGTCGCTGCGTGATTATTTGTTCTTCACTTGAGATCTCCGAACAAATTTTGTTTTATACGTGTTGTTGTGAAAGAGAGAGTTGCCAAGTCTCTAATTTCTTCTTTGAGGATATAATGTTTCGATTTTTGACCATCAGTAAGGCCTGTTTGATGAGCAAAATACGATGTCGAATATTCAGAAGATGAAATTGCCTGAGTGATTGAACCTCTTAACGTGTGAACTTGACGTTGTGAGCTGACATTTGAGCGTGGCAGTTCCGGTTCATCTTTATTTGAGAATCATCAATCTCTGGGTTCTTGCGAGCATCCTTCATGATGATAGATTTGAACTTTCCCATTGTTTACGTAAACTTGAGTGAACATCAGGTCTTGAGTATTTTAGAGATGTTTTAACACGTGAGAGTCTGAGCAAGCCAAGAGAGGCGTACCTTCCCCCTTTTTATTTTGAGCTGTCACTTTCTTGGTCTGAGACGTTTTGACCAGGTATCTTCTTCCTTGAAAAGACTTTCCAGATCCAGTGAGTCTTGAGATTTGCTTGTTTCAGGAAGCTTTTGTTTAGGAGCATCGTCATCTGTGATGTCAGCATTTCCCTTTATTTCCTCGTTCGTCGTGATATTCGCCTTGATCTCTTTTTCATCAAAGACTTTTAATGGACGAATATTTTGAAGATGGCGGCGATATGTGCGTTTTGTCTTAGGACACATTAGAATATATGAGTCTTTTGAGATTCGATTTTTGACGTAGAATGGACCATCCCAATTGATACCAAGTTTTCCACTTGTGTGATCAGGCTTGTACGTCAACACCTTTGTTCCAATTTTGAGGACAGGAGCGCTGTTTTTGTCATTCATTACAAGCTTGTTGTATCGATCCATGTGAAGTCGCATTAATGATGGGTGAAGTTCACGTAAATACTCATTCAGAGCCTTCACGAAGGGCTCTCTTTTTCCATCAATTGAGTCAATCTTGTAGGGAACGTGAAATGACCGACCAAAGACGCATTCGTTTGGTGTGAGAGAATCCAATGTTTCTCTTGGAAGGTTGTTCATGTGATAACACGCTTCAGGCCACTTAAGCGACCAATTTCTACTATTTCCGCCAAGAGTTTTGATGAACTTTGCAATGTCGCGATGTGATCGTTCAACTTTTCCATTTGACATACTTCGGTAAGCAGTAGTTGTGACGTGAGTGATTTCAAATCGTTGCAATATTTCTTTACAGAGAGGCCCAAATTCTTTACCGTTGTCAGACACAATGACACCATTGATACCATGGCGGAGGATGAGCTTGAGGAGTCCTCGAGAGACGAGAGCATCGCTTTTGCTGTGAAGTGGTTCGCCATCCAGGTATGAGGTGAGCTCATCGATACATGTGAGTAGATACCTCTTGTTAGTTGAATCTTGTCTGTAGAAGTCAACCAAGTCGATGTGAACTTTTCTGAATGGAGTGGACTCGTAAAATCTATTCGGAATCATGCTTGGTTTGAGTTTCTTCTGAGGTTTGATCCGGAGACAGGTTGCGCAGCTTGAGGTTATTGAGCGAGCACGATCTTGAACCTTGTGGATATAGAATCGTTTGACCAGATTCATGAGGGCTTTGCATCCACAGTGAGCTGTGAGAACATGGAGATAATTCAAGAATTCATTCGAAACCGATTCTGGGAGAACGATTCGATTGTCAGCAAACAAAACACCGTTAGTTTGTTTGAACTTCTTGGATGGATTTTTCTTCGATTTTTCAATGAGATTTCGAGTATTTTGACACTCAAACTGAAGTTTTGCCATTTCTTCGTACGTGAAGGAACGATTTTCGAATTCAAAAATTTTTCTTGAATCGTCTGGTTTGATGAGCGCAAAGATTGTGTCAGATGGTTCTTCGAAACCTTTTGCTCCTTTTTCTAATTGTGATGAGTGTGAATTTGGGATTCTGCTGAGAGCGTCTGCGGTTGCCATAACCGGATCGTGGCCAGGTCGATGCAGAATTTTGAAAGAGAAATTCTGAAGATAGTGCTGAATTGTCGCAAGTCGATTGTCGAGAGCTTTCTTCGAGTGCTCTTTGTAAAGGTATAAGAGACTATTGTGATCCGTTATTGCTGTGAATTCCACTCCGATTAGATAGTATTCGAAGTATTTGATATTTTCCATTAGAGCGATCAATTCTTTTTCTCTCATGGATCTCCGGCTGTCTGTTTTGTTGAATGGTCTTGAGAAGTATCCAAGTGTTGTGAAGGTTTGATCATCCTGACATTGATAAAGACAACCACCCATGGCATGTCCACTCGCATCGGAGACAACAGTGAGGGGTGCATCAGTTTTGAAGTGACCAAGAGAGGGTCTTTCGAGAAGTTTGTTGCGAATGATTTCAAAGGCGGTTTGATGTTCTTCTTTCCAATCGAAGTTGACCTTTGAGCTTGTTAGTTGATACAGAGGACGTAAGATCAGTGAAGCATCTTTGTATTTGATGTTGTAGTTGATCATTCCAAGGACTCGTTTGAGCGATTGTCTATCCGTTGGAGGCTGAAGATCTTTGATGCATTTGATATGTTTGTCCGTGAGCGTGATTCCTTCTTTCGATATCCGATGTCCAAGAAACTCAGTGGATGACTTGCAGAGAATCATTTTCTTGGTATTCAGAAGAAGTCCATTATCGATACACTTTTGAAATACAAACCTCAATGTTTGTAAATGCTCCGTGAAATTACTATTGAGAATGATAATGTCATCCAAATAGATGAGGATATTTGGGTGATTGAAGAGTCTGTCCATGACCCTCGAGAACGCTGCTGGTGCAGTACTTGTTCCGTAGAGCATTCTATTTGAGCAATAGTGTTTCGAGTTGTATGAGAACGCGAGTTTCTTCGTATCGTTATCAGCGACTCTGATTTGCCAATAACCTCTCGAGAAATCGACTTGTGAGAAGTAGCATTCTTTTCCACTTGTGAGTTTTTCTCCAATTCTTGTGAATATTGTGCTGAGATGTGGTATCGGGAACCGATCGGATACCAGAAGTTTGTTGAGTTCGCGAGCGTCAAGACTTATTCTGATACTTGAGTCGGGTTTTTGAAGAATGAGCAGAGGTATGTTGAATGCACTTTGAGCCATTGAGATTATTCTTAGATCGAGCCATTCGTTGAGATTTTGTTGAACTTTTGGCTGTAAGTGTATCGGCACACGTCGAGGGGCGCTGTGAGCACTAAGCGTCTCGTCGTGGAGAGGAAGAGAGAACCGAAGGTAAGCAAGCTGACCAATATCCCAATCTCCCATACTGCAAGCAAGCCTTAGCTCGACTAGTAGATCGTACAGTTTTTTCTTTTGATCGGGGTTAGTATCTCCGAATGACGCAATTTCTGGGATAAAATTTATTTCTGTTGCTTTTTCTTCTCTCTCAGATTGAAATTTATGCAGTTCTCGTTTGTCTGCATCGATGTCGTCGACTTCAATGATTGCATTGATTGCATGAGATTTGCGAAGTGGTACTCTTTTAACTTTTTTTTTGTTAATTTGGATCGTTTTTGATGCGTTGCCAGCAGTGAGCGATAATTGTTGCAGCACATCCATACCAAGGATGCAGGGAACGGAGAGATTTTCGATAATGAGCGGTTTAACTTTGATTATTAGCGGTGAAGAGTTGGTATCGATCGAGATATTGATACTTTCGCTGAGAGTGTTTGTGTGAATAACAGTGTTGGCTATCGTAACTGGAGTTTTCGAAGAGGAGAAATTTCTTGGAAGGCCGGGTAGATGAGATCGGAGTGCCGTGAGAGTTGCACCAGTGTCTACGAGAGCAGGCCATTCATAACCGTTGATTTTGACATTTACGAATACGAGCTTGTTTGAGATGCAGGATGCGAGGATAGTCTGATCTTCTAGTCATTTCGCATTATTGGCTGCGTCAATGACCGATTTCGGGGGATCGTTACTGTGAATGTATTTGCAATTTCCTTCGTATTTGCATTTCTTGTGTTTTGTGTATGTGATGCAGTGTCCTTCCATTTTTCGAACGTCAACTCGTTTTTGTCTTGGTTTCTTTTCATCCTTCTTTTCTGTTGATCTGCTATTTTTCTCCATTTTCTGTTTCATTTCCGATCTGAGCATGTTTATTTGAGACTCGATGTACGACTTGTGATGTGATTCGATCGCAAACAAGTTTTGGTCCTGTGTTGGTGAGCCAATCGATCTTTCCAATTCTGCACTTCTTGCAGATATATTGTCATACGTGAGAGACGATTTTTCTCGGTTCAGAAGTCGTTTGAGATCATTCTGCTGAGCGTTGATGAAAAGTTCGACCAGCATGTCTGAGTCTGATTCACTGAGCTCTTCTCTTCCGTAGCTTTGTATGAACCAGTCCGTCAGTTTAGCCAAGCAGATCCCGGTTGACTCGTCTCCTCTCTGGTATGTTCTCAATTTGTGACGATAATGATCTTTTGACCGTCCTAATATTTGAGTGAGCTTTTTTGAAAAAGCTGACCAAGATACCAATTCTTCTGCTTTCAAAGCTCGTCGAATACTTATTCCACACTCATCGTTCATCATTTGAGACAATGATATAGCGATCAGGTCTTGCTCGGATATCTGGTTACACATCTGAAACAGTTCCATCTGCTGCAGAAATGAGTCGATTGGGAGGTCACTCGAATATTTTGCCGGTTTTATCATTGAGTTCTTTGATTTCGGAATTCGCGGAGATTTGGCTTTGAATTCTTTTTCTCGACGTCGAGCATTTTGACCTTTTTGCTTCGAGTGATTGTTTCCCGGCTCTTTTTTGACCTTTTCCTTTTTGCGATCGTTGTTGATAACCGTTTCGTCCGGGTCTTCCAGAGAATCTTCAGATAGACTTCCATCACTTGATTCGGCTTCACTTATGTCGCTTTCAACTTTCATTGATGAGATCAGCGCTTGAAGAGAATCAGCGGTGGAGGATGCTTGGATCTGTGCGATGTTGAGTTTGTGATGCGGCTTTGCGAATTTTTGAAGCTCGACATTGGACCCGTCGTTGTCCTTCTGAAACTCGACCACTCCTGGTTGCGATTTGAAGACGAATTTTCTTCCCGGTGCGAAGTAGTCCGGTGCGAGATCAAGAATATTCAAAACGATACTCGATTTATCGCTTATTGGGATTTTGCATGGGTAGATTTTGTCGGGAAGAGAGTCGTAGATACGGCATAATTCCTGGCGTGAGAGGTCACTTGCGTCTTTCCAGTAGACTGTTGACATGGCTGTTGTCTTGTTTACTTCGTCCGAAGCAAGTGAATTAGATCAGGCAGGATTGTGCTGATCTCTCTTGAAGGCGTTACCAGTTTTCGGCAGTCACCAAATTATGTAGGGGTTTTACTCTCTTTATCTCTGAGTATGCGAACAAATAATGACACGGTATTTCGAGGAAAAGAGTAAACTTTATTAGAGCTTTGTTTGACCACAGGGTAAAATAGAGTGGTGGTGAATGCCTTGCGGCGCGCAGTTTTATAGGGTGAGACGTGGGCTCTTTGGCGCCCAACGATCTGTCTCAGAACGGAAGTGGGGTGAGTCGTACCAGAAGTCTCTGTGAGCAGTAATTTCGGAAGAGTATAGACCTTACACTGTCAATTTAATTATGTAATAATACGAATATTTTTAAATCTCGGATACCCGATTCAAGGGACATTTGCTTTGAAAGGATAAGCACGGGGCTTTTCTCTATTGATTGCGAGTTTTAATATCGTAGCTTGATGTTATTATTCAAATTATTCAATCGTTCTTTATTAAGAGCGTTCTAATCTAGACTCGGGAGAACGAACTGGTCAAAAATATAATCTTTTTGTGGAATCACGTGACAGATGTCCAGAAGAAAAAGCGTTTTATTGTGAAAATAAAACTGTTTGTGGAGAATGGTTTTGCCCAGACGGAATAAAAGAATACTCAAGCTGCACGGTGGCGACAGATAACTCTGAAAATCATATTCATCGCAGGAAAAGGTTTGAGAAATTTTTTAATCGAACTTGATAGTCTATCACTTTGGAATCCTTATGTGATATTTCTTTGTTATCTAAAGGATACCCTTAAGGGTACTATCTTCGATTTCCAGAAGGTGTCCGTTCAAAAGATTTATAAGAATCGGTTATTAGAGATGGATTCTTCATAAAATTTTATGATTTTACCTTATTGACTATTATTCGAAATTATCAATACATCTTGAGATATGGCCCCTAGAAGTTTTTTCGAAAAAAAATTTTCAACTTCGATTTTCTTGATCAAGGGCTTGTTCGAAAGCTCAGAGCAAGAGCAGTATGTTAGTAGCTGTATCGATCGCCAAATCAAGATATTTTTGATTCTAGAGCCAAAAATGTGTCGCAAAATTTTAAAAAATGCTCAATTTTCGCAAAATCGGCGAGACGCAATTTTCAAAAAATTATTTTTGGCATTTTTAGTTTTTCAATGAAAAATTCCTTCTGTAATTTCAAAGATTAAGGTTCAAATTATATATAAAAAATATAATAAGGCCAAGTTATCAGACTTGTTTTTGAGTTATTCAACCGTTTATATAGGCCATTTTGGCGAAGATAACCACTTCAAGCCAAAATTTAGCCGCGTTTCGGTCAAGTAATTAATAAACCCCTCTGTAATAGTTTAGATCTAGGACAGGTCTATTCAATAAGCCAATATGGACTCCGCAATCATTCACAAGTTCCGAGTTATTCAAGGCTCAAGTTGGGGAAATCGAAGATAGTACCCTTAAAGGAGGTCTAAAAAAAACGAAAAATATCATCCCATCTGGGGGCAATCGAGAAATATAAAAATAAGAAATGTCCATTTTGAACATTTTGGCCGATGGGGGTTAAACAAAATAATAAGCCTTGACAAGAATTTGCCACTGCCACTCTGATCTTGGGGCATTTAAAATCTTTACGGGCTGCAACTGGGTGATCGAAAAAAATATTCCTGTTTCCACGCCTGTTTTCACAACACAAACAACAACGTCATCAATCTCCTCTTCATCAACAGCAAAAATATCAACAACAACAATAACAACTTCATCGAAAAACGAATATTTAAATATTACAGAATCTTATGAGACGGAGCCTTTTGAGATGCTGCACGATTTTGACAGTCTAAAAAGAGAACAAAAAATTAAATTCGATGAGGAACTGGAAACAAAAGAGACGGAAAAACCTCCGAAATTTCAATCTCAGTCCCATTTTGGCGCAAACAAACGTGAAAATCAGAAACAGTCAAAAACGAGAGCAAATTCTAATTTTAAAAATGTTATAATTAAAGAAGGTAAAAAAGAGACTAAGAAAATATATTTTTTTATGGAAATCATGATTGAAGGTAAACTTGATGATAAATATAAACCTTGTTTTAGATGGAGTTTACGCTCACGGTTTTTATTTAATGCAAGAAATACAACGAATGATGTACGAAGAAGGTCTTTTTTCTCTGAATTTTTGATCATATTTAAAAATCAGAGATTTCTGTTTTATAATTTTTGTTGTCGATAATAAATTTGTAAATCATATTGGAAAAAAATTTTTTGAAAAAAATCGAGTTTTTTGGTTGAAAAAAACCTCGAGCACCACCCACTTAAGTTTTTTTTCCTTTCAAAAATTATTCGTTTGAATACAGATAAGAGAGCGATGATTTCTATTTAATTTTTTATTGATATTGGTTCGGCATAAAAGTCACAAGAAGTTGGAAAACAAGGAGGACCAAACTGAAAATTGCCAGAGCTCCAGATCGTAGATAAACATACCAAGGAGCGAGGAGGAAAGATCCGTACTGATTCAGGTCGAACCAGGCCACAACTTAAAATAGATTTACCTCATTTGTGATGCCCGCATAAAACCTACGAAAAGCATAGTAGACGCCAGTTATACTGCCACCGATTCCGAGCAATTTGCCAGGGTTATTATAATAGACGCCGCATAAGACAGAACAGGCCAGGGCAAAAATCGACATAACAACACTCCAACCATAGCCGGGAAAGGATCTCCTGAAAATCGCCGAAGACAGGATGCAGCGAAATGTTTGAAAATTCAGGCAAAAGCCGGCTATTCCTCGAAAAAAGATGAGAATGCAGGAGATCAAGTATTCTGGCTTGTCGAAGCTTAAATTTGTATACCCTTTTTGAAGGCGATTGTTGTCTTACTCGAAATGTTCGACAAAATTTTGATAGACACGGCTTTTGTCGCCTGGATAAGTTGCAATGAAGGTCAGTCCGATGATCAAATTGGTACTTTGGCAAAGCTAGCATAGTGTTAACCAGGTTTAAAAGGATTAAACCAATTTTTGGAAGTGGAATTTTGATAACCAATAAGATTGCTGTATTAAGCCTATCGGCCAATCAAAACCCTGATCCAAAAAATCACTTCCAAACTTTGGTTTTACCCGTTTTAATTCTAAGTTTCTTACAATTTGTGACAAAACAATGTCAGTTCTCGTGTGGTTCCTATTCTTGTTGTCCTTGAGCACTGATCTAGAATCAATAAAATTGATCGAAAAAGGGGATTTCTTACAAAATATTGGGCATATAAGTGCAATTGTAAAAAATCGCCGGGAAGCAAGTATAAGTCCATTTTATCAAAGGATAGTATGATTGCTCGTTTTCATCAAAAAGATCGAAATATCCGAGTTTTCCCCAAACAGACGCTTTCCAGAAAAGAATAATCGAAATAATTATCGTGCTCGGGAGACCAAAAACGGTGGTGAGGCGGGTGAAAAAGACGGATGATTTCTTGTTGACGAGGAATATCAGTAGAATGCAATAAAAAGGAATGGTCCAGTTGAGATCCCAAGAAGGATGAAAGGTCTCTGGAACTTTGAATTGATCGTTTGAAATTCCGGCGGCAAAAGTCGAGTTGTCGTCTTCCATAATCGTCACCATTCTTGTGTTCTTCGCCGAGTGAATCGTATAAGAGGATAGGACAAAATAATAAAGCGATCGGCAGATAAACAAATAAATCGAGCAAATCGAAAAGAGCACCAAAATGCTTCCTACAATCACACAGACGATTCCAGCTGTTTTGCCGAATTTGTGTTCGACGATAAGAGAAAGCTCAGGAATTTCATTTTTTCCGATTGTCGGAATTTTACCAACGCATTTTTCGGCTTCACTAAAAATTGCCACTCTTAGTTTCGGGTCTTTATTCAGTCTCTGATAGTCGAATTTAGGCCTGAACCCTTTCCCAATGTACGAATACCCAACCACTTTCAAAATCGCCGCTAAAATGCAAGTCGCCACGGATCCATTTGACCAGCACCAGGGAAGTGTGAAAAAACTACTTCCCTGACCAGCGATGTAAAGAGAAATTGTCGTGACAAAATCTCCATTTTGAGCGACAGACTTGATTGCATCGAAGGAGAGGGCGGATGAATGACGAATTTCGGAAATGATCCGCGTGGAGAGATTCCGAAAATGAGAAAAATAAGGGTCATCTTTTTTGGAAATTGATTTTTCAGTTGACTGTCTGCTGAAAACGCTGCTTGCTGAAATTACCCGAAATCAAAAATGAGATAAAAATCAAGTTTAACTGTCAGAAGGCGTTCGGGGCGATTCTTGATGCTGAAGAATTTTCTTCTTTCTCTGAATTCTCTTATTCTTTTTTTATCAAAATTATTCGTGATTAAAATTTTAGGATGCTTAGATTTTAAAAACTTGCCGAATCCATTTTTCTCTACTTCCTGTCTTGTTTAAATCAAAGCAATCATAAGTCTCAATTGAATTGATTGTTTTTTACGGAAAATGATAAAATTAGACATTAAAGATTTTATCTTATGTTCATGTTTTCGCTAGTTTTTATCAGTTAAAATGATGATAAATTGCAGAACAAGAAGAATCACACTGAAAATAAACAGAGCTCCGGATCGCAACCAAACGTACCAAGGAGAATCGGCATATTTTTCGGCTTGTTTCAGATCAAAAATTCCGATCACTAAAATTATTTAAAAAACATAGCGTCAAGAAGAAAACTTACATGAGGCAAAGTACAAGCCGCAGATGCTCCCGACAATACTCAAAACGGTGCCGGGTTTGTTGTAAAACATTGCGCAGAGAACGGAGAGTCCGATAACGAAAACTGACAAGAAAATGCTGTATGCATATCCAGGAAAGACTTTCTTGAAAACAGCTCCAGAAATGAACGTCCGGCAAACTTGAAAGCACAAAGAATAAGAACCAACGAATCGAAAAATCATCAGCGCGAAGCAAACCAATGTTGCTTCTTTTGAGTCTCTTTAATTGAGGACAATTCTTGAGCTTCAAATTGTCCGTTTTTTTTTTCAGAAAAAATCCATGCCTAATATGCTCGACAAAGTTTTCGGAAACTTTGCTTCTATCGCCGGGAAAAGTCCAAACAAAAGTCAGGCCAATCACGACGTTGAAAATTTGACAGAGCTTAAAATGTATGTCATTTAGTGTTTGCCGCCGGGAACTTACAATTTGAGAAATGAAAATATCCTTCTTCGTGTGTCCTCGATTCTTGTTGTCTTTGATAACCGCCCTAAAATTATATTATCCGTCATTTTGCTCTATTAAAAAAACTTACATGAGCAGGGGCATATAACTAAAAGTATAAAAAATCGCGGGAAAGCAGGTCAAATCGCCACTGATGACTGGATAGGGAGGAATCTTCTGATTTATTTCTTTCCACTCGGAGGCTTTCCAAAAAAGAATAATGGAGATGATGATTGTGCTTGGAAGTCCAAAAATAGCTGCTATTCTGGAGAAGAAAATTGACGATTTTACGTTGACGATGAAAATGATGACGACCAAGAATAGCGGAATGGTGCCAGTGAGACTCCAGTAAGAAGAGAAAGATTCTTCGACAGAGAAATTTTGGGATATATTTCTGAAGAATCAAAAAAAGTCATTTCCTCGTTAACCTTACTGTAATTCATTTTCATGAGCAATCTCGTAGCATCCTAGGCCAAACCAATATAGAGAATTGGATAAGTTGATATAACTTGCGAGCAAAGCACCAAAAACTTGCAGAAATGCGAAAATCAAGCAAACAAGTCCCCAGTTGCGACCAAATTTATAATCGACGATCATTGACAGTTCTGGTAACTCGTCTTTTTCAAGCGTGGGGATCAAGCCGACGCATTTTTCGCTCTCGGAAAATATCGTGATTCCGATGTAGGTGTAGCCGAAGACTTTGATGATCGCTGTCAAGAGACAGGTAAGGATGGAGCCATTGGCCTTTTTATGAGTTTTCATGATGAAAAGTTTTTTAAGAGAATTTTCTTAAAAACTCGTTTCCACATCCAAGGAATGGCGAAAAATCCATTTGCTTGGCCTGCAACAAAGAGCGAAACCACCGTCGTGAAGTCACCATTTTTCGCAACTTTTTTAAGCGACTGTAAAGAAGCAACAGAAGCATCTCGGATCGAGGAAATAATTCGGGTCGAGAGAGTCCGGAATCTAGAGGGCTCTTGAGTTGCATCAGTGGATTCCGTTGTGGATCTTTTTGTGAACACGCTGTCGGCTAAATTAGGCCATGACTATTATCTGTAGTTCAAAAAGCCAAAAAATTCCCTTCTACAATGTTTTTACCTTCAGATGTATTCCGAAAGCTCAGAATTTTGTCTTCTAGCATTTTCATATCAAATGCGCGGTCACAAAAATCTCTTTTTTTCTCTTAGTCAATAAGTATTTTTCGTCATTTCCGCCCTCCAAGAAACAGAATGTTACCATGATGGGCTTTTGGGTGCTTGTAGTGGTGCTTGTCATCAGTAAAGCACCACGGAAAGTGCCTAAAAGAACCAAAAATCCATCTAAATTGTATCAAGATTATTTTTGTAAGAATCGCTATTTTCTCAGGAATTTTGACGTTCGAAGCAAATTGTTTGATTTCATTTACCATGTTTTTTATTAAGCAATTAACAATTAATCAATTGCAGAAAAAGTAACAATGAATTGAAGAATGATGAAAATAACGCTGAGAACAACAAGGACTCCGGATCGAAGTAAAACATACCATGGTGATTTTTTGAATGAATCTTCTTTTCTCGCGTCAAAAACAGCAACCACTAAAACAGTCAAGCATTTTTCTTTTAAAGTTCTCACTTGAGCAAAAATACAAGCCAGTGATACTGCCAACGAGACTGAGAACACTTCCAGGCTTATTATTAAAAACTGCGCAAACAACCGAAAGTCCAATAACAACCATCGACAGCAAAATGCTGTAACCATATCCAGGAAAGATTTTTCTGAAAAAAGCGCCAGAAAGAAATGTTCGAAACGCATGAAAATTCATCGAATAAGCTCCAATGAATCGAAGAAACATCAAACCAAAGCAAAGAATTGTTGCGACTTTTGAGTCGCGGAAATTTTCGACAAAGTTTTGAGAGATTTCGCTTTTATCGCCCGGAAACGTGAGGAGAAATGTCAAGCCGACGATAATGTTGAGACTTTGACTCAGCTAGAATTCGTAAGTAAGCTATTTTTTGCTTGTATCTTACAATTTGAGATATAACAATGTCTCTTCTGGTGTGTTTTCTGTTTTCAACGTCCTTGAGAATTGACCTAAAAATGAAATTTATAATGAGAGAATATTTTGGCTGAAATTTCAAACTTACATGAGCAAAGGCATGAATGAAGAAACATAAAATGCTGCAGGCCAACAAGTCAGAGCGTCACTGAAAATCGGATACGGCTGAGTTTTCGAGTCGTTTTGAGACGCCCAAGGTGAGGCCTTCCAAAAAAGAACACAACATATGATCAAGGTGCTTGGCAAACCAACAGCAGCTACCAGTCTGGAGAAGAATACTGAAGATTTTACGTTCATGAAGAAAATGATCAGGATCAAGAAAAGAGGGACTGTGCCAGTAAGGGTCCAGTGGTTCGAGAAAGAAGAATCAGTCGTGAATGCCGTTGTTTTTATCAAGTTTGTTGTAATATTTTCGGAGCTCTCCAAGTACTTGCTAATCAAAGGTCGATTTCAATTTATAAATTTGATTATTTTTACCTTTCTTGGGAAATCTCGAAGCAACCGAGAATAAAATAATAAAGAGAAAAAGACAAATTGATATAACTCGTCAAAATCGTCCCGAAAACATGCAAAGCTGAAAAAGCGACGCAAAGCAAGCCCCACTTTCTTCCATATTTGTAATCAATTATGAATGAAATATCAGGCAGCTCATCTTTTCCAAGACTTGGAATCAAGCCGACATGTCTCTCGCTCATCTCAAAAACAGTAATTCCAATAAACGAATATGCAAAAATCGTCAAAAAAGCAAGCAAAAGACACGGCACCAGCGATCCGTTCGCCCAGACCCAAGGAATCGTAAAGAATCCATTCCCCTGCCCGGCTGTGACAAGAGAGACGATGGTGATGAAATCGCCATTTCTGGCGACTCTTTTGATTGATTCGATCGATTGCTGGGAAACACGTCGGATGGATGAGAGGATTTGAGTTGAAACATTTCGGCTTTTTCGAGTCCTTGGAGCGTTTCTTGTAGATAGGGTTCCAGATCTCTCTGTAAAAACACTTTCAGCTAAAAACGGACGGATTTTTCGACAAATTTGAAGATCTTTATTTGTACCTTCTGAAGCGTTTCTCGAAACAGGGTGATTTTTGTCTCTTTCCATGAGCTATCTTACTTTGTTCGATTTTTTTTTTCACTAAATCAAAAATTCTACTTTGGCGTAGTCGAAAAATTCATTTCCGCTTTAAGTTTTGTTACAAATATATTTGAGTTAATATCGAGTCAAAACAACTTTGCACAACGAATTCACTTGCATATCAATTTTCGATTTTTTTTTTAATTTTCTTCTTTTGATATTATATCTATGATATAAAAAACGATTACTCTTTTTAAGGTTTGATGAGGAGGTTATTCTTTTTATTGAAGAAATTTGCATATTCTTTTATTTTCTTTATCTCCTTTCAGTCAAACCTTGTGTCTAAGTTGTGAACAATGAAAGCGAAAACTTATTGGGAAAGGTTTTTATTTTAATTTTCGACGATTCAGAATAGTTTTGGCGTTGCATCTTTGACGACATCCACCAATCTGTCGAGATCTGATTTGTTTGTGTAGCAATTGACACTTATTCGCATCCACATATCACTGAAAAGACAGATAGAGATCATTATTCATTTCCTTATTTTCGTACCCGTTCGTCGTAGTAACTGCAACGACCAAATTATAGTTCGCCAATAATTGAAGAATTATTCTGTCGGTAATCGCAATTCCTTTCAGTCTTAAAAAACCCACGTTTGAGAAAAACAAAAGAGAAATTTTTTTCGATTAAATCACAAATCAAGAATTTTCTTCATTCCCTCAACCAGTTTATCCATATCACCAAAGGAATTATAGCAATTAACAGAAATTCGAAGATAGTTATCACCGTTAAAAGCCTTGATCTTCGCCGCAACTCTTTTTTCAAACATTATTTCTTTGAATAATGTTTCGGCTGAATCAGTGCTAGAATAAGCTTTTGTATTGAAAAGTGAGTTGCTTTTTTCTTACTCTGGATATCGATCTGTCCGCGGGAGTTTGACGATTTTCATAAAAGGAGCTTCCATCGAAGCAGGAACTGGGTACATTGAGCAGCCAGCTTCTTCACAAAGCCGTTTTCTCCCGTATTCGAAGAGTTCGGCGGCGTGGGCGTGGAGGTTTTCAAAGCCAAGGTCTTCAAGAATATAGGGACTTTCGATCAATGATTTCGAACCTGAATGATATTTGAGCGAAACTGGAATCGTAAAGAAATTGGAGTAGTCGTCAGTTCCTTGCTGAAAAAACTTCTCATGGAGGGTTCCTTTGTACAGATGACTCGTTGTCAGCGGCTCGAGAATCGAATGAAACTTCGGGTCAGCCCAGAGAATCGCCGCTCCGCGAGGGGTGTATGCCCATTTGTGAAGATTTCCGACATAGAAATCGGCGCCAAGCGTGTCCAGGTGGAGGTCGATTTGACCTGGCGCATGAGCGCCGTCGATAATGACGATGATGTTTCGCTTTTTGCACTCAGCTAAAAATAATAAACGATAAAAATCGCCATTGAACGAACCAATAAGACGCTGAATCGGAAAAACCAGCGCGGAAGCCGAAGAAATATGATCAATAATCGCCAAATCCAAGTCTTCATTCGCATCCATCACCTCCGTAAACGCCTTTACCACCTCATCTTCTGATTCAATCGGTATGTTAACCTCAACTTCCGCAACTTCGCAGCCCCATCTCGTCCGATGCAAATCGGTCATATTTCGCATGGCATTGTAAGTGTGACTGTTGATGAGAATTTTCTTGGTTTTTGGAAAGCAGTTGACGATGGTGTTGACTCCCTGGGTGGTGTTTTTGACGAGAACGAGGTTTTCTACTGATGAATGGACGAAATCAGCAGCGCATTTGCACGCTTCCTGTTTCGTGGCTACACAAAAAATACAGAGAAATTGACAGTAGCTCGTCTTGGGAAGAAAGTTTAGCCCGATCCTTGTAATACTCGAGCGCGTTGTTTCGAAAATGATCATCTGGAAATCTTTCAGCTTCATCAAGCAACTCTTTTTTTCTGTCCAAAACAACCTGAAATACAAAGAAAAGACAATAACTTTAAAAATTTTGAATGAAAAGAATCGTCTTCTTATAATTTAACGTCTCTTTTTTACCTTGGGAACAGCTCCATAACTCCCATGATTGAGAAAAGTATTCTTGTCGAAATCAAGCAGGAAATCCTCTCTATAATCTTTTGAAAACACCATTTTGGAAGAAAAAATGAAGTAATGGGTGTGTCAGTTGGATAAGCTGACAAAGGGAAATGAGCTTTGCAAATTCTGTTTACACAAGGTGTCAACTGGCTCCGGGCATAAAAATTTTCCCAAAGCAGTTGAAGATCTAGAGATTCAAAGCTTCGTTAAAATTAAATAGTTTATATACAAAAGATTGAATTTGAATAAAACATGAATTTGTCATGGACCATGACTCATGGTAGTTCAGTGGCTCCTCATAGTTCTTCAATAGTCGAATCTTCTGATCATTCTTTATGTCATCTGAGATTTGACGTCTTTGTTCTTTGAAACTGCACCTTTTGAAATTTCTTATCTTTATTTATCATTTTCAGATTACTTGTGAACAAAGAACAAAGAAAATTTAATATAATAATCATAGATTCAGATAAGTTTTCAGGAGACGTTCTTCCATTCGACCCGTGATTCGTTGGCACACGTTGATAAGGCGGTATCGAAGTCGTCTCATCTCACAGCCATCGAGAATCCCGAGCTGAAAGACAATTAAATCGTATCTTTTGTTAATATTGTCCCTAAACCGGCAATTGTTTCTTGTATCTGCCATTTTCGCAAAAATATCTCATCAAAAAAGTCGTGTCGGAAGCAGCCACGGTGGCCAAAAATAAACCTAGAACGTTTCTTTTCTGTCTTCCTCTACGCCCATTTGAAATTGGGTTTATTGACATTTTCTTATTTCATAAAATCTATTTACATAAACCATCGCATTTTCCATTTTTGTTGATTCTTCTGATTCAATACACAATCAATAATCCGCGAAACGCCTCATTGTTGCTTTCACTAGAGATTTGAGAGATTCTAGAGCCACAGCCGTCTGGGCCTCTTTTTTCGACCCTCCTTTTTCATTATAAACAAAGGAATTTGCAAGCCATTGTGAATTTAGCTCTATTCTGATAATCAGACCACCTGTAAGCAGAGCTGATTAGATGCAGCGCAATTATCACCATGAACCTTTCTTTCTCATTTTCCCAAAAAGCAGAGACTCGAAATACTCAATTTTCAGACCAAAAGGTGGATGGGAAAACAATATGTCTAGGGTCTACATTGGGGGAAATAAACTCATCCATTTTATTTGTTGATAATTACGAGCAATCAAATCAACGGGTGGTCTAGGAGGTGGTCGCGAGGGCTTGATATCATAAATTTTGAGCCGGAAAGATTAGCGTTTTCACAGACTTTGAAAAAATTTATGAAATCGATAAGTGAGGAGTTTTAATTCACAAAAAAAAATTAATTTAAAACTTATTTTCGAATTTATTTCTTGATGAAATACTGCAATGACGCCCTTAACTCATTTATGAAAAGGTTTATTTTTGAACTTTGATATTTGCTCCAATTTTCTTCAAAACTTGCTTCAAAGGAGAGTTACTTTTGATTGTCAATTGAACTTTTTTCTCTGAATTATCAATAAAATTTTATATCCAATAAACATATAAAAACTTATCCTGGTCAACAACTTTGGTGAAGATAAAAGTAGTTCAAGAGCAAGTTCGAATGTTTCATGATTCGACTGATTTCGCCAAAATCTATCATCCTCCGACGTAGACAAATTGTTTTCCCCACCAGAGACGGTATCTACCCGGCTCGCCAAAGCGAGTAGACCACCCTTAAATGGGGGCGTCACTACTTTTTAATATCTACAATAATTTTTTTTGGTCACTTTCGAAATTTGGTAGAAGAGATTTTTTTTCTAGAGCTTGAGAAACAACTATTAAATTTGATTGAAATTCTCCTCAGATTTTACCGTCTGCATATTTGTACAAGGCAAACAACGATTAAGAGTTTCCACATCCGACCAATTCGACCTGACCAGCGGCACTGTAATTCCTCAGTTCTAGAGACAACTCCCATAGACTCTCATGATAACGAGGTCGAAAAAATGAAAGAAGAGAAAAATAAATTGTGAATAAGGATGGTCTTAAAATTTCGTACACGCTCGAAATTTTCGAGTCGAAAATCGCTCCAAAATCTTCAAAAATCCAAATTTTTTCAGAGAAAAATGCGTTTGTCGACAGCGATTCTAGCTTCGATCCCCCTCTGTTCCTCCGACCGCATCCCCAGATCTGCTGGTTCCTGGGGTTATGCAGGTATCCAACCCCCTTTAAACCCGGCCCAATCCGATTCTAGAGCAGGGAAACGAGTGGGGCGATTCCGTTGCCGCCTGCAATGGAGTTCGACAATCCCCGATCGACATTCCAAAGAAAGTCTCTACCGCTGAGTTTCAGCCGTTTGAATTGACGAATTTCGATGAAGAGCAAAAATGGACTCTGGTGAATAACGGCCATGCCGTCCAAATGACTGCTTCAGAGCCTTTGTAAGTACTTCGAAGAATATTTACTTTTCTCAAATCGATAAAAACGATTCTTTTCAGAAACATGAAGACAAACGGCGGAGCTCTTCCAGGAGAATACACCCTTGCTCAGTTTCATTTCCACTGGGGCTCATCGGACCATGGTGGTTCGGAACACACGCTCGAGGGGGAACAGTTCTTCTCAGAAGTTCACTTGGTTCACTTCAAATCAGAATATGGAACGATCGGAGACTCTGTGGACAAATCCGATGGGCTGGCGGTTCTCGGCTTTTTCATTGAAGAGGATGTTACCGCAGAGGTAGATTATCTTAAAAATGAGGGAATTATGCAATTAAGGATACACCCCTCGATAATTTCTTCCTAAACATGGTCGGCCAGGCGGTTCAAGATCCAAAGAAGACTTCTGAAATTCAATTCTCCATGTCTGAAATTCTTCCCTCAACTCTTGACAACTTCTACAGGTACATTTTGAGATCCTCATTTAACGAAGGGATACCCTTAGTAAATGCCGAAAAAGTTCGAATTTGACTTTTCCGGTCCCAAAGTTATGATTTTGTCACCTTCGTTGAAATTCAATAGATCTCGCGGTTTTTTCGCCGCATTTACGGTCTTTGGAGGGGAAAATATACCAACTTGTTAATCTTTTTCTCACGATCACGTGATTTTCAGATATCTTGGAAGTCTGACTACTCCCACCTGCAATGAAGCAGTAGTCTGGACGAATTTCAAAGAGCCCCTGAAAATCTCGACAAAGACGAAAGAGTTTATGACTCAATTCGCCAAGGTTTATAAATATCAAAATATATCAACTCATCAATGAAAATATTTGCCACAGTCGTTGAAACGCTGAATCAGGACGATCACGGCGCAGAATTGGTGAAAAATTTCCGAAACGTTCAACCTCTTAATGGTCGAGAAGTCACTTTCTTTTCCTCGATGGAGAAAATCGTTGCGCCAATGGAACCGGAAATCAAAAGCGGTGGAGAAGAACCAGCTGCGGAGGGAGAAGAGCCAAGTAAGGGCAAAAAATGGGATGGTGTCCGGAACCGACAAAAATTTCGACAAATTTTGCGTGGGCGGCTACTCAGCTGCCGATTTGCCGGTTTGCCGAATCCAAGCTTCTTATTGGTTGAAAATTTCCACGCAAAATTTGTCGAATTTTTTTGTTGGTTCCAGACACCTCCTCAAAAAATAGGCTTTTTCGCGATTTTTATTTTCAGAACCAATGTGGGCTTGGATCGTTATTGGAGTCAGCTCTGTAGTGTTTCTCGCCGTTGGGGGACTTGTGCTGAAAAAGTGCAAAGATCGAAATAGCGAAGGATATGAAGCCGGACAAAACTGATCGTTTGAATTATATTGATAACAAAAATCTGCCTCTCCTGTTCAAAAAAATACTAAACACTTGACACTTCAATCTTTAAATAAAAAATTAACGAAATAAAAAATTGATAATATTTTAAGGTTTTTTACATTCTAAGTGAGAATTTTCGAATGTCATTTTTTCCCAGAAGTTTTCTCACTAGACTGAAGTTTTGACGGTTTTCTTGATTTTTGAAATCGCCTGAGACAGGAATGATCTTTTTCTTGGCGAGAATTAAAAGTCTTAGGCTAAGCCGGAGTGACATTTTGAAGAAGCTGGGTGCTGTTCTGACTCAGAAAACTGTGTTGAATCTGACATATCTTTGTGATTCCAGGGACGAAACCCCCTTGGTTAGGCTTTAGGGGGTCCAGGGGGGCGCCACTTGGGCTAGGCTTAAGGGTAAGGGTTAGGGGTATCATACGAATTCTAGCCAAATTATAAAAGAATTTGTCCTATACCCATTTTAGTTGCATACTCCCTTGCGGCATATATATGGGGAAGAGATCATAAGTCATGATTTTCGAGATGCTCTAGGGTCACTTGGGTCCTCTAATCCTGGGGGTCCGGACCTGTTACGTTCAGTTTTTTACATAATCGTAAGATTCTTTTTTTTTCTTATAATCTCCAAAGATAGGATTCTTTATCGTTTTTATTTTATATTTCTGTCATTATTTCAGCCGGCTTTTCTTTTGATATTGCTGAATCATTTAACCATCATGGAAAGGGATAAGTTTTCATTTATCTGAGCTCTTTATCCCGCTCTATTGAAATAATTCCCTTCAGACGGTCCCTTCTGAAAGAACATGAATCGAAGTATATGTAACTTATCGAAAAAATTGATCATTGATCCTCCTGACGATCAGTCAGAAAACAGATTCTTGGGATAAACATTCTGCTCAGAAGCCCACACTTGTACGACTTGTGACGGCGCTGTTGAACACGGACATAAAACCTGCTCGCGTCTCAGAAGAATCAACAAACGGAGAACGAAAAACAACGAAAACTAGCAACAAAGAAAAGCTCAAAATGAATCTTCTATTACTATTCATCGCCATTTTCACCGACAGTATTTTCGCCAGTCCAGTTTTGCGGCGAACAAGAAGGGATCTCATCAGCTGGAATCGATATCAAAACAACATCAACAAACACAACAGAGCCTTGTTCATCCAAGACGAGCCATTGTACAGAAAACACAGTCACAAACGCCATGCATTGGACAAAAACGAAATGAGCTATCTTCAAGACCTCTACGAACAAGCTCTTCAAATGGCATTCAGAGGACCGAAGAAATAATGAAACTTTCATTTTCCTTCCTTTTTCTTTTACAAATAGGATATTTGATAGAAGGAGAAGGAATTTTTGCCTGCAAAAAAATGATTGTGTATGTTCATAAATAAAATTCTGCTGAAGTAAAGCATCAAAAATCGTCATAATCGAGCAGGGCTCATTTGAAATGAGTCATTTCTTTTCAAGCAGAAATCAAGGAAGACTATTTGTCAGTGTGAAATTTTCGGATGCCCATCCTCCAACAGGACACGGGTCAGAATGAAAGCTCTGTAGCTCTCGAATCGCCAGGAAATGAACTGCTCCGGCTCCGACGGCGAAAATGTGAAAAATCTAAAAAGGTTTGACGGTCCCGCGATTTGAGAAAAACTTTACTTGATGGCTATGGAAGAAAATATCGAATTTTCCGGGGAAGAATCGCTCTGGAACTTCAGTAGCGTAAATGAGGACTCCTGTGGTTCCAGAAGAGAAGAATATGCAGAGCAATGAAAAGGCTTCTTCATTAAAAGCAACATCGATTCCGTGCTGAAATTTTTTTTTTTAATTTTTTTTATTTTTTTGAAAATTTGTTGAAAATTTTTTGAGTATTTTCGAAAATCTTTTGGAATTTTTTTTTTGAAATTTTTTTAATTTATGAATTTTCGAGGAAGGAAAACGAGTCGAAAGTTTTTTTTCTTCTTTTTTTTAAATACCTTAAAATAAGCATGAAACGTCGGAAAAATTGTCAAAAGCCCAAGACTCATAAAAGCAACAGCCCGACACGGTCTGTACTCCGTCCTTCCAAAAGCCTTGAATCTGCTCATCGTCAAAATGCCAACAGAAACAACGCACAAAGTGATCATGTAAGCAGATTGCGTCGTTGAATCACAGCGAAAGGAGAAAAAGATGATCGGCAAAAATCCGAAAAGCGCGTAAAACAGGATTCCGGTGTAGTCGAGTTTTTCGGAGTGCTTGGCGATTTTCGGGGAATGGCATCGAACTGTGTGGAAGTGGAAGGAAAAGGCGAAGCAGAGCGTGGCAGAGGCAACTGATAAGCATATCTGACGGCTCAAATAGCGATAAATTGAAAAAAAGGGTTGAAAAATTGGGGTAGCGTCAGGAACCGACAAAAAATTTCGACCAATTTTGCGTGGGCGGCTAATCGGCTGCTGATTGGCGTGTGAGCCGAACCTGGGCTTCTGATTGGTTAAAAACTTCTACGCAAAAATTGTTAAAATTTTTTGTCGGTTCAAGACACCTCCCCGAAAAATCGACTAAATAATCATATTTTTTGAGCCTTGCCAAAATATTCTCCAAAATACTAATACTAAGTGGGTTGAAAATTGCAACAAAAAATAAAACAATGAATCCAATAAAGCCTAGAAAATGCGACCAAATGTTGCCAGTTTCAGTATGCAATCGAAACCAAGAGCTGTAGCACAATTTGAATGATTCTAGCGGCGGTCGCATTGAGCCAAGAAGATAACGAGAACTAAAAAACCATGTCAAAGTGTCTTCGCTGATAAGAACCTTATCATCCAATCAGGAACATCATCAATACCGACCAAAGCCCAATTTCGATCGAGGCCAAAATATTCCTGCGATTTGACATGTTCCGGGTCTTTCAAAAGCTCAGCCATTTTCGATTCTCTCTCGTTTCCTAGATTTACTTCTCTGCATGAATTTCGAGATGGTTGCCAAAACGTAAAATCGGCACAGAATGTAAATAGCGCTCTGTTTGATTTTGTTAGTCAGTCCGCGCGCAATAATTAATTACAGTGATTCTTCTTTCCTGATGAAGTAGATAATTTTATTATTGATATTTTGCAAGTTTTTTTTTCTTTTATTTTATTCATTTCACAAAATATAAATTGAATTTTTATTAAGTTTCGAATATTTTCCTAACTCTTTGTCGTCATTCTATCTTCTCTTTAATGCAAATTGCATAAGCCCTGTTTCCGAATTCTCGACCAGCAAAAACATTTCCGTTGTAAAAATATGCTCCTTTCAGGCAGAGTTGCAAATTTTGATTAATTTTTCTGAGCTGAGCTGAGCTGAGCTGGCCTTTTTCAGAGGTCATTGAGCGGAGCCAAGCTGAGCAGACCCTAATTAGAGCTGAGCTGAGCTGTTTTTTACTGTTGTTTTGGTAGTAAAATTGTATTCAAATCATTGAGCTGAGCTGAGCTGAGCAGAACAGACCATGTTCGAAAATAATTGAGCTGAGCTGAGTTAAAATTGTCTCAGCTGAGCTGAGCTGAGCGACTGCTCAGCTCACTCAGCCAGCTCAGCTCACTCAGCCAGCTCAGCTCACTCAGCTCAGCAAATTTGCAACTCTGCTTTCAGGCGATTTGGATTATGCGGACACCACGGCAGTCCTATATTTTCGCTTATATTCTTTGTTGGGATCTCTCTTGTGCGATATCCAGTAAGAATCGTCACTCTTTTCGATGGTCTTTCTGCTGTTCGCTTCCAAGAATTCCCTTCCAGTAGGGAATTTGCATTGTCATCATTCCAAAGATCGTGTTTTGCAAGAAATGATGCATTGATCTTGAAAAGAAATAATGAAATTTTTTCACCAAAGTAAGAATTTTTAACATACTTTCAGCAATTCACAATTGACAGTTTTGTTCACTTGGATTAAAACTTTGTCGCCGTCGAAAACTCGCTCTTTGCAGATGAATTCGAATCCAGTCTCATCCGTCACATCGTCAGTCACATGATTGTTGAGGCAATCCTCCGGCAAGCCAAGACCTTGTTTTCCAAGTGCACAGTCTCGGCAAATAAGCACATAGTCTTTTCTTCTCTTTGCTGTTTCAAGTTCGCTTTCGATTTTCCGGCGGATTTCGTCGTCAATGTCGGTGAACTCGTAATTGGCAGTGTATTCAGCGTAGATCCAGTATTTTAATCTGGATATTGTAATAAACGCAGGAATCGGCGAGATTCGGCTGATCGGTTTTCGCAAAAGAGAACTGTTCTGCTTGAAACAAAAAGCTTTTGATTCGTCATATGCTAAATTTTCAAAAGTGAATAAAAGGCCATTTTTATTTAAAAAATAAAAATGTTTTTTTTAGTAATTTTTTCTCCCCCCCCCCCCTCCCGTCAGCTTTTTTCGAAAAATCTAATTTCGGAATTTTAAAATTTTAACCCCGGAAATGGATTCTTCAGGTGAAAAAACAATTTTGAGGCTGCATTTTTTGGGGGTCTATCTCGACTCCTTCGCCCCCAAAATCGCATTTGAAAATTGGACTTTTCGCCAAAAATTGACGAATTTGCCCTAATTTTGCCAAAAATATTGATTTTCTTGGTCAAAAATTCCTCTTATCATGTTTTTGGAGCAAATTTAACCTGAAGACGCATAAAGAACCAAAAATATTGTTTTTTTAAAAATTTCAATTTTTCGAAGGAAAATGCTGACGGGGGGTCCTTAAGTATCAGCTTCTTGTTTTTTTCACATACTGAGCCTCGTAGTTGTTAGGATTGCTGCTCTTTTATTTCCGTCGAAGAAAGCATCAACTTCCACGGATGAGCCGAGACTCAAGTAGAATTCATCAAACAAGTCTTTTTGATTCTCGGTTAAAGAAATCGGTTTGACAAAATTCGCGCTTTCCTCTTCATTGATAGGACTAGTCTCTTCTTCAGTCGCAATAAGAGGTTCTTTCGCTTCTTCTTGTTTTGAAGCAAACTGAAGAATGAAGAAAACGGACAGTCCAATTAGAGCAGCGCTAAAAAATCTCTTGTTTTATGAAATTATGAATAACTACCAAAGTAGGAAAGCTAGAAAAACTAAAATAATAGTCTTCTTTTCCATTTTATTTATCAGTTTCGAAATTCGAATGTTAAGGCCGAGAACAAGACTTCCTTATCTGACAATTTCCACTCAAGCGGCAAAAACATATTCAAAAGCGCCTCGCTTATCCCCTCATTTTAGTTTGTCAATATAAAAGAGAAAGAGAAGCCATCTAAAATGGCTCTCAAAATACAGGAGAAAGAATCTGCCAAAAATTTGCCAAAAAGAGAATTTCAAGAAATTTATTGTTTGAAAGAAAAGATATCAGATGAACTTTATCAGGCGTTTCTTTTTTCAAGTTTCACTCAGAAGAAGTGTATCGGTCCTTGTTCCAGAACCACTTGCCCTTGATCTCGGCCTTCACAGTTTGGCAAAAATCAGTTTGGGCTTGTCGACCAGCCGCATCCGTAGCGAAGCAGGTTCGGCAGACAGAAGGTCGAATCGCGTCGTTTTTGTCGGTAATCAGTTTCGTGCACATTTTTCGGTTGTCTTTCTTGTCGTTTTCGCACGCTTGAAGAGCCTTTTTTGTGTTTTTTTTTACGAAAAAAATCGAATTCAAAGCTTATATTTTACCATAATAAGAAGCTTTTTTGGGGAGGAGTTTGGGACCGACAAAAAATTCGACAAATTTGCGTGGGTATTTTCAACCAATCAGAAGCCCGGATTGGTTCACCGGCGAATCAGCGGACGAGAAGCCGCCCACGCAAAATTTATCGAAATTTTTTTGTCGGTTCCGGGCGCCATCTCTTTTTTTTCTAGATAAAAAACACATTCCTTGCAGCCCATTTCGACGAATTCGACAACTCCGCCTCTTCGTCTTTCAATCAGCTGGCAGCTTTCTTCATTGGCGAGGCAGTCGACTACTGTTGCGTTTCCGACGCAGTCCTGTTAATAGATCTCACGATTAATAATAATGGGGGGCTTACTTCATAGTTCTCAGCGATGCAAGTGGTGCAGGCAGAATCAACAGCATCAGGATCGACAACAGCTCTTTCCGTGACAACAGTCGGATCAGGCTGGACTTGAATCCCATAAACAGCTTGAATGTCATCTGGACTGCTCTGGGCGGCGGTGAATCCGAAAAAAACAAGAGCTGCTTTGATCATTTTGTTTTTTCTTTGAATCGTTACTATTTGCGATGAAAAGTCTAGTCAGAGTCGGTATTTATGCTCTGGAGAAGACCGTGACTGAGAGTCTTAGGGTGGATTTCAATGACCGCATGACGCAAGAAACTGTTGGCAGCGTTACTTGCTGCTCAACTTGCGGAAATGAGAAAGTTTGGCAGTTTTAGAAATGGTTCAAATAATGCAAACTATACAAAACAGAATCTTTTCTACCGATGATTTTGATGATAGCCACGAGAAATAAGCGACACCAAGCGAGCAGATTTCCTTTTTTGTGCCTGGAGGACCCCCCTACTGGAAGAGTTCAAAGCTAAAAGAAGAATGATATTTTCCTGGAGATTTTTCCGTTTGCTGATTTCTCGGCACTTGAACAAAGTAAAGGCGCACAGTTTTATCATGTGAGCCTTCGGAGGACCCCGGAGGACTTCAACTGATGGAAGAATTTGAATAGAAATTAGTTATTTTTATTCTTTATTTTAAATCATTCGTAAAAATTCCGTATTCTAGAATCGATAGCGAAAATTCATTCAGTCTTCTTTCGCAGCGTGTAGAAAACCCATTTCTCATGATAGCTTGGAACAGAAACCGCTTCACTGGAGATTTCAACATTTAGCGAGTTGAGAATGGCACGATATTCTTCAATTCCATGCGTTGATCGGTAAGCGTGGCCTTGAGTGGTGTAGATTCCATCTTCGGGGAGGAGGAGCATGCATTTGTTTAAAATAAGCTTCATGAAATCCCTTGGAATAACGTTTTTTAGCGCGAGATTTTTGATGTGTCTTACCATTGGTTGTCGTTTTCTTTTTCGTCAGAAGCATCAACTGGAATAGCAGTCAAGTCGGAAATGATAAAGTCAAACTTTTTTCCTTCTTCGCCATATCTCGTCAATCGAGGGACACAGTCTTCCGCAAAGATTTCATACCCTTCTCCCTTGAACTCGTCTTAATTTGTGGTTAAAGATTTGAATTGAAAAAGAGGAGTTTACCCATGGCATCTCCGCAAGTAGCTCTCATGTGTTTTGCGCAAGCTTTCATGACCATTTCATCAATGTCGATCATTTCAATGTACTAAGCAAATAAAACCCTCGGGTCAACAAAAAACCCACCTTTGGTTTGGTCGGCGAAAGATTGCGAAGATAGTTGATAATTCCACCATCTCCACCGCCAAGAATCAAGACATTCTTTCCCGTAAAATCGAATGTCTCACTCCCGCAAATTGCTTTTGTATAGGCAATGTCGCTATCTGCCAGATTCGGGTCATCATCGAGAAGGAGGTAGGAGCCGAAGTTGTTTGAGCGGTAGATTTTGATGTCTGAAATTTTCTTTCGCCCTGAATTTCAAACATGGGAAGAGGAACTTGCCTTGGAAAGGAGATTTGTCGTGAAAAAGGAGTTCCTGAAAGTCGTTTTCGACAACGGTTCCATCGCAATTTTGAATGTAAGGGTTCCACTCCAAGCCTCTCTTCAATGGCGGCGTCTGAAGATTTTTTGAGCATTTATCTCTAGAAAAATATATAGTTACGAAGACGGTAGAAGTGGCGTTCTTCTCCTCAAGTTCTTTTTTCAATAAATCTGCAAGTTGTTGAACACGAGCGGCTCCACTGATCGTTGCATAAAGCTTTCCAGGGGATGCTTGAGTAAAAAAGGTCCCGATCCGTGAAAAAAATACAAAAATACCTGGATACCACTGAATCAACAAGCTAAGTCCATCGCTGCCCGTGTACAAAACTGTGCCCGCAATGTCCTTCACATTCCAAGTCTGGAGGGTCAGACCCAAATCGACAAAAGCAGCTGAATTGGACAAAAGTTCAATTGTCTCGCCGCACGGTTTTTCGCAGTTGAAATCGACGAGGATCGACTGAAATTGAAGCGGTTTTTCTTTTTTGTAAGAAACTTTTTATTTAATTACGAATTTTTCTTTAAATAATTTTTTTAATATTCTGAAATTTTTTTAATAAAATATTTAATAATAATTTTGTTAAAAATTTTAATAATTTTTTTTGCTTGATTTCATAATTTGACTTGCATTCTTCTTTTTTTCGAATTTTTTTCTATGAAATTTTTCTCTTATTTGACCAATCGATAACCTGCTCACGTGCAAACCGCTTTTTATTTACCTTGATCATTTTTCTGTTTTCTTTGTTTTTGCGTCTCTCCGACAAATTTTCCGTGAAATTCTTTCACTTGAAATTTTGGACTCTTTCTTTTTCTGTTTGGAATTGACCCAAACGAAAATGAGTATTTAGCGAGAAGAGCCTTTTGTAGCTGTTAGAAAATGAATTATTGAGCAAACGATGAGCCGGATATTTACTTTTTATTTTTTCTTGCCCTTTATATTGAGGCGAACAAATTTCAATTTAAAAAACGATCAGTTTTTGTAAATACAAAGGATGCGCGCATTTCTGTTTCGAAAAATCTCCAGATTCTCTTTTTGAACCAGACGACAAGTACCCATAGACTCGAAGTCGCACAATTTGAGTCCTGATTCAGTCAAGTTTTCAGAGAGTTTCCAGCCAGAAACAATCCTCGCATAGCCTCCGTTTCCAATACTTTTGGACGCCCAAGTTTCTGAAAAGAGTGGTCTCCGTTTGCCAAAGTCCCCGTTTGCCCAAGTCGCCGTTTGCCCAGCTTGGGGAAACGGCGATGTGAAAAAAATTTATATTAATTGATCATTAAACATTATTTGGCTTCCTCGATGTCAATTCTGGCTTCTTCAACGCCAATCCTGGCTTCACCAACATCAATCATGTCTTCCCCAATATCATCGTCACTATATCAATCATGGCTTCTTCGTCGCCAATACTCGTTTCACCGACTTTAAACATGGCTTCTCCAATGTCCATCCCGGGTTCTACGACGTCAATCCCGATTTCTCAAACTTCAATCCCGACTTCTCCAACGTCGATCCCGCTTCAAGAAGCCATGATCAACATTCGAGAAGCAATGATTGACAACGGAAAGCCGGGACTGACGTCTGAGAAGCTAGGATTGAAGTTAGTGACGCCCGGATCAGCATTGAAGAAGCCGGGATTGATGCTGGAGATGCCAGGATTGAAGTTTGAGCCACCAAGATTGACGTCTGAAAAGCTAGGATCGAAGTTAGTGAAGCCATGATTTACTTTGAAGAAGCCAATAAATTGAAATTATATGATCAATCAATTAAGATTAATTCACATCGCCGTTTCCCCAAGTCACCGTTTCCCCAAGTTGGGCAAACCAAGATCTTGGGCAAACGGCGACTTGGGCAAACGGAGATCACTCTTCTGAAAATCAATTTGATCAATTTTTATTTTGCCCTACCGCCTTTGAAGTTATTATCGAGAAGATGGTAGTCTTGAAAATGAGTGATATTTATCTTCTGTAAATCGCATAAAATTTCTTGACTCTGATAGAGAACTGCTCGTCCCAATTCGTCAGTCGTGTTTTTGCAAAGATATTCCTTCCGAAATCCTAAGAAGATTTTTAGTAAAAATATTTGTTAAACACTTCCACTGTTAATTTTTTAGAGGGAACGAGACATGGAGAAAAGCCCGGTATGGAAGGTCTCCCAATCAACTCTAATGTTTGATGCTCCTGAACAAAGCTCGTCATAAGATCATCCAGAATCGTTTTGCTGAAAACATATTTTTTTACGTTTTGTTGATTTGTCGAACCTTATTTTGTTTGAAGCTTCGATTGTCTTTTCAAAATAATCACACTCTGATTCAATCCAAATCTGTCTACTACTAAGAAGATTTGAATTGGCAAGCTCGAACCAAGGCAAAAACGCTCCTTTTTCTTCGCAAAACTGCTTTGCTTCAGAGGGATTTAACATCTTTCTCAGTTCAAAACCGATCAAGAATAAAAATAACAATAAGCCCTATTCCTTCGTCATATGGAACCATAATCCGCTCATTGACTATTAAGCCTTTGAAAACCTCGCCCGAGGAACTGACGACTGTGATGTTTGACACATCTTCCTCCATGATTGTACTTTGGATTGGTTTGGCCATTTGATCCAAAAATTGGCCCTCAAACTTGCCAAGATCTCCAGCAGGAACTTGCCTCATTTGTTGGGAAAGCACTTAAAATGCACAGAAGTGATATGAATTTACTGTTCAATAATACTTTTTTTGATGAAGGGTTTATTGGCCGGGCGCCCTTAAATGACTGTGATCTATTAGCCCTTAGGTTAGGGTTAGGTTTAATGGACTTAGGGTACCTGCTTGGGTTAGGGTTAGGGTTAGGGGTTGAACCTAAGGAGGGATCCCGCGCAGAGTTCCGAATCACTTTACTTTAACTTTGAAGTGAAGTTACTTTGAAAAAATAACTTCATTGCCATATTGAAGTGAAGTAAAGTGATTTTATTTTTGAGAAAAATAAAGTGAAGTGATTCCGAACTCTGATCCCGGGGGCGTTGCCTCCTTGGTTAGCTTAGGGTTAGGGTTAGGCTGCCCGACTTTTGACCCTACTCCTTTTTTCTCTTACTTACCGGCAGGATGGCTTTTGTTTATCATATTCAAAGCCGGTTTTGTAATCATCAACCTGAAATTGCACTTAGCTCATTTATCTCAATTAGCTTACATTGTTAGAGCGAAAGGAAACAAAACAAAAATCCATGTTTTCCGAAAAAACAGCTCTCTTAAAACCGTCTCATCCATATCTGAAGTTATCTTTCTCGAAGTCGCATGGGATCAAAGCATAGTTCCAATTCGTTAACTGTCAGTAGAGAGCGTTACGGTTGATGAATTTCGACACACTTATGTTTCGATAATTTGTTTATTACATTTTTCTTCAATCCGCGCTCTTCCAGCGAGAAAAGTCCTCCGCCTCGCGCGCCGTCCCCGCTGTCCTCCGACCCCGATTCTCGAAAAACAAAATTAGCGAGCAATAAAGAAAAATGGGATGCGAGAAATGCGTGGTCGGAAAATTGCCACAATGTGATTTGAAATTAGTTTCGAGCTGTTTTGAAGAAGATTTGAAGGGAAGAGAATTGCAGCATATTTCGGCGCTGGAGCATATTTGCTACGATTGTTTGAATTTTCTTCAGAATCAGGTATTTTTCGGAAGTTTTTAATTCAAAAATGGGATCGAGAACCTGTGTATAAACCTGAGTCAGGGCCTCAGCGGGGTTAACAGGACCCTGACTCAGGTTTTTACTCAGTTTTCCGGGCCCGAATGCATACCCTTAATTTTTCAACGCAAATTTAAGGACACCTGCTACAAAGAATGGAAAACCCGCTGGGAGCAGGATTCCTTATCCCAAGGCACAGTAAAAACATATCTGACGGAAAAATTCTTTCCTTACTGGATCCAGGCAGGGCTCAATTTTCTTTCTCCTTTTTGGGAAAAAATTCACACTTCATAAAAAAAACCTAAAATTGAGCCGCAATAAAAAGTGCATCGACTGTCGAAAATGGCGGCGAGTTCAAACTGCGCATTTGAAAGAAGATAAAATTATAGAAAACGATGTGGATGAAGAATTCCTGCAGAAATATAATTGCGACATGGGACATCTGCTTTTTGAGAAGAAATATTCAAAAGAAGGAGCGAAGTATTCAATTTCAACGCTTAGCAGGTAAAGAAAACGGGCATTTTTGAGCGGAAATTGAGCGGTATTCGATTCTGCTAGATTTCGATCTTAGTCTCTCGCGATTTCGAGCGAACTTTCAGCAAGTTTTTCACCAGATTGTCCGCTCCTTTCCGCTCGTTGCCAATTTCGGACTTGTTTTTGAGCGGATATCGATCGTTTTCCGCTCAATTTTGCCCCTTTTCGTCTCAATTTTTACATTTCTGAAGTAGGTCCTGTGAGCCGCAAGAAGAACTCAATCCAATCACCAAAGAACTGTCCTTCATCAACACTATTTGCTACCCTCCTCTTTTAAAATTCTCCCCAGCGGAAAAGCTCTTCAATGGATACTACCCAGATGGAGTTGGCCAATCTGTTATCGATAGTTCGAGGTTTTTAAGCCTCTTGACCCCTTTTCTTAATTTTTTCTTTCAGAAAATGCGAGCTTATCGACAACGACGACGAGAAAGGAACTCCAAAGAAAAAGACTCCTCGAAAAATCTACCGCAACCGTTTCTTCCCCTCTCGCAAGCCAAGAAATACCAACTCGAAAAACAGCTGTTTCAGTCTTCGCAATCGCCGTCCGTTCTACCAGCCTGGCGACAACCCAGCAGCCTTGACGCTCAAGCCCGATTCTTTCGAACCAGATGAAGTTGCACACTATCAATCCTTTCCTCCCGCCGCGCAGAGATTGATTCTAGCGGTGAGAAATCTCGTCGTTTCGATGTGGTCTATTTCTCCAACGATTTTGGTGACCCCAGAGAGCTGCATGCAAAACGCGATTATAAGAGGATACATTCGCGCCGCTCTCCCAGAACTGTTCAATCTTGTTATAGAATTTCTTACGATAAAGGGAATTATCAACTTCGGCATCTTTGAGGACATCCCAAGGCCGTTGGTTCTGAAGAACATTCCGCTAGAGAAAAGAGAAACGATCGTTGTAATCGGAGCTGGACCATCAGGAATTTCTACGGCTAGACAGCTGCATAACTTTGGATTCAATGTGAAGATTCTAGAGGCGAGGAAGAGAATTGGCGGACGAGTTCATGATGTTTGGGCTCCTAAGGTTAGTTGGGAAGGAAAAAGCTCTCTTATCGTCCATTTTTAGGTAGCTGCAGGAGCAATGGTCATCAACGGCTGCCAAAACAACCCAATTATCACCATGAGTCGTCAAATCTACCACGATGTCCACATCCTCGGGAGCCAATGCGACCTTTTTGTCAAATCCGAATCGATCGCTCGAGGACCAGATTTGAGAATGGAGCATCATTTCAACACAATTTTGGATATTTTATCCGACTGGAGATTGGACAAGAAAGAGGACATTCCACTCATCGACGCGATTAACCTCGCTCACAAAGAATACGTCAGTCAAAGCGCAGAAAGATACTCAAAAACAGAAATGAAACTGCTCGACTTTCACATCAACAATTTAGAATACGCCTGTGGAGCGAGCCTTTCTAGCGTTTCAGCGCTCAATTGGGATCAAAATGAGCGTTTTCCGCAGTTCGGTGGAGATCATGCGATCGTGACATATGGATTTTCTGATGTTTTGGAAGAACTGTCAAAACCGCTGAATATAGAGTTTGAAAAACCAGTGGCGAGTATTGATCATTCTGGGGAAAAGGTGGTCGTCGAGACGATTCATGGGGAGAAAATTGAGGCCGATAGGATTGGATGCAGATAAATGATAGAGCTTTAAGCCGCAAGCGGTTTGCAATTTTGTAGAATGGGTTGAAATAGGCCTTTTTTATCCATTTCAAAGATGCGTCGTGACAATCCCACTCGCCCTCATGAAAAAGAAAACCATCAAATTCACCCCTGACTTATCCCCGCGAAAATGGCGCGCTGTAGAAAACATCGGCGCCGGCCTGATAGAAAAATGCCTCCTCCGCTTCGATTCAAAATGGTGGAGTTACAAGATCGGTGGCGCTGATTTCTTTGGCTCCATCAGCGTTTCTGGCTCCGACTCAGGCGTCGACGCTGATGATGAACACGATACTTCGGGGATTTTCAATGTGTTTTACGATATTCCATCGCCTGAGAGTGATCATTTTACGCTGATGTCGATCGCAGCTGGAGCTTCGCTTGATATTTATCATTCGATGAGTGATAAACAACTCGTTTCTAGCGCGATGGCGACGCTTCAAGGCAAGGGTCAATAAACAAGCCTTTTTATCCTATTTTACGCCCGTTTTTCAACAAATTTTGACCCTTGAAAAAAGAAATCTTCAAGGAAATCACGGTCCCAGAGCCTCTGAGCTTCCACATTACTCGCTGGGGAAAAGAGGAATACTCGCAAATGAGCTATTCCTTTATCAAACTCGGTTCAACCGGAAAAGATTACGACGAAATGGCAGAACCAGCTTCCGATCGATTATTTTTTGCTGGAGAAGCCACCAATAGGTGCATTCTTCAGCTTTACTAATTGTTAACTGTATGTTTAAGGCACTTTCCACAGACAGTGACAGGAGCTTACCTGTCGGGAGTTCGCGAAGCAGCGAGAATTTTCAAGCTAGAACACAAAAAACTCAACCCTGATTCGAAATTCTACGGTGACTCGATTTTCGAACAGACTTCGCTCCTCCCTCAGGTAAAGAAATCATCCCTTTTCTTCCCTCATCCTTCTCAAAGAAGCGAAAGAGCGAGTCGATCCACCAAAAACCGCCTTCAAAGAAAATCGAACGACGAAAATCTGAGCCAATTCCGACCATGTAACCTCTAATATTTAATCTTGTTATTCCTTCCTTATTTTTTCATATTCACATGTTCTTCTTCCAAAGCTTTACCTTTTTCTCACTGCCTTCATTTTTATTCGATTCTGCTGCAATATCCTTATTATATTTTCTAATGCTTGAATTAATGCTGAAAATTTTGATTCAAGAATTCGAAACTTTCAATTTTCAGATGTACTGACAGGAAAAAAGAAAAGGGATTGAAATGGCCCGATTTTCTCATGTTTCAGGACTGATAATTTTCCTCCTAGCGCTGGTTTTTCTTCTTATAATCGACTTGCATAGGTAAGTTCCTCGCTCGACCCCTGTTTCTACGTGTTTTCAAGTAAATCTTCAACTGCCAGAAGCCTCAAAGAGCGCCTCTCATTTTCCATCCCTCAAGAGTCACCAGCTGTACTTCATGAAGAATTCGTCTCGTCGCTAGAAAGTCCAATCGTCGTTTACAACCGCGTTCCAAAAACTGCCTCCACTGCCTTTACCCATCTTCTCTACGACCTAACCAAAGGTAAACACCCTTTTCCCGGCTCTTATTTTCAAAATGCGCTAGAAAACTCAATCTACGTCATCCATGTAAATACAACTGTGCCTAAACAGAATGCCGCAATCATGTCTCTCCACGATCAAATGCTTCTTCGACAAAATATGACGACTTGGGGCCTTACTCCTGCCTTTTATCATGGTCATTTCGCCTTCTTCAACGTCCCAAATGTCTTCTGGATCAATTTAATTCGGTAAAAGCAACCTTCTATTGTCTTTTTTTCTATTCGGAATATCTTCAGGAACCCATTTGACCGCCTGGTTTCGAACTACTATTTTCTACGATATGGTGACAACTTCCGAAAAGGACTTCTGAGAAGTAAGAACGGCGATACGACGACTTTCAACGAATGCGTGGAGAAAGAGTCAAGCAAAGACTGCTCCATTCAGAAAATGTGGATTCAGGTAATTCGACTCAAAGTCACTTGATATCACCTGCAGTCCTGTAGATCCCTTTCTATGTCTAAGGACGTCAATTGTTTTTGATATCTGATTTTAATGAAATTAATAGATATCCATTTATCTAAAGCCATTTTGAGCAACATTTTATGGCTCTCTAAATCCTCAGATGTTCCTTAGATGCCCCTCAGCCTTATTAAATGTCTGCACATCTCTGTAGATGTAAATAGGGTACCCTAGATGGATCTAGCTTTCCTTCGACCTCCGTGGGTGTCCGTAGACGTCCCTGAACGTCTCCAGATGTTTAAAGCTTTCCTTTAATGTGTCTTGACTCAAGATGCCTGTGGACGCTGTTGAATAGAAGTAAAAGGTTAAATTCATCTTCAGATTCCTTATTTCTGTGGCCAAGTAGCAGCCTGCTGGGAACCTGGAAGCCAGTGGGCTCTTGATCGAGCGAAGCAAAACGTCCTCGAACACTATTTTCTCGTTGGAACAACTGAAAATCTGATGCAGTTTGTAGAAGTCCTGGAGAACGAAATTCCTGCAGTTTTCAAGGTATTTTTCAAGCTTTTATTATGAAATAAAGTTTGATTCAGGGTTCGTATGAGAAGTTTAAAAAGCAAGAGCCAATTCGAAAAACGATTCACAAAGATGAAATAACAGAGGAAACGAAGGCGAAATTGAGCAACACGCGAATTTGGAGAATGGAGTTTGATTTTTACAACTTTGTCGTCAAAAATTTCAATCTCAGTAAGTTCCTTTCTTATGATTTTGAATGAAAGATTTTAATGAAATTCTGGAATTCGGAATCTTGGTCGAATTTCTTCGGCAATAAACGAGCAAACTAAGTGAACAATATTGATGAAGAATAAAATGTGAACTATTAGCAAACAAGCAAGAATGTAGAACAGAAGCATTAATACCCGTTTTAGTCTACACGAGGTCGATAACAGATGGAAAACTGACGAAAAAGAACTTTTTCTACGAAAAAATCTACGGCCCAACTGGCAAAATCGTCAAATAGTTGCCTCTTTTTTCTCTTTTTGCTGTCTTACTTTATGTGCTTGTATATATTGCTTGATACTTGTTACTTCTGAATCCTTCCTGTCCAGAAACTAAAAAATCTGTTGCCTTCTTCTTCAAAAATCGAAATAAATATATGAGTGAAAATGGAAATTCCGTGATGATTTTATCCAAGAAAAAACGAGGAATAAATCATCCAAAATATTGATTAAAGTAGCTAAGAAGGGGCTTTCCCCGAATTTGCAGAGTAAAATCGCGGTTAGCAGTCTCGACCTGCTTATTTTGAATATTTCTTATATCAAGCAAATTTCCAGTGAATTGATATTTCCCAAACAGCAACCCGATAACGAAATAAACGGACTTAATCCTGCCCCGGCGATGCGCTTATCTACGTAATGTCCGATAATTTTCCCCCTTTCTGAATTTTGAAGAGCTGAGACTTCACTTTAGAGCTTTAGTTTTTTGAAAAAAAATGAGAGATAAATTATTTATTTTTACACTATCTCCATTTTTATTCGAGCAGGTAGAGGCACAAAAGTGGAAGAACAAGTGGAAGACCAAGTGGCAGACGAGCGGGAAATGAGATTGAAATGAGCTTATAAAAGAGAGTTGACGAAAAACATGTTTTTTTGGCTTGTGACACCCTTAATCAAATCTCCAAAAAGTAAAGTCAACAGCTTTATCAAGTTTGTCCAATCTCCAAAAAGCACCAAAGCAGTTGTCGCCTCCTCCACCACCAAAGCTCCAACCACCACTTCAACAACAACCACAACAACGACCACAACAACGACAACAACAAACAATTTCTCATCCTGTGAATTGAGCGATGATAGCCTCAAAGCTGTTAGTATTTGTTCTCCATCAACTTTCGGAGTCGATATTCATACTTGCGTTTTTGCCGATTTGAACATGGCGCCAGGTGATGTTTTCTTCGCTGGAGCAGATGGTCTTTCGACGGTTGCTGATGGAGCATCGGCGAATAATACCTGCCAGGGGACCCTTAGTGATGATGGAACGCACTACAACTTCGCAATCAACGGAGAAATCCGCGACTGCGGCACTGAAATCTCTTCAAACGGCACCCACATTGTCTTCAGCAATAGCCTCCGCGGAACAGCTGGAGAAATCCTCGGGAAAATCACTCGACAGCGCGTCATGAATGTTCAATTCGAATGTCATTTTGAGAAGGTTCAACGAGTCGCGCTGGCGGATCCGATTGTCGCGAATTTGTTCCAAGTGACACTTGATAATGGAGAAGATTTGTCGGAGTTTGATGTGTCTTTTGGAATTTATGAGGATGACTCTTTCAGGAACGCATAATCAATACGAATTGCGGATCTTTTTATTCTAAAGGGAATGTTTTCGATAACGGATTTTTTATTCAGAGCTCTGATTGAACGGCTTCCAAAATGCCCTGATCTGGCCAATCAACGCTCTGAATGAAAGAGTTGATGTTCAAAGCACCATTATCATGCTCTGAAAGCTCCTTCTTGGCTTCCAATGCTACAACAAACGTCCCAAGCGACATTTACCTCGGCGTCAGTCTCGACAATTCAACACCTGGTTACGTCATTCAAATCGAAGAATGCTGGGCTACTCCAAGGTAAACCCGTTTTCTCAGCTAATTTCTCAATTCTTCAAGCGACAACGCAGAAGACGCGCAAAAATACATGTTCATGGAAAACTTCTGCCCAGTCCAAACCGAGTTCGACATTGGCGTCATCAAAGTTTTCGAAAACGGCGTCGGCGATTTCGCGTCTCTTAGACTTGAATCTTTCATTTTTGAAAATTCGACCGAAGCGTTTTTTCACTGCGCTGTTCAAATGTGCGATGAAAATGCAGGACCTTGCATTCCGAATTGTGGAGCGAGAAGAAGAAGAACCGCCGGAGAGAGCGAGGAGGATAGAATTTTGTTGTCTGTTGGAATCACTGGTGAATAAATTCATTTACTTAGTTTTCGTACTTCTTCATGAATCATGAAGGATTAAAAAAAGAATTTGGGCTCGGAAACCTGGGAAGAAAGCCTGAGTCAGGGTCTGAAAAATGTCTGAAGATATTTCAGACCCTGACTCAGTTTTTCTACGCAGGTTGCCGAGGCAACGTAAGATTGTCGACTTTTCAGTATAGACTATACTGTCGCATGTAGGGCTGTTTATTGTAGATCCTGTAGAAACATGTTTGGGATAGATGTTTTTCTTTCAAAAACTTCTCTTGGCTTCGGATACGGCTTTACTCTAGCGCTGACAGCTGATGCTTGAATGTACAATTTGTGAAAACTCTTCATCGAGTTGATTTTCCGTCTAAAATTTGGAAATTTTTGAAAAAGGAGGAGGAAGGCTTGCCTGATTTGACGCTCGCTGATGAAGAGATAGGTGAAGTAAATTGCGGTGAAGACAAGGAAGCAAATGAATAAGAGAATCAAGGCGAATATAATGTAGTTCTTTGGAAATTTATAAATCAATGATGAATTTAAGAATTTTTTTTCTACGAGAAAGTTTAAAAAAAAAGGGTTGGGTCAGATACCGGCAAAAAATCTCGAAAATTTCGCGTGGGGGGCATTTCGGTTGCTGATCGGTCGGATAGCCGAATCAAGGCTTCTGATTGGTCGAAAATCTTCACGCAAAATTTGTCAAAATTTTTCGTCGGTTCCTGACCTCGGGCGAGCAGCGCTGAGCCAAACTTCACGCGCTGGCCGTTCTTCTTAGAAATGAGATTTTTTGAAATTTCTTTTTGTAAATTTTATCTCCAAATCTTCAGCTTTCTATTCCGATTCTTAGTTTTTCTCTATCATTCTTGGTTGATGAGCTAGCGACAAAAAAAGAAGCCCAACTTCAAAAGGCATCAAGTCTTACAAACTTTATTTTTTCTGCATAAAACTAGCACCATTGAAAAGCGCGTTAAATTCTGAATAGATTCCACCCAATCAGCTAAATTCAATCGGTACTCATTGGCGTGTAAGGCCAGATAAAGAAAACTACTTAGCGCGCGCAGCTGGTCGCGGCACGGCTGGACGCTCCGATTTAGCTATTTTGGGCTTCCTGGACATGATTCCCGCTGGGCGGGCGCTAAGTTATCTTGTTTATCTGGACTTACACGCCAATGAGTACCGATTGAATTTAGCTGATTGGGTGGAATCTATTCAGAATTTAACGCGCTTTTCAATGGTGCTAGTTTTATGCAGAAAAAATAAAGTTTGTAAGACTTGATGCCTTTTGAAGTTGGGCTTCTTTTTTTGTCGCTAGCTCATCAACCAAGAATGATAGAGAAAAACTAAGAATCGGAATAGAAAGCTGAAGATTTGGAGATATAATTTACAAAAAGAAATTTCAAAAAATCTCATTTCTAAGAAGAACGGCCAGCGCGTGAAGTTTGGCTCAGCGCTGCTCGCCCAGGTCCCTTAAAAAAGAGCTTATTTATAAATTTTCCTGAAGAAGAAAAGCCAGAATTTCATTCATCAAATTATGACCCATCTCTGCGATTTTTCCTCTTCATCTGAAAGAGTGCTGTTTTTCTCCCCCTCTCCAAGGACTCCTTCTCTGATTTATTAAAAAGTGAACCGTCGATTAAAATCAAGAAAGTTTGGACGCAAAGTCCGCTGATCTTTGCTCGCGTGTCCCTGTCAGTCAATAATGAGATGCCGATTTTAATTTGAATTACTCGGCGAAATTGGAAAAAAGGAGAAGGCGAAATACAGCAAATCGCCTCTCAATATGAACTGATCGACGGACGATTCATCTGTCACCGATCCAGGATTTCTTGTATTGATTTTATTGAGGACAAAGTTCAGGATTTTGGCTTTCTTATCGGAGAAAATGACAGATCTATTGTCAAAAGACTATTGAACATTATTCGCTTTTTTAGTTATTAGTTGGAAATTTTTTTTCTGCTGAAAAGTTTTAATGAAATTTTCAATGAAAAAAGTGATCACAAAAAAGAGCGTCATTTTTCAAGAAACAGAAGGGAAAATAAAGGTCGATTCATTGTTCAACTAGTGACAGTGTCAACCAGTGTTTGAAAAAACCCGCCCGCGAACCCCGCGGGGGCCGCGGGCGGGGGCCACGGGCGCCCGCGCCCCCCGTACCCGCAAGAAATCTCGGATTTGGCCCCCGCGCCCGCCCGCGCCCGTAGAAAATTTTTGATCTGGCCCCCGCGCCCTCCCGCGCCCGTGGAAATTTTTTTCGCGCCCGCGGGCGCCCGGGGCTCACCATAAATTGAATTAAGCTAGTTAAGAATGTTAGGTTTTCATCTGAAAAACTTTGCGTAAAATGAATGAGCCCAGTTCCTTGATTTATGAATAAAGAAACAGTTTTTTTTAAATAAAGGCCGTTTTGGCAATCTTTGACTGGAAAATCAGCCGATTTGAATTATGAATCCTGACGAACATTATTGTCAAAAGAACTTCTTCAAAACAGAGAAATCTACCTTTCTCATTGCATTCTAAGCTATCGATAGACCCCTTGTTTGTTAATTTTCGGGCCGTCTCAGCCCCGTTCCTTGATTTTTTGATTTAAGGGGCTTGACGGCCCTTCGGGCCGTCTCAGCCCCGTTCCTTGATTTTTTGATTTAAGGGGCTTGACGGCCCTTCGGGCCGTCTCAGCCCCGTTCCTTGATTTTGATTTAAGGGGCTTGACGGCCCTTCGGGCCGTCTCAGCCCCGTTCCTTGATTTTTGATTTAAGGGCTTGACGGCCCTTCGGGCCGTCTCAGCCCCGTTCCTTGATTTTTGATTTAAGGGGCTTGACGGCCCTTCGGGCCGTCTCAGCCCCGTTCCTTGATTTTGATTTAAGGGGCTTGACGGCCCTTCGGGCCGTCTCAGCCCCGTTCCTTGATTTTTGATTTAAGGGCTTGACGGCCCTTCGGGCCGTCTCAGCCCCGTTCCTTGATTTTTGATTTAAGGGCTTGACGGCCCTTCGGGCCGTCTCAGCCCCGTTCCTTGATTTTTGATTTAAGGGCTTGACGGCCCTTCGGGCCGTCTCAGCCCCGTTCCTTGATTTTTGATTTAAGGGCTTGACGGCCCTTCGGGCCGTCTCAGCCCCGTTCCTTGATTTTTGATTTAAGGGGCTTGACGGCCCTTCGGGCCGTCTCAGCCCCGTTCCTTGATTTTTGATTTAAGGGCTTGACGGCCCTTCGGGCCGTCTCAGCCCCGTTCCTTGATTTTTGATTTAAGGGCTTGACGGCCCTTCGGGCCGTCTCAGCCCCGTTCCTTGATTTTTGATTTAAGGGCTTGACGGCCCTTCGGGCCGTCTCAGCCCCGTTCCTTGATTTTTGATTTAAGGGGCTTGACGGCCCTTCGGGCCGTCTCAGCCCCGTTCCTTGATTTTTGATTTAAGGGGCTTGACATAGGCTTGGAACATTTAGTTGATCAATCTCAGTTTTGTCCCCAACCCCACCCACACCCATTGTTTTAAAAGTCAAATTATCTTAGTTTTTAGCTTAATTATGGTTTTTTCTGAGAGTTATTCTTCTATAATTCGCAGATTCATATCCCTCGAACCCGCGGGGCCTGCGGGCGCGAGGGTAACGGGCGCCCCCTGCCCCCGGGCGCCCGCGGGCGCGATTTTTTGCGGGGCCCCCGCCCGCGCCCGCCCGCACCCGCGCAAAATTCTTGAATCGGCCCCCGGGCCCGCCCGCAACCGCGCAAAATTTTGAAATCGGCCCCCGCGCCCGCCCGCGCCCGCGGAAAATTTTGAAATTGGCCCCCGCGCCCGCCCGCGCCCGCGGAAAATGTTGCGGGTTTTCAAACACTGGTGTCAACACAGTTGCTATGACCGCCATAAAATTAAATACAAGTGTTATGAATTTCCCTTCTTTGGCAAAAAGTGGCAAGTATCTTGAACTCCACTGGACAAAATTTAAAAATGTCAGTCTTGTCAGATAACAACAACAGCGAGAAAGAGATGTATGACATCCACGAGGATATGCCTCTGTTTGCAACAAGCAGTGTACAAAATACAGAGACAAATAGGCGAAGAATTGCCCGCGAGGCTACCTCGGTATCTTTTTCCTAACGATAAGAAAAAATTTTCTCATCCTTTTCTAGGCAGGATGTCAAGAAGCAGCACGAGAAGCTGCTGTTCAAGTTGACGGGCCACCAGAAGACAGACCGAATTCTAGTTACAGTCGACTTGTGAAATGGCTTCCGCGGGATCAAATCGATAATTTGAAGCAAAGAATCAAGGAATATCTCACATTTGAGGTCGAGAAAGATGGTGATGAAGATGAAAAGAAGGAGAAATTCCTCGAAAACGCGAAAGAACTCGTCAGGAAGGTGATGGACGAGTTCGAAATAGATGAAACTCTTTCGAAACTCAAACAATGTAGGAATAAAAAACCCATATTCTTTTTCATAAACTCAATATTTCAGTCTCGATGGTGATTTTCCTCCACAAACTGATCGTTTACGAGCTGAACAAGCACGTCAGCTTCTTCCAAATCGGCAAAGTCTATCTCGGCGCTTTCACCGATCTCCTCTTTGGTTTCCTCACCAGCTTTTCTTCCGCCGAGTTTTCGAAGATCTGGAACGCCGCCATGAATGCAACTCAAAATTTCTTCAATGCAGAAATGCTCATTGGAGTCGGACTTGCTTCCTGTGCCTGTTTTTATCTGTACAAAAACTTTCAGAAATAAACATGTTTTCGAAGAGCTTATCTTTCCGCCAGGCGATTTTGTCTTGCCCTTTTTTCTTATTTTTGTCTTTCGAAAAAGTGTTCATGCGTCACTAGCTGAGCAAATAGCTCTGAGGCAGTTCAAACAATGCTCCAACAAAAAAATGACTCCGCGGATTAGTCGACCAGTCATTAAAATAAACGCAAGCGCAATAATTACGTCTCTTTCCCTTTTTACAGCTTCAGATTTCAACTTTTTTTTTCACTTTGAAATGTCGAAGAAACACGAAGAAAATGAGCCGTTGCGAGATTTGCACGGCAATGTTGAGAATACTAAGGAAAACATAACCCATGTCGCGGAAACTGCTGCAGACGTGAGTTAAAAATATTATTTTTTTGGCTATTCGATGTTGTAGTGGATAGTTTAAGGAGGTCGATATCAACAATCGCCATTTTCCGTCAGTCTTTTCTTTCAAAGTTAAAATAGTAACACCTTTATTTTACTTTGAAAGCAAAAACTTTAGACCTTTCTCTATTTTTGTGGAAGCTGAAATTTCGAATTTCAAAAAAAAAATAAATTGACAAAATTGTTCGTCAAAGATTGCCAACTTTCCTAAAATGGTTATTTTCAAGACAATCGGAGGTGCCAGATTTGCATTGTAGCACCTCGAAAGCTCAAGAAATCTTAATTTTTGGCTTCTATAGGAAAGAGATTATCGCCTAAAATACATTTTGAGCCGAAAAATTAAGGGGTCACTATGTGAAAAATTGGAGAAACCACTGAAAATCAATCCGATTCTTGATATATACCCCCTTAACGAGAAAAAGGAGATTAAAAGCGTTTTAAGGTCGGCCTTTTACGAGGAACCCAAGAAGCAGTCGACGAAGGTTCTGCCGAGGAGCAGCAGGCGCGCCAAGCCGATGCAGTGACCGGCGTTTCAAACTCGCCTTATATCAGAGATTGGTTCGACCGACTGATCACATGGCTTCCTCAAGAGCAATTCAACAACATCAAGAACAACGTTTCTGCGTTTATCAATGATGGGGTTTCCGAAGAAAAAACTGGCGAGAAGAAAAAAGAAAGGATCTTTGAAAATGCAAAGACTTTGATTGAGAGGGTCTCGAGCGAATTTGGAAGTGATGGATCTTTAACAAAGCTGCAGCAATGTAAATGACACCTTTCTCGATTTTTTGTTCATTTTTTCAGTTTCTTTGATGATTATTCTTCACAAAATGATCGCGAAAGAGCTCGCCAATCAGATCAGATCGAAGCTGCTTGACATGCGCGACATTGCCCGAATCTACCTCAAATTCTTCAAAGATTTCCTCGTCCAACTTCTGTTCGGCTTCAATCCCGATGAGTTCCGTCAGATTTGGGACGCTACGATCGTCGCTGTTCAAAACTTCGGCTCAATAAGAATGTGCGTCGCTGTTGTGGTCGTTTCTTACGCGTGCTTTTATCTGTTCAATAATTATTTCAGAAAATAAAGCAATAAATGACATCCGAAAATGCAAATAAAAAACAGGGGCTTCTCATTTTAGTGGTGCGCTGAGTCTCTTTATTTGCAAATACGTAAATATCATTGAGTTTAATAGCTTTCGCGAGTTCTGAAATCGTGAAGAAGAGGCAGGAATATCACTCCTACAATGGGGAAAGACGTTGGAAATTATATATTTCGGAGAAATCTGAGAGATGATGGAGCAGATTGTGCAAAGATGTTCTGGATTATGAGAAAAAGTAAAATGATTTTTTTTGTGATGTAATCAATTATTTCTTTTTTTTTTGTAGAAAACAAAGAATACCTTCTAAAATTCATGAAAAATCGCGCTGCTGGCAAAAAAGAGTTCAAGATAATGGAAAGTCTGAAGCATGAAAATGTTGTTCGAGTGATTTCAAGCCAGCTTTTCAACTTTAAAAATGTTGAGTACTTTGGAATATTCATGGAATTCTATCTTCGAGGCGATCTTGAAGAATTTCTCAATCGAAAAAAAAGTGACGAAGGAAACTGGTCTGAAAATGATGCGCTGAAATTTAGCAGCCAGCTTATTTATGGCCTTTCTTACCTTCATGAAAATCAAATTGTTCATCGAGACATTAAGCCAAAGAATATCTTTCTCACAGAAAGCGATCAGCTTAAAATTGGAGATTTCGATGTTTCAGGAGAGCTTTTGATTTTCGATTTTTGGCTCAAATTTCTGGCTTTTATTTCGAAAGCTAAATCAGAACATATCTCGACAACCCGAAAAACAACAAAAGTCGGGACGGAACTCTACATGCCTCCTGAGTCGCTGGACAATCATGGAGAAGAAAATCTGAGTCATAAAATCGATATCTGGGCATGCGGATGTGTTCTTTATTATATTGCCTACCTAGAGCATCCGTTCCTTGAAAAGTCAAGATTTAAAACTTCCGCGAGAATATATGAAGGTAGGCAATCAACGATTAATCAAAATAACCACAAATTAGTTGATGCAAAAGAACCCACAACAATTTTTCCGAAATGCCAGTCATTGATCGAGATTTGCTTGAAAAAAGAACCAGGGGAAAGAGTCGAGAACGCGATGATATTGTCTGAGCATCGCGATATCCGGAATCTGATTTGTCAACTTGAAGCAAAAATCGAACCTAATAATCTTTCTTTTTCAAACAGCTACGAAGATTGCGTTCGACTTGCGAATAAGAAATTGAAGAGAGACAAAGAGTTGCTGGAAGAGATTCTTAATCATCATGAAGATTTAAGAAATTTAGAAATCGAATATTCTGTCAAAAAAGTTTTTGATTTTATCGGAAAGAAGACGAAAAAAACTGTTGAAGACTTTAACAAAGCATATCCGAGAAATTTTCTTATAAAATCAAGACTTCAAGGAATAGGTTATTATTATTCGTTAAATTTTGGTGACGTTATTTTTGATCAAGGTTATTATTTTGGGGCCGACGATAGAAATGTTCGATTCAGCAATGAATATAAAGAAAAATTCAAACTTTCGTTTATTTTCGATGCCGTTGACCGTGGAATCCGACACATAAATCTAAAAGTTTGTTTTTTTTTATAAACTTCTTGCCTTAAATTTTTCAGTTCTGTTTCGACAAAAGCATTGATATTCGACATGGCGATTGGGAAATTAAGTCGCCAAAACTTATCGAGTTTGACCCTCCTGTTGATGGAAAAGATTGGTCTGATTGGAAATTATCGATAAAAAATAACAGTAAGTCGAGCAAAAAAACCGAAACTTGTAGAAAAGATTGAAACGAAGAAGAAAACTCTGTGTTTTTTTAGGAAAGCAATTAAAATTCGAAGCGTTCGCCGAGAACATTTGTTATGACACTGGCGTTGTTTCTTCTCGAGTGGAGAATATTCAAAGCAAGACTGTCGATGGAGCAGAAGTTGTTGAAACTCCAGCTATCGGATATCTTGGATATCTCAGATGGAACATAGCGTTATTGATGTCATGAATCACGATTCGTTTCATTGGTCTTTAAATAAAAACCAACCATCTCACATTTTTCAATTTCTCAAATTTCCTTTAACAATTCAGCTCTTTTAGACAAGCTATTCTTTATTATTATATCTTGTCCCGAGAAGGCGTTGTCCTTCCCAAAAACAACCAAACAATCACTTAGTTACTCAAAGGTACTTAAACCGAACCACTGCTCCCCTTTTATTTGATCCAATCGCAAATTTAATCCCCCTCTTGATCTCCATTGAGATCTCGCGAAGTGAAAAATGTTCCGCTTGAGGTACTCTTGTCGATAAATAGTGCTTGAGAACTTTGCTTGAAATTGGGACAATTCAAATTCTTTTTTGAACGCAGAAAACTTATTTTGGAGTGAAAAAGGAAAAGAGATGTTCAGGCTGAGAAGAATGAAACTTTTGGAACTTGATGATAGATTTTGGATTTATAGGCTGAGGCAATACAAGGTAAGATTATTTAAAAATAGCGACAAAAATAATATTTCAAAAAATAACCTTTTTAAGATTAAGCTTAACAATTATTTTTGTGAAAAACAGGTAAATAAGCGGTGACGTCATAAATCTTAGAAATTAAAAAATTTTGAAAATTATGAAATTCTTTTTTTTTGATAAAAAAAACTTTTTTTTTTCTTCATTATAATTGCCAAAATTATGATTCATAATTAAAAAAATCCTTTTCATTTTAAAGTTAACGCAAAAAAAAATTCACCCGAAATTAGCTTTGGTGCCATTTTTAGGTGACCCAAGGTGAGTTCGTTCCTAGAACGAACTTCTTTCCTCCACTTCAAAATCCGAAAATCAGCTGACTTGTTAATCCCCTCTCTAACATAAATAACTTCAGGCGAACGACGAAAGAGTAGCCAGAACCATGATTTGGGAAAGGATTCTAAAATCTGAAACAGTTTTTTGTGAAATTTTTGAGAAGCGAGAAATTCTGCCCATTTTGGGAGACATGGAAGAGAACAGAGGAAAAATCCTTGAACAGATTCTTTACGTCACCATTTTGCTCGTCCTTTGCTGCCAGAATAATTCCCTTGCTTCTTCTATCCGGTAAAATTTCATCCTTTATTTCATTTTCAATCGAAAATTAAGGGCTTATTGCCTCCTTGCGCTGCTCAAGCTTTCTGAAATCACGGCGGACGCGATTTTCAACTCCCTCGACATTCTAGCGCCCTGTTTTCTCATCGGCTGGTATTTCTTTGAAGCCGTCCGTGGAATGCGACTGAATCTTCAATCTGTAGTAAGTCACATTTTCTTCATAAACCCCCCTTTGATTTTCCCCTAAAAATCCCAACAAATTTTGCGTCGAAATTTTCATCCAATCAGAAGCCTCGATTCGGCCAGCCAGCCAATCAGCTGCCGAGTAGCCGCCAACGCAAAATTTGTAGTTTTTTTGGCGATTCCTGACACCACCCCTTAATTTTCCTTTCTTTCACCTCTTTTCTAGCAAGCAAAACTCTCCTCAAATCCAGGAAACGAAGACTTCCCAAGATCGATTGGCGTTTCTTGCGCCAAAGAAGAGCGCGAAACTCAGCATCGTTACGCAAGATTGATTTGAAAAACATCAACTTTTTAAACAAAAATTTTGTTCGCCTGTTCATCCTCAAAAACTGCCGCATTTTCCTTGTAAATACAATCGCCTCAAAATCGACAAAAAAAAAACTGACTGACAGACAAAATTAAATTTTCATCCCCTCCATTTCGTGTCGTTCAGAAAATAATGACCCGCTAGGCCAGATGGTCTGTGGGTGAAATAATTTATGAAATGGTCAAAAATTGATCCTCGATTTTCCCAAAATCTTCCGCGAAAAAACGGCATTGAAGCATTTTTCGTATGAATAGGGCGACAGTTTCTCCTCGCCGCAATTCACAGCTTGGAACTCAAGACCCTCGAATGGTGTTTTCTTTTATGTATTCTTCTTTATTTTCAAAAGAAAAAAGAAGCGCGGTATTATTCAAGCGTCGCTTGGAGACGGAAGTTGGGCAACTTGCGTTTTTAAGCAATTTTATTCATGATAAATGAACTTTACTGCTTAATTTTCCAAACTAAAAATAATCCTCATCGAAAATTTTTCACGTTTGTTATCAAAAAACACCTGATCCTCAAGGCACTTTCCCGCCATGATTAACCTTCTGTAAATCAATCAGGAATCTGCACACTCATCAGAACCTCGCTCGTCCTGTGTTAATTTTATTACCCAACGCCGCGCGGGAAAATTCCCTTGGGTAACGGTCGCGCGCGCTTGCTGACTTTTGTACCCAAAGATCGAGGATGGTAAAATGCCGCGCAACCTTCTTTTTTGGTCACGTGCTAACGCAAATGGAAAAATTTGAACTTGATGAACCTGTGACTGTATTACAGTAAATATCCCTCCGAAAAATAAGGTCGAGTTCAGGGGAGGCGTCTGGAACCGACAAAAAATATCGACAAATTTTGCGTGGAAATTTTCAACCAATAAGAAGCCTGAACTCGGCTTTCTAGCCAATCAGAAGCCGAGTAGCCGCCAACGCAAAATTTTTCGAATTTTTTGTCGGTTCTTGAGTCTTGAATCCAGATAGCCCTCCTGATTCACAGGGGTTGGTTTTGAATCCCTTGAAAATTTATCCTTTTCCGAAAACAAGGAAATGACATTTAGATAAACCATCTAATGAAGCCTAATTCGCGCAACCTTCATCTTTGCCCTTGACCCTTGAGACGGCCCTCGCTCACGTCTTTCCATTAAAAAAACGAGCGTTTTCATCTTGGGGCGATTTTCGTTTTTGTTTCCTCAAGATGCGCCCGTCTTGGGCGCCCTCAGCGCCACCGAATCTCCCCTCTCCATCTCGAAGCTGCAATCTCAGAGCTCATACCGGCCCACGAGCGAACGCAGGAGACTCTCTCTCTTCCTTGTTTTTTTACTTTTTTTAAATAAACACTCTTTTTTTTGTAAAAATGCGAGAAATTGTCCACATTCAGGCTGGCCAGTGCGGTAACCAGATTGGTGCCAAGGTAAGACTTCTTTTTTCAATTATTTTTAGCGAAAAACAGGGTTAAATTTTTCAAAATTAATAAAAAATTGGCTGAGCCGCATGCGGCTTTTGAACAAGAAAATAAGTTAATTTTTTAAGCCGCAGGCGGCTTTTTCTCTCTTTTGATTTTAACGGCCGAAAATTTACTGCGCGCCAAATAAATCAGATTTGAAAATCTCATCTTGTTGTTTTCAAATTTTTAACTTATTTATCCGCATTTTTATTGTTTTTCATCGAAATCTGAAAATATTTATCTTTTCATTGATCATTTTTTACGCGCCAATTTTTTTTGCCTCCTTGATTTACCTTTACACTTTTAGTTCTGGGAAGTGATCTCCGACGAGCACGGCATCGACCCCACCGGCTCCTACCAGGGCGACTCCGATCTCCAGCTCGAGCGAATCAACGTCTACTACAACGAGGCCACCGGCGGCAAGTAAGTTCAAGGCTACAGTTGGCTACAATCGCTCACGTGGCGCGTCATTTTCACACTTTTATCGATCGCATCAGCAAAAAAAGTGGACGATTTGCGCAATGATGAGTAGGCTCTTGAGAATTCAAATTTTGAAACAAAAAAATCTCAAAATATTCTTTCAGATATGTCCCCCGAGCAGTCCTTGTTGATCTCGAGCCCGGAACAATGGATTCCGTCCGATCAGGTCCATTCGGCCAGATCTTCCGACCAGACAACTTCGTCTTCGGCCAGTCCGGCGCCGGAAACAACTGGGCCAAGGGTCACTACACAGAGGGAGCCGAACTCGTCGACTCCGTCCTCGATGTCGTCCGAAAGGAAGCCGAATCGTGCGATTGTCTCCAGGGATTCCAGCTCACTCACTCGCTCGGTGGTGGAACTGGCTCCGGTATGGGAACTCTTCTCATCTCCAAGATCCGAGAAGAATACCCCGACAGAATCATGAACACCTTCTCTGTCGTCCCCTCCCCTAAGGTCTCCGACACCGTCGTCGAGCCCTACAACGCCACTCTCTCCGTCCACCAGCTCGTCGAAAACACCGACGAGACCTACTGCATCGACAACGAAGCGCTCTACGACATCTGCTTCCGAACCCTAAAGCTCACCACACCAACCTACGGCGATTTGAACCATCTTGTCTCCGTCACCATGTCTGGCGTCACCACCTGCCTCCGATTCCCCGGTCAGCTCAACGCCGATCTCCGAAAATTGGCCGTCAACATGGTAAATTATCAAATCTTCCTCCAATTCGTTCGCTTTTCATTTCTTTTCTTAGGTTCCCTTCCCCCGACTCCACTTCTTCATGCCCGGTTTCGCTCCACTCACCTCCCGCGGCTCCCAGCAATACCGAGCCCTGACCGTTCCTGAACTCACCCAGCAGATGTTCGATGCCAAGAACATGATGGCTGCTTGCGATCCTCGACATGGACGGTAAGTCGCTATTCCCCAACCCCATATTTCATTTGCTAGATACCTCACCGTCGCCACCATGTTCCGAGGACGAATGTCGATGAAGGAAGTCGACGAGCAAATGCTCAACGTCCAGAACAAGAACTCCTCCTACTTCGTCGAGTGGATTCCAAACAACGTCAAGACCGCCGTCTGCGACATTCCACCACGAGGACTCAAGATGTCCGCCACTTTCGTCGGCAACTCAACCGCTATCCAGGAGCTCTTCAAGCGAATCTCCGAGCAGTTCACTGCTATGTTCCGACGAAAGGCTTTCCTCCACTGGTACACTGGTAAGTCAATCAAAACCTGAATTCCCGCTAACACCTGATTTCAAGGCGAGGGTATGGACGAGATGGAGTTCACCGAAGCCGAATCGAACATGAACGACTTGGTCTCCGAGTACCAGCAGTACCAGGAAGCCACCGCCGAGGACGACGCCGAATTCGACGAAGAGGAAGAAGAAGAGGAAGCTTAAATTTCTTCCCCTGTTTTTCTTAGTTCCGTACAAGTAGGACCAATACGCACCAAAAAGATTTTTATTTGTTTAAATTTTAATACTTATCATTCCCGGGACATCTTTATTTTGTGAACTAACTGTTTGAAATCATTCAATTACGGTTTTTCAGCAAATAAAGACATTCATTCCTCAACCAAAAAAATTATTCTATTGTCTTTTATTGTCGTATTTTCAGTCAGTTTTCTATCAATTGAAACGTCATACAAAAATAATTGAGCTAAAAAGACAACGACTAAAAAAGTGGAAAGAAAGACGGTAGAAGAATCAGCCCTCAGAAGAATAGTCTTCGTCATCTGCATGTCTAAAGTCGAAGTCTTTATCAGTTTTAAAATAAAACTTTTAAAAAGGCCGTACCGACTAGAAGGTGGGTTCTGGTCGGACATGGAGTAGGAATCATTTTGCTCTCCGTCTTCTGTTGATCGCTTTTTAGGCTCTGATGATGGGTTGAAAAGGATTCTTGGTTAGTTAAAAATCAAGATTGTTTCAAACCCGCTCCCGAATTTGCCGCGTTTTGTGATTTTCATGATGATGAAGGCAAAAATGAGAACAACGAGGATGACCCCAAGGATGATGAGGAAAATGTGCCACCAAAACCACCAAGGACAGTTGTTTGGCCAAAATTCTTCAGGATGAAGATTTTCTAAAGACATTTCTTGAGCTTTGAAAGAAAGAAAATGGCTAACCTGTGTAAGCCATGCTTTCTAATTTTCTTTTCATAAGTTCCATATTGTTATCATGGTCGCCAGGTCGGATACAGTTATTCAAATCGTTTTGTACCGTAATGATGTTTGGTTCGGGAAAGAAATTTTGGCAGAAATCGCGGCCACTTTTTATGACAGTTTCGAAGGTTTTGCATTTTTCTGAGCCAGTTACGCAATTCCAGTCTTGAAGTGGAAAAATATCAGGGTCTGACCCTCCCGTTGAGTAAAATGGATCGACATCGAGGCAGACGTGCTCGTATTTGCAGTGATCGTAGAACTCCTGGCACCAGTCGGAGCAAATTGGGACATTGACAAGTTCGTAGCCTGTTGGAGCTGGATCTCGATTGAGGATGACTGAATTGACTGGAAAAGAACTTTGCCAGGGGAAGAGATTCGGGGAGCAGCGGATTTCGGAAACGAAGGATTGCATCATTTCTAGAAAAAATAATGAATAGCTTTTTTTGAAAATAAAATTTTACCCGAGCAAGTGTCAGAAACAGCATTGCATTCTTCATTCTTCCAAGGGTTGGCGTTGCATTGACCAAAACTCCACATTCCAATTTTATTGATCGGACGAGTGTAGACTTCTCGATTCGTCTCTACATCGCAGCAAGAATGATCTCGATGCGCGGTGCATTCGAATCTACCCATGTTATCATGTTGCTGAGGGAGATTCACTGGTCGGATTGTTGAATTGAGGTTTTGAGGGTCTTAAAAAGGAGTTATTTTAAAAAAGTAAGAAAATTCAAAATCAAGATGACCCTGTCCCCTTATTTCAGGAGAACAGGGATCCCCTTATGTCCTAAAAATATGGTTATTCTTTGGTTGGTGTCAGGAACCGACAAATTTTGCGTTGGCGGCTACTCTGCTGTTGATTGGCCGGTGTCCCGAATTCAGGCTTCTGTTTGGTTGAAAATTTCCACGCAAAATTTTTCGAATTTTTGTCGGTTTCTGACATCTCCCCGTTATTGAATCTCTTTACCTCTTATTGCAGAACATCTATCATTATCTGTTATCTGATAGGCATCCCTAACGGCCAGAAAAAGTATCAAACTCTTCATATTTTCATAAAATTGAGATCTGACGTCAAATTTTTTCAAGCATTCGATTTTATAGGCAGCGATTTAGTTCAACAATTGTGTTGCATGTTGAATCAGCATTTTGCATGAACGCGCAGCCATAATGGGATGATTTTTGCTGGCATTGAATCAAAGGGACCTTTTTTGGGGCGGCTATTCAGAAGATTCCTCGCTTTTCAATGGACAGCTGGAGAAAAGCTTGAAGATTTTCTTTGATGATTTACATTTGAACATCAAATTTAAGAAGGCATGTATGACTCTTTATAAATGACTGTAACTCATTGCTTAATTGATTCATTTGATTGAACTTCGCGAAGAACTAAAACCGAGGGAGCTAAATATTCAATGAGGCAAAATATGATTTGTAGAAGATGCATATTTCGGATGTTATCGGCGACTAATCGATTAGCTCCAGGAGAACGTCCTTTCAATCACCCGTTTTTTTATCCGCAAAACTCAAGCCGAATAAAGAGATAAATCAGATTATGCTTATTCTACTACTTACGAGTTTATTACTGTCAGAAGCACTAGAATGCTACAAAGATACATGCGTGAGCCTAGGTACGTTATTTGCCAAAAAAACGGGGCCAACATTTGATTTCGTAGCTACAGAATGCAGAATAACAGTAAATACATCAAGAGAAATTTGCTCGGACGCAGAAGAATGCTGTATGATTGAGTATCAAGAATCAAGTCGTAAGTTTAAGGACCCCCTCATCGCGAAAATAGGGCTTTTTAGTGAAATTTTTTCTCAAAAACTATCTAAGATAGACCCTTCATTTCAATTGCTTCCCCTAGATAAAAGTTTTATCATAAAACCCCCTCATGCTCTCCTGATCATAAACTTAAGGATATACAGGCTCTTAAAAGTAAAGTTGCTAGGTACAGCCTGTACCGTACAGGTTTTTGGGTTTTTTTGGTATACCATTTTATTTTTTGCAAGATCTTCAGTCTTCAAAGTCTGCAAACTCAAGGCTTCCTTCTCACAATCTATCATTGTCAGAATATCTGACCTTTTGACCAAGAACTTGTACGCTCGCTTCCCTGTCAGATCTCATTAAATTTTACGGGAGACAAAATTTGATATGGATTGTATGAAGCCAACATGGCCAATTTTGAATACAAAATCGAATAAAACAATAATTTTCGTATAGTTGGGCGAAAAAAACGACCAGTAATCATCACAAGCTATGGATGCCGAAAACCTGTGGCAGCTGAAACAAAATGCTCTCAAATGGGCGAAGCAGACCAATACAGTAGGTTGCAAAGAAAAATCATTGAGTGATGATTTGTTAAGTCAGATCGTGTTTATTTTCATGCAAAACTTCGCTGTGCAATACTGATGAGATGATTTCTTCGGCGAGGACAACTTCTTTATTCACGCTAATTTTTCAAATGCTTTTTTTTCTGTTACTGTAAATGTTATGTACACAGCCATATTTTTGAAATAAATCATCATCTCATAAATGCTTAATTGATCAATGTTCCGTTTTGTTGTGACCCTTTTTGAACAGACTTTATTGTTTGTAAAATGCGGCTTGGTGGGATGGAACGTATATTTTTGGCACGGATCCAAAGCGCTAAAAAATGCAGTAATCAGGTCAGGAAAGGGTTCAAAATTGAACATTAGCTTCCATAGTGACTCCAATAAATCTGTTCACGAGAATTCTCAAATTCATCAAAATTTGAATTATCGTCTTGATACCCTTATTTTTTTTATTATTTGGGAGCTTTTTTGACACAAAAAAAAATATTTTGAAAAAATAAAAGCGAAGGCATTTGTCGCTGAGATAATTGCAGTTGATCTTGCTCGTACTCGTAGTTTATTTCCAAAAACAAACTTTTCCCTCATCCCTTTTTTCCTGAACCCTCTGACTTAGCCGCCTTGGCCGCTGGGCACTTTACTCAGGATGCCGCAGCGTCAAGCGGCGGTATCTCTTACGATAAAAAATTTCTACGCATAGAAAGTTCAGAAATAGCAAAATGAGAAATTCGCGATAGAGAAAAAAATCTGAAAAGAGAATGTCTTCCAACGCGACTAGTTTGTCAAATCTGCGGCGGCTGGGGTACAGAAGCGTTCAGAGACAACCGCTGGATAGATTCAAGAGCTCAAGTCAGGATTTACTCAATGAAAACAACATCAAATCGAGGTTGGAAGAAGAGTTGAATTGGTTCGAAGGATCTAGGCCGGCAAAATCAATTGAAAATCTGCTCTCGCCTTCGGAAAATGAGCGATCTCGTCCGACGAAATCTCGTATTCCAGCGCATGGAAACGTTGATGAGAAGAAGAAAAAACTCATGTCGCAGGGGCTTTTCAGGGATTCAACGCAGCTGCATCAGAATTCGGGGATTTCAGGGCAATCCAGGCTGCCAAAACCTTCCAGTATTTTATCTCAGGAAGAGGATAATGATTTTTTTTCAAGAAGAATGATAGATATTATTGTTTCTTTTTCAAAAATCACGTTCATAAGAAAGTCACGTAGACACTGTAAAACGTGACATTTTTTTTTGAAAACGTGACTGTTTACGTGACGTGGAAAATTGTTTTTCATTTTTCAAGAATCATCCTTTCAAAGCTCAAGAATCCGTCCCAGCCTCGTTCTTTTACGCCAACAACATCCCGAATCCAACCTCCTTCTATCTTCACCCCGCTCAAATCCGCCCTGACTCGTCAACCAGCAACGTACGAATCTTCATCAGAATCGGAAGCGGAAATGAATTTCCCCCCTCCTCCCCCAGAAATGGCATCAATTTCCGATCACGAATTTCCGTCTTACTCATCTCGGCGAGCTTCAAATCATTCCAGAGTTCCGCTTAAATCTGAAGATACGGAGGGATCCGAATTCAGCTACAGATCCGCCTCCATCACGGAAAATGCTAGGGTAGAGCAAATGGAGGAAAAGATCAATGCGTTGAATCGAAAGGTCGAGCAGTTGACCCATTCCTCTGATGAAAGAGCAAGTTCGGTTGATGATCGAATTTCAATGAGAAACAGGCTGAGCGATTCAGAAAGATCCAAAAATGAACTTAGCAGAAAATATCTCAAAGGCCGGATATTTAACAGATAAATAACAAAGAAAAATTCAAAGTCACGTCCGCATAATGGATACGTGACCAAATACGAGTTTTTTCGTCACGTAAACAGATTGCAAACGTGACTTCAAAGGGACATAAATTGACTACCTTACAATGAAATATCCGCTTTGGAGCGCTTGAGACAAATTCAAAGCTAGAAAAACAGGTCGAAATACTTCAAAAAGAACTCGTCCAAAAGAAAAACCAGATCATTAATATCAAGCAAGTTTCTGCAGCTGTATTTGCCCAGTTCAATTCGCTGCGCTCCGAAATCAGCTCAGCCCGGCGAGCGCAAATTGATATGCGTAGGACCATGCAAAATGAGCTTCAACAAGTTCAGGGATCGATTGTGATGATGATCGAAGAATACGAGGTTTCTCAGGAATGGAATATCAAAATACAATAATCCCTTTATCTAACCAAATTCTTGAAAATTCCGAAAAAAGGCTCCAAGGGTGAATGACTACACAACTGATACCCTCTCTCGTCTCCAGCAAGATAGAGCAAAAGTGGAACGGAAGAAAGCTGAATACCACAATGATGCAGATACAGTGGATGAAATCATAGCGACAGTCGAAGGTGTCGTGGAAAGGATGAGAAACGATGCTGTTGAAAAAAGGTCGATCATCAGTAGAAAAGAGGTCGAATCAGTCGGGCTTCAGGATTGGTTCGAAAATTGTGGTCACGTAGACGCTTCTCCTACGTGACCTCTTCCCTCTTTCATTTTTCGAACCCATAAAAGCTCATGAACATTGCCGGAAAAATTGGCGATCTAAAAGACCGCTTTCCAGATCTTGACGCTGTCCTCTCCTCCCTCGGCTCCAAAGAAGCATCATCCCTCGAACTGGAGCAAACGTTTCTTCAAGAAGAACCCGCAAGAATCGACGCATGCATGGAAAAATGCAAAGCGCTGACTCAAACTCTGACGACTTTGAAAAAACTCGCAGGAGTTCAAGAAGCTCGGACAAAGAATTATGAAAGCCACAGTTTGCGAAGAAGGGGACCAAATTATGATGACCCACAAGAGTTGCTGAAGGATGTCAATAAAAGCATAAGGGAGTTGAGTCCGGTTAATCACCAAAGAAGAGCGGATATTTTGGAAAAGATGGAGCCGAGATGGGCGATGCAAAAATATAGAAATCAAAATATAGGAATGGTTTTTCGATTAATTTAGCAAATATAACTCTTGTTATCCGAAAACTCTTTGAAAAACCTCCGACAAAGAAAGAACTCGCATCGAAAAGATGCTGCAGGACCGAGCTGAAACTCTCAACATCACCGACAACCTCGATTTCATCGCTCATCAGCGAGAACAAGCACTTCGGACGCTCTACCTTCTCGAATCTCAGGAAACCCGCGACACTTCTAGAAAAAATCAAACATCCAACGGCGGTGCCCATCTTCCCCTTGGCGGCGGGACTGTCCCCCGGAATCAGCCTCAGAAGAGGACTTTTCCAGCAGCTCATGCAAATCTCCATCGAAAACAGCGATCATGGGATGCTCTCGAGCCGTCAACAGTTGATGATTTGCAGATAACAAATGCTATGTCGTACGCAACGCTGCGGCCGAACAATTCGGGAATACGATTTGATCCGAATATCGAAAAGATGGCGGCTATTTCAAGCCCTAATTTGGTCAGGGCGACAATGCACATGCGCGGAGAACTGAATAATACAAGGAAAGGGAAAGATAAAAAGAAAGGTTTTGGAAGAATTTTGACCATCGATCGATATATTGTCACGTACACACTCAGCGTACGTGACTTGAGATTTGCGATCAGGTCACGTACGCATTTTGTGAACATGATCTCTCAAAAGTATAGTGTAATCATCATCCCTAATAGTAGACCTCGTTTGCCTCAGCAATCCTCCATGTCGACAGACCAGCTGCTCGAATCCGAGCTCTACAACAGCCCACCAAAACTTCGCGTCGAGACTCGCAAACAAGAGCGCCCAGCTTCTATGTTCGTCAGAAATCATCACACGGACGACGAGAACGACTTCGGTCCACTGATCATCGACTCGGTGGTTCAGCCGTCCAAGGGCTCTTCGAAAATTGATCTGACAGAATCGAAACCGAAGCGCTCGCCCGAGGCAAAGTCAAAGTTCGGTTTCGGCTTGAGAAAAGGAGTCTTCAAATCGCGTAAAAATAACGAGGAAAAAGAGAAGTCCAAGAGTCAGTCAGCTCTTGACGCCTCTGACCAATCATTTCGCCAGGAAAGCCCTCAGATGGCGGCAAAGAACCAAGATGAAACGCCAAAGAAATCATTCGCCTCCAGAATGGCGAGTTTCTCAAAGCGAAAGAAGCAAACTTCGAAGTCAAAACAGCCCGAACCACAGGGCGAAGTTCAAAACGCAAACCCTAACCCGCCAATGTCTCCGCGACAACAAGCGCACCAAAAACACTTGCACAACCGGCAGAACTCGCAAAATTCAAACAGCCACCAGCCAACTCAACAAAAATCTACCTCTCGATTGCCCGAGTACAGTCAAATTCGACCGCCATCAAATTCATCCCAACAATTTCTTTCCCCAAAACCTTATCGTCCGGGCGGCCAGCCAAACTTCGGAATTCAGCGAAATCATCCACCAGGTGCAGGGCGTGGAATCCCGGCGCCGCAGTTTTCTAAAAGCCCGCAAGTTAGGTTTGAAAAGGGGCAAAAACAGCGACCACGGGCTTCGACGCATGAATGGTCCAAACCAAAAAGAAGAGGAGATATGAACTCTCAAAGGAAGGGTTGATTTTTGTCTTGAAATGAACGTCCTAAATTCTCTTGAACATAAAATTCAAGAGAGAGGCGATTTTCTGGCAGTTAGATTTTCTGGCAGTTAGACTTTCTGGCAAAGGCGATTTTCTGGCACTGCCAGAAAATCTAATATGACAGAAAATCAAATTTCCAGAAAATCGCCTCTTTTAATTTTGAATATACAGTTAATGATCCCTGAAGGTAAAAAACGGAGAGAAGAAAAGCTCGGAATTCATCTTCTGATTCTTCTGAGGATGATTTCAAAAAACTAGTGCAGTTTTCTTAAGCTCGTCAAGACGAGTCGAATGATGGGTCTAACTCCTGATAACTCGTAGGATTGACCGGTTTACCGGCTGGTTACCGGAAAATACGTTGTCACCGGCCGTTTTTGTTCTAGAAGTGATAGACTAATGTTTGACACCGGAAATTGTTTCTTATAGTCAGTTCCCCTGCAGGGTAAAAGATGAAGTTTTAATCAATTCTCTGAAGAGAGTTATCACTAAAATACTATTTTTGGCGAAAATGGTACTAGAAATTAGGAACGTGCAGCAACAACAAAATTTAAGTAAAAAGTACTGTTCTTAGTGATAACTCTCTTCAGAGTATTCATACAACCTTCATTTTTTACCCTGCAGGGGAAATGACTATAAGAAACAATTTCCGGTGTCAAACATTAGTCTATCACTTCTAGAACAAAAACGGCCGGTGACAACGTATTTTCCGGTAACCAGCCGGTAAACCGGTCAATCCTACGAGTTATCAGGAGTTAGACCCATCATTCGACTCGTCTTGACGAGCTTAAGAAAACTGCACTAGTTTTTTGAAATCATCCTCAGAAGAATCAGAAGATGAATTCCGAGCTTTTCTTTTCTCCGTTTTTTACCTTCAGGGATCATTAACTGGATATTCAAAATTCAAAGAGGCGATTTTCTGGAAATTAGATTTTCTGTCATATTAGATTTTCTGGCAGTGCCAGAAAATCGCCTTTGCCAGAAAGTCTAACTGCCAGAAAATCTAACTGCCAGAAAATCGCCTCTCTCAAAATTCAACACTCAAAAAGCCCTGGCTCCTTCTCTGGTGGCCCTCCTCCGCCAACCTCTCCACCAAGCGAAGGCTCCTCCACCGCCAGGTTCGGCTTTGGCTACAACCGCCCGGATTCCAGAATGAAAACCTCCGACGTCTAAAATAAACCAAATTCAACAATTTTTTTGTCCTTTCTCATTCATTTGCTCAATAAAAATATTCTTCTCTACAGATGTTTTTTCTTATTTGTTTCCTCGTAATAAAGGGATAACACAATAACGCGGCATCTGAAAATGATTAGTAGGACAACGAAATTTTACGAGCTTTTTGTGACGTTAAGTGTCCTTGTGGGCTCTGGCAAGCCCAGATTATCTTTTTTTCTGGCACGAAAACAAAGGAAAAAATACACGAAACAGAAACAAAATCAGATTTTTTTTCAAAGAAAAAAATTTTCAAATGTTGGTTTCTCTTATTTTTGGATTTTGCGCAGGAGAGATTTTGTATATCAAGAATTATGGCGAAAAGATTGATTTGAGGCGATTTGCGAGCTGTCATATTTATGATATGGAGCTGACGAAAACGATTACTGTCAAGTTGTCAGAAGATGAAGACGTAGAGTTTTTGGATATAAACGATGTTCAAGTTGGAATTGGTCACGTGCCTCTACCAATCCAGGTAAAATTTGGGGTTTTCGGCACGAGTCGACAAAAATTTCGAGAAATTTTGCGTTGGCGGCAATTCGGCCACTGATTGGCCGGCTAGCAAAATCAAGGCTTCTTATTGGTTGAAAATATCCACGCAAAATTTGTCGAAATTTTTTGTCGATTCGTGCCGCCTTCCCAAAATTTTGGGTTTCTTGATGCATGAATAAGGGTTTCGAGCCGATAAAAGTAAGAAAAATTTTAAGAAACCGGTCGGCTACGGAAAACATCTAATCCAATGGATCACCGGCGAAAATACTTCAAAGAAAATTTCCTCCGAACTCGAAAAGCAGCTCATTTGCACAAAAGAAGAAGACGACTGCTTCATCCGGGTGAATTTCAGCGGCAAAAATGTGCTCAAAATTCGAGGAATTTCACAAAGCTTCTGTCAAAACGCATTTATTACGACTTCAAAGCGACCAGCTCATGATCTTTTAAAAAGTCATCAGCCGGATTTCAGAGTTGAGAATCATCAGCAAGAAAAGGAGTTTTTCTCGATGGTATGCCCTTAATTTTGTTGTAAAGGAGGGATAACATGTGTTTTTCCAGGGACTGATTATTGGAATTTCTTCGTCAGTGGCAGTTTTCTTTATTTTGGGACTCCTGGTCGTCATTTTCATTCGACGACGTCAAAAAAATCTTGAAAAGGAGGAAGAATCGGCATGGAACGCTCAATCGTCTGGCGAATCAAGAAGAGTGGAGCATATTTACGAAGAAATAGACGATTCCCTCATCGGGCAAAATCCTTCTTATCATGTTTACGACACGCTAGAATATGCAACGACAGGGAGAGCACAGACAAATGGATATGACCACCTTCAACTGTAAAAAAATGCAAAAAACTGTAAATAAATTCAAAGGAAACAGACCTTAGTAGTATGTACATAAGCTTTTTTCAATGATGGAGATAATGTAAACAAAGAAAGGTAAATAATTATAAATATTTATGAAATATATAAACAAGTTAAAATATTTATTTTAAACGCAAACATATGATAAATATTAGTAAACTAAATATAAAATATAAACATGAGTCATCCAAACAAAGGACGGTCAAAAATAACAAAAAATTTCTAGAAGGTTATTTGAATAACCAAGTTATTCAAATAACTTGTTATTGAAATAACTTGTTATTCAAATAACTTTTTATTACGATAACCGTTATTCAAATAACCTTCTAGAAACTTTTATGTTATTTTTTACAAAAACTGTCCCTTGGATAAGACTTTTCAAATATAAACATGAGTAGGGTTTGTATCGGGAAGGCGGCGCGCGGCGTGGCACTTTTCACCCAAAATGACGGAAATCTATTTCGTTCTTTCAGATAAAATTTCAATGAAAAATACTTTCCGGATACTAAAATGATGAAACTTCTTCATAATTTGCTCTTCAAAATTAATTGTACCGCCAAAAAAATTTTCAGGCGTAACAAAAACTCAAATTTTCCGAAACCTACAGAATACTGAGTGAAGGTCGTGGCGCGGTAGTGCATAAGAGGGTGAGCGCGGGCGAGAAATCAGTTTCTCTTACTTTTGAAGCTAGCACCGAGCTTAAAAAGCTCTAATTTTTGATATTTTCAGAAACAGACCTGTTAACAATATCTGTGAAAGTTTAAAAGCGTAACGAAAACTAGAACCTTCCGAAATCGAACGTTGATTGACTGAAAAAGATGGCGCGGCGGGGAATTACGCATTGAGCGCGCCCGGAACTAGTGCTCCTTCCATGGGCTCAGAGTCTATTGACATTGCGCTCCACGGAAGGTTCGAACCTTTCGGACTCAGTGGGTTATCTCAAAGAATGTGGCTCCCTCTTTTGGTTCATTTTCGAATCAAGTTCGCTCGAGCGGCAAGAATCTTCACACTCGACATAAAATGAAACAAGAAGATGAATAGCATGAACAGTACTTATACTTCTAAGAAAAAGTAAAATGAAACTCTAAAACACTTATTCCTTTGTAAGCTACTCTCAATATTTCTATTTCTGTAAAATGAAGCTTGATTTTTATTTATTGTTATCGTCATTGGATATCCTTAATAAATTATCTTAAATATAAAAAAAATCGTTTTTCTATTCAAGAAAAAAGTGTTCATATGAAGTAAAAAAGAAAAATTATCAGGATCGCAGAAGTCCAGCTAAGAAATATGAGCAACAATATCGAGTTCCTTGCTGCTACAGAGTGTTATTGGAATCAGGGATTCGGAACGGAGTATTGTTGGGCATAGACCAGCTTTTGAAAGTATTACTTGGCTCAGGCCGATTCCAAAGGTATTTTTGGGATCAGGCCGATTCTGAAAGGTATTTTTGGGATCGGGGCGATTTCTGAGGTATTTTTGGGATCGGGGCGATTCCTGAGGTATTTTGGGATCGGGGCGATTTCTGAGGTATTTTTGGGATCGGGGCGATTTCTGTGGTATTTTTGGGATCGGGGGCGATTTCTGAGGTATTTTTGGGATCGGGGCGATTTCTGAGGTATTTTTGGGATCGGGGCGATTCCTGAGGTATTTTTGGGATCGGGGCGATTCCTGAGGTATTTTTGGGATCGGGGCGATTTCTGAAAGGTATTTTTGGGCTGAGGCGATATTTTTACAAGTGGTCTTTTTGTTTTAGACCAGATCTTACGCAGTTCAAAAGAGGAAACGTCCTTTGACACTATTTATAAATACATCAAAGAAAAATATGCATGAGTTGAGTCAATATAGGTCCAGAGTCAATAAAATATTGTGAATTTGTTCAAACGCTGGAAAATAAACTGACATTTTGAACAAATGATCGCTTGAATTTTCAAAGCAACCGGTAATTGGCGTTGATAAACAAGTGTGCCAAAAAATCTACGTCGGCGCTGAAGATCAGTCCGTATAAATATCGTGCAAAATTTGGCCTATCTGTCAAATTTTAAAATGGCTAAGTGCTTGAAAATTCTCAAGAAAATACAAAAAGCAGATATTAATTACCGCAATGAAACAGACCGACTTGCTAGCGAGTTTGAGGACGAACTCGCAAATGTCGAGGACAAAGAACCAGTCCTTCGTGATTTACGTAAGTAGAGAAAAATACGATTCTTATTACCTTATCATATTTTCAGGGGGGACACTTGATATGACTGATAAAAGCTCCCAGTGCAACCTCAGGCTCGAACACATTCTCGAAGAATATAGCAGTGAGATCGATTGTGACGTTTCAAGTGCTTATGAGTCTTCCTCTGAAGAGGACTCGTGTGATGAAGAATGGGTTCCTACCACACCTCCCCACACCCGAGGTAATTCCCTTCCAAAAGCTCCCCGGAAGGAAAAACTCTCATATGTGAGGTCGAATCTTCGCGGTATATCATGGTGTTTACGAAAGAGTTTTAAAACTTTCTAGGCGCGAGACGGCGTTTGGTCTTTGACTCCGAGGAGGAAACCAAGTCTTCAGAGGAAGCGCGTCAGGATAAACTCAAGCAGAAAAAAGCCCATTCCTCAAAGAGACTGCGAGAGGAAGAAGCCGCGGAACAACCTTCAAAACGAGTCCGCCGAGAAGCTGTCCAACCAAGAAACGTTTTCGATGACATCGAGGATGAGCAAACTCGTGATAGTTTCGGTTATACACGACACGAAGAAAAGCAAGAGAATACCGCTGACGACTTAGAAGAAAACAATCAACAGGAAGATGAGTCCGAAAATGAGCCTGATGCTTTAGAGAGTGACGATTATTCAAACGTTGAGGACTACGAGTCGGAAGAAGAAGTCTTTCAGCCTGCTCATGATGTCAATAACAAAGACCATCACTCAGGACAAGAAGGTGAGTTGAGCTCTCAACTGATCGAAGACACCCCTGGACCAAGCTCTCGACTGATCGAAGACACACCTGGACCAAGCTCTCGACTGATCGGGGACGCTCCATCACCAAGCTCTCAACTGATCGAAGACACACCTGGATCAAGCTCACGACTGATCGGAGACGCTCCTACACCAAGCTCTCAACTGATCGAGGACACTCCTGGACCAAGCTCTCAACTGATCCAGGGCAGTCCTGAATCAAGCTGTCGACGTCAAGATGATCAGCAGAAGTCTGAAAAATGGCAACTCTGGAGTCCATCCCAATGGGAAATCATCGGTAAATCACCTCCACCTGACTACGATCCTAACCAGCGCTTCGGGAGAAGCGTTATCCGCTTCGCCGCACCTGCTGAAAACAAAAACGATCAAGGTTAGAGACATTTTTCTACCAGATTGTTTATCATGATTCAGTTATTGACTTAACAGGCTCTCCTGATCGGGAAATCAACGTCGATGGTCATATGAAAGACGGGTCAGAAGGTATCTATTATTAAAAAAAAGATATATAAATATATTTTCATAGTTATCGATCTCACTGATACCTTTGACGACGAGGACAGTGTTGACGATGACATGATCAATGGGTTGGTTGCCGAAGCAGAGGAGAGAGAAAGACAGCAACTTCAATCAGAACTGGAAAATCCTTCACGCGGAGGTACTCCAGACCAGGGGTGGATATTTTCATTTCAACTCCTCATTTCAACCCAAATTTGACCATCCTGATTGGTCGAGAACGGGAATTTCGGGGTTTGAAATGAGGTTTGAAATCAAAATATCCACCCCTGCTCACGACACGATTATAGAGCATTGTCTCAGCCCATACCTCTTAGGCGAAACACTTGACGACTGTTTCAGATTTGGGATTCTCACAAAAGATGCAATAGAATTTATCGAAGAGACCATCTATGAACAAGAAGACTACCCTGATCCTTCTCCCACAATTTCGCCCATAAAAACTTACACTCAACTTTAATTTCTACCTTCCTTTATGCGTTCCTTGGTGTTTCCTTTATCTTGTGTTTGTCTTTATTTACTCATGTTTACCGAAAAAAAAAAAAATTATAAATAAAAATGGTGTCTAAAAAACTTTGACTTTGTCATTTTGTTGCCAAGTTTGAAAAAAGCACTGATAATAAGCACTGAAAAGTCCATAAATATGCAACGATAAGGTCCACAATTATTCTTAAAAAAAAATGAATCGCTCACTTCCACTTTCGGAAGAGTTTCCTTTTTTCGATGTCATCTGCGAGCTCAAAGATCAACTTCTTTCAATCCAGCATCGTTTTTTTACTGGGGTTTCCGGCGTTGCCTTCATTGGCCTTATCATCACAGTTGGCTTCTACACAAAATTGTGTATGATCATCTGTGAGAAAAAGAAGAATGTTTCCCGAAAAAATCCTGACCGACGCGAGAATATCACGATTTCAGAACCTTTTGATGCCGTCCATAATACTCTTGTTTAAATAAAAGAAACAAGTAGATATGTGACCGAGTTTCTTTTTTATTTCAATTAAATTATTGAGGAACTGTTCATTTGAATTATAATGGCAGGTTATAATAGAGGGAAGAACTTTTTCAATAAGTGGCGCAGGTATCTTTAAGAACTCAGAAGAAAATGAACTGGTGTGATAAGCGGTTTCGAAGGTTATTAACGAGCGGATTTATCAATTATCAATAGCGTCAGGAACAAACTGGAGAAGATTTTCAATGAAATGGTGATTGTCGGAATCAACGAGGAGAGGAGACTTGTTTTTATGCTTCGGATGATAATAATTGTTGCTTGAGCTGGAACCGTAAAAAGAGCTTATTTCTGGTCGGAAAAGAGACGTAAATTTACCTAGTTTGTGTCCATATCGTCAGATTTAGCAGAGCCGGAAGTTTCCATTTCCTCAGTCTGATCCTCCGTGGTAGTATCCATTTTAGACGCGATCTTTTCTTATAGAGAGATAAGTTATTTTTCTTTCACGATTGAAAAATACCTGTTACGATTTTTTGCAACTCTGCAAGTTGACCGTTAGTGATCTTGATGATGAAAGTCGAAGCTGCTTGCTTCGCATCTATTATGTTTCAGAAATGAAAAGATGAAAATAAGAGTACCTAATTCAGATTGAATTTTGATGAGGGCAGCAAGATCTCCTTCTTCGATTTTGCTCATGAGATCTTTCTCTTCATCCGTATCTAGTATCTTTGTTTGATCTTGCAGGTTTATCATCTTGGTTCTCGTGGGAATAGGTGGTTTCTCACGCTTATCAAAAATGTGTAAAGAATGCAAGTTTTTGGCGCCTGGCCGAGTGGAGAATCTGTAGCAGCGCGCGCTTTACTGTTACTCGCAGTCTTAAACGCGTGGGGATGAATCGGCGAATCGGTGGCGAGAACCGCAGGGCGCGCGAGTTTTGAGCACGCTCCTTCACCCCTCGAATGCGTAGGCAATAAAATCAAACCAACTGATGCAGGTTCATCACCAGATCATAACTTGAAGTTGCCATAAAGCGCAAACAACATCAAGAGAGAATCAACCTTTTTATTTTCTTTATTTAAAACTGATTGACTTAAAATGACTTAATATTTTAATCTAAAGAGAGATTCTTATAGAGACGACAAAATGTTCCACGCGAAATTCGTCCACATGCGACTAATCCGAAACAAGGTATGAAAAAAAAAGATGAACAGATAAAAAAAATTCTAATATAGCGTAACAAAGGCTTTGGACGATAGAGTGCATTTCAAGAAACAAGAAAGGTTTAATTTTGCGTTTATTTTTTATTTACAAACAATAAGACAAGGCGATATGAAATAAGAGTTAAATTAACTTTCAAAGACTTCTTCCACTTGCCAAAATTATAACAACCGATATGAATTGACCGGCAAATTGACGCTCAAAGACTGTTTTCGACTTTTTATCTGACCTGCTTTACAAATTTTTTTCTTTCGCTGAAGATAATTGAACTGGGGTGTAGATTTTGATGTAAACTTGGTTTCAGGCAGTTATTCTTTCAAGTAAACTAAATTCATCTCAAAATCTACACCCTATTTTTAATAAAATCAGCTGAAAATTACGTTAAAATAAAGTCGAAAAGAGTTAAGAATGTTTTTTTTCCCAACAATCCACCCTCCTTTGACGTTCCCCGGTCACACAACGGACACAACATCTACAACCTCTCTTGGATCAACGTCGACCACTCACACATTTTCGACCGTTACCAATGGTACCTCAACGAATACAATCGAGCCCGACGAAATTTTCAATGGAAAAATCATCGCTGTCGGAATAGCGGGTAAATTTAGTTACATAGGAAGATCATTCTCATTTTCATTCTAGCCCCAGTTTCGGTTATAATAGTGATCATGCTCGCAATCCTCATTTACAAAAGACGAGTTCGAATAACCTCCTTCTGGGTTGACTTACGGAGAGTGCTTGTTTTGCATTGCTGTGATAATGAAGGTAGTTAGATCAGCCTATCTTATTACTAAAAAAGTCTTCTTAGAAGAACGCGACCTCGAATTGCAAAACAGACGCGCAGACGAAGAACGAATGATTCTGAATGAAAGACGGCAAAAGAAAGACGGACGGAAACCGACTGTGGATAGCAACACGCAGACAGAACAGCAAGAAGATGACAAAGAGGACAAGAAGGACGAATGGAGGTGCCCTCAAGTATCCTGGCAAGAATGGATCGACAGTTGGTGATTGAAAAAGGACTGTGAAAAGAATGTTTTTTGAATGATTAAATTAGAAAGAAAGTGAATAAATAACATCTTTTTGCATAAAAGACTGAATCGGTAATCTGGGCTAATGGACAATTACGAAGGCGACGACGTTCACGATTCGGACCTTGAGCAGCAAGTCAACAAGCAAAGAGGTAAAAAGAAAACAGAAAACTCTTTCATTTTTAACTTAATTAAAAAAAGGTCTCACTTTCATCGAATCCTCGATCCTTGTCTTTCTCGCGATTCAATGCGTTGGTCTTCTCGCTACATTCATCATCTACCTTGCTGGACTGGCTTTCGCGATTTTCCCCTTCATCAACCTTGTCTGGTTCTTGTTCCGTCGACCCAGAACCCCGACAATGTTTAGGCTGTGAAAGAAACTCAGATCGCTAGAGATTGCATAAAATTCTTTCATAAATAAGACTGAAAATCGTGACGCGATGGACGACTCGTCGGAGTTTGACCAAGATTATCGATGGGACTACTATGATGAACGAACCGTCTCCGAGCTATGCCGTCTTCGTAAGAATTAATGAAAAACAGAATTTTACATAAATAGTCGGTAACGAGTCGGCAAATATCACCTCTACACGGACACCACCGACTGCTACGTCATCCATTATCAATGGAACTTCAAACGTCAACCAACTTGGTAAAAGTAGATAGACAAAAAGATTCTTACCTTGAATAGACGAAAACAACACGCCAAAAACCTTCTCCATGGTTGAAATGATCGTCATCACCCTCCTCGCCTTCAACACTATTCTCCTTCTCACCTTGATCCTCATCCTCTGCCAGAAGAAGAAGAAGAAGACACCTAAGCCAACAAGAAACGGTAATCTCTATCATTCCTTTTCGCCTTCATAAAATATATTCTTAGTTCACTACACGCCGATCTCAGCACCACTTCCACTCGACATTTAAACCTGCCACTTAAAGGAGAAAAGCTGTCTTTGAATACTGATATGAAACTAAAACTAGAATATTGTAGACAGTTTTTCCATTCAGAAATGTTCTTTCCATTCTTCAAAGGATTCAGTGGGCCAAATCGAAACAATGGCCGAAACGGAGAGGGATTCCCGGATCAAGGCAGACAGCAAGACGATCAGAGCAGAAATCATTCGAACCCAGAGGGTGAATGTACAAATCCAGACGATGACTTCGAATTCGATGTCGACATACAAAAAGGACGTGTGCGCACGAATGATCGCGTCATCGCTATTCTCATCCTATTACTTTTCTTCTATATCGTCTACGAAAGTAAGAAATCAAATCTTTCAAAGGAGTTCTAAAGTTTTCAATAGACGGAAGAAATAGACAGAGACAACGTGAGCCCCGAAGAATTCGAATGATTCGGAATCCGGATCGAATCGAAGAGTTGGAGAGTGAGGACGAAATGGATATCACTCAGCGCCCGGCAATTGAGGATCATCAAGCTGAAGGTAAAATAAGCTTTCTTCCAAACAGAAAATAAACGCAAATTAGAGGCCAACAGACCACAACGCCGACGGACACGCACTCAACCCTTACAAATCTGTCACAGACAGAAACGCTATTAGGTAAGAAAACAAATTCGCAGGCAAAAACCTAATCATTTATTTAGATTCATCCAGAGCAAGACGCAGCTTCTTCAAACCGCCAAGAAAAACATTCGTGATAACAAGCTTCCTGTAGAAAAATGTGCCTTAAAAACAAAAATAAAAGACAAAATAGCTCTCAAAGATAAAAGGTTCTCATCTTTATTGCAAATAAAATGACAGGAAAAATATATTTTATAGTTTACGGATTGACTCAAGCAAATAAAGGGCCTTGTTCGATGAAGAGCAGTCTTCAGGAATTGACTGGACTCAGGACAGTTTCCGACGGTATTACTGAACTGAGACCAGCTTTTGGAGGTATAACTAGGCTCGACCAGTATCCAGAGGTATTACTCGGCTCAGACCAGTTTCCAGAGGTTTTACTTGGAACAGGCGAGTTTCCAGAGTTATAACTGAGCTAAGGTCAGTTTTTGGAGGTATTTCTAGGCTCGGACCAGTTTTTCGAGGTTTTCATAGGATCAGGCCAGTTTCCGGAGGTATTACTGAGTTTAGGACAGTTTTTGAGTTTTCAACAGAGGTTTTCTTGCTCTCGGACCTTGGTCTTTTTCGAATTTCACAAAAGGTCTTTTGGAATTTCCAGAAAAGGCTTTTGCGAGTTCAAGAATATCAGTAATCTCAGTAAATTAAGTTTGCGAATATTTTAATTGAATACTACGACTCAAAAGGGCCTTATACTTGAGAGACTAAATTGTAAAGCTGAGATAAAGAAACACAAGATTTTGTTTAGATCTAATGAATTTATTTGTCGAAATTTGCACAAGAAATTGGATGAAAAAAGAACAAAGAAACTAAGGAGACGACAATGACGATGATTACAGGCGTCGTTCAGCTCGGATGATTTGGCGGATATTTCGGTATTCGAAATCAGTCCGGCATATAGGGCATCTGTTGTTCCTTTCTTCCTCAGGTTCCGCTTTGAGCGTTCTTAGACAATCAGCGCACGTGTAGTGAAGGCAGGGTGTAGGATCCTAAAATTTGTTATCAAAATATCAGTCTTGCTAACTACCATTTGTTTGTTTTCTTCCCAGCATATCACGCATTTTTTCTTTTCATCCTCCGAGATTTCTCGTGATGCAAGCTTGATTTGGCGAGATCTTATTATAATTGTACCAATGCAGGCACCCGGAGAAAAAGTTCGACAAAGTAATCTCGGGAGAAGCGGTGATCGAGCAACAAAACGCTCCTCGGCGAATTCATCTGCGTTATCCATAAATTCTTTCCATTCAGATTTTGTATAAGGATAGTACCATCTCCCGAAACAGTCTTTACATTGTCCACCAGGCACTGAATTTGTTTCAAGCTGAGCACGAGTGACTTCTCTGAATGTCGGAGATAGACTTGTCTTCTTACGACATATGCGACAGTAAATTATCGCATCTTCGTCTGTTATTTTGACAAGCTTAACAGCGAGCATTTTTCAGTTTGAACAGAAATATTTTCGATAATTTATACTTCCTATTTTAGCGCCATCAATGAGCGTTGATGAGCATGCAAATCGGATAAAATCAGTCTGCTGGAAAAGTCTGAGATAAAATGAACCGGAAAGGGTAAGGAGCTTATGAAACGCTTTAATTTCTTTTTTCCGGGAATTAATCCTTGGATAGCTTTAGGAGAGATACAAAAACACAAAGAGAAATTCAAGAAATTTTTCAAAGATGGTAAGCTTTCTGACAGAAAATTTCTAGCACACTGTCAGTCATTGACAATTTGTAATTCTTCTAAAACAAATGAAGAAATTATTGCGTTTTATCAACTTGAAATTGTGCGGGTAAGATCAATGTCGAAACAGTCAATCAAGATCAAATTTGCTGACGATAATTTGATAACTAAAACAAGCATCTTTGTGGAAGAGAAGGAAGATTGTTTTTATTACTACACGTTTGAAACTGTTTTGGAAAAATTAGTGAGAGCAAAAAAATGCTCATCGAAATTAGATTTTGCTTTCAAGATTGACGGGTTTGATATTTTTGATGGACCAAAAGATGTATTTGCAAGAAATCTTTCAAAAATTTCTGCTGAAATGAAGAGAGAAATCAATTTCTACGAGTATCTTTATATTGACACTTTTCATAAATTCAATATTTTACAGTCTTTTAACCCAAAAAACTCTCTCCAAGAAAAGCCGTTGAATTTTCTTGTCAAAAAGCAAGATCTTGTCTCATCAAGCGAGCCTCTTCAGCTTAGATTTTTGTATAACATGGATGTTTTCTCCAATGTTTATAAATGCGAAAACCCTTCTTGTGGATACGAAAATGTTAAGAAATCAAATTTCGAGGCACATGTTAAAGCTTGTCAACACAAAAAAGAAACGATACCACTCCAATGTCCATATGGCGATACAATTTATCCGATCGAAATAGCAATACGAGCTGGTTACCTTTCAGAAAGGATGAGAGGCTTTAGAAAGACTCGTTTCGGTAGACCTTGAATAACAAACTCTCCAAATTAAAAAATTTTAGTCACTTTCGACATCGAGACAATGGAATGTCCAGTCAATACAACAAACAAAGTGACGACGATTCACGCTGAACTTCGCTTGCTTTCGATTGCTATCGGAAGTAACTTTGGCTACGAGAAATTTTTCATTCGTAGATGTGACTCAAACGAAGGAGCGCAGCAACTCGTTGAAAAATTTCTTGACGAGCTTGAACTTCTTGCTTCAAATGAAAGAAATTATCTTCCAAGTGAGATTTTAGAAGCCATTCAAAAACTTGATGGAATTGACATAAAATTGGAGCCTGTTTCGATCAGGAAAAGAATAAGGTTTATAAAAAGAGAGCTCGAAAATTATTCAAAGATGAATGTCTTTGGATTCAATAGTTCTGGTTTTGATTTAAAAGTTTTAGCTCCATATATAATTCCTTTTCTTAAGACAAAGTATAAAGCGAAATTGGTTTGTATAAAAAAGGGAACCCAATATTTCACTATTTCCACCCCTTTTTATCAGTTTAAAGATGCTCGGCTATTTAGTTCTCCAACAAACTTAGCTGGGTACTTAAAACAAGGTGGTATCACTGAGGTAAAGTCAATTTGGCCGTATGAAAAATATCACAGCGTGTTGGAAATTGTCAATGACAGGACATTTCCACCAATTGAGGACTTTTTCTCGAGCCTAAAGAATAAGGGAATCGATGAGGAAGAGTATGAAAAGTGCAAAAAGGAGTTTTATCAAAATCAAGCGATCAATCCGAATTATTCAATGGGACATTGGCTCCGCCATTATAACATCATGGATGTCACCCCATTTGCCAAGGCCATCGACAACCAGTTTCGTGTCTTCTTTGATGTTTTCAAGATCGATCCCTCATTCTGCATGAGTTTACCGAAATTCGCAATGGCTTGTGTTTTCCAGCGCTACTCCAAAGCTTCGCCCCTGACATGTAAGCAATTTTCTTATGGATATATATTCTTATTATTTATATCTAGACTCGTTTCACAGAAACTTCAAAAAAGAGCACCAACTTTTGCGTGAAAATATTATCGGTGGGCTGGTTAACGTTTTTTCTCGCTACACTGAGCTCCGCCCGGATGTTGATGCCCCTAAAAATGCCAAATTTGCCCCGAACGGAGATCCCTTCACGCGTATCGTCTTTTTGGATTTTAATGCCTTGTATTTGTTTGCTCAAAAGATGAGCTTACCGACAACGCCAGGTAAATTCAAAATGCAAAAATAAAGGTGAAATCGAAGAATGTTTAGGCATTACTTGGGAGAAGTTTGACAACGCCGTTTTCCGCAAAAGGATCATGTCTACGGGAAACAGTTTCGCAGCCCTGCAGTGGCTAACATTCATTGACGAATTTAGCCCCTTGCTTGTTCAATCAAATGGTGAAAGAGTTCCTTTGGAACATCAATATTTTAGGGGTGAACATCAAGTAGAGAACTTCAAAATCGACGGATATGCTAATGTCGATGGTCAACATCATTTTTTTGAATTTCTTGGATGTTATTACCATACTCACTGTGTTGACTGCAATCCAGGAGGAGCTGACAAGGAATGGGAGAAAAAGTTTCGTCGATTGAATGAACTAGGTCAGGTTCATGTAATGCGCGAGTGTGAATGGAATCAAAGAAGAAATGAAGCTCATTTGACAAAAATTTCCAGATATTGGGGTCATATTTTCAAATCGAAAGAAACAGAAAAAAGTCTGATAGAGGGTATAAAAAATGATCAAATTTATGGATTCATAGTTGCTGATGTAACTTGTCCCAAAGAAGTATACGAGAAAATATCGTATCTCAATTTTCCACCAATTATAAAGAGAATGAAAATTACAGATCAGCTTCTTAGTCCATACATGAAAAGCCAATTTAGTAAGCTTGGTAAAAATTGTGATCAGGAAACAGTTATTCAGACATACAATGGTAAGAAAATATTTCTTCTCACAACTCTGGCTAAATTCTATCTTGATATTGGTTTAGAGATAACAAATATAAGATCATTTACACAGTATAGAGCGTCAAAATCTTTAAGCGAATATGCTGATTCTATAACAAATGGCCGAGTCAGCGCTCTAGACGAGAATCCTCCTAATAAAGCCCTTGCTTTGGCTTTTAAAACGATCGGTAACTGTGGAGGATTCGGTAAAGCCATCGAAGTTGTTGATCGACCAAGTCTCAAATTTGATGATGAAAAACAACTAGCTAGATCAATAATTAAACCAACATTCAAATCAACACAGCCTCTCTATCAAGAAAACGGAGAATACTCAATTTCAGAGGTTACTTTCGAAAAAAAGCGAATCAAAGACGACAAACCGACTGTTCTTGGAGTTGCTATCCTTCAAAATTCAAAGCTTCACTTTCTGTCCTTCGTCTACAAATTTCTTCACAAGTATTTGAAGCCAGGATCATACAAGCTGAATTATTGTGATACAGACAGTCTCGCAATATGTAAGTTATTATTAAATATTGCTTGTCTTATAAATATATCTAGCTTTTACCAGGAGTGAAGAATGTATCGACACGAATCGTTCAAAAATGATGACTTCATTCTTACCTTGTGTTCACCAAGAGTTGAAATACGAGTTTCTCCAAGAATGTGGCAAATGGCTTGTTCTTGAAAACACCAACCTAAACGAGAAAACTCCTGGTCTCTTAAAATGTAAGAACCATTTTCTTAAAAGTAGAATTCAAATCTTTCTAGCTGAATGGGAGACAGATTCGGGAGCACTTGTTTGCCTCGGAAACAAAATGTATTTCGGCTATGATCCGAAAAATGACAAGGTTAAGCGATCAACAAAAGGAGTTCCGCATAACCAAGAGTTAAAACTGCAAGAATTCCTTGATTGCTTGTATGGAAACATAGAAACAAATAATCGATTCACTTTGCGAACTCTACGCCCTACTACCAACAATGTTGTTAAACGAGTTTCAACTGAAAAAGTTCTACTTTCAAATTTATTTGTAAAAATGCGCGTCATGGATGATGGCATTACCTGCGAGCCACTGACCCTCGACGGCAAGCCGCTTTAACTGTTTATTTCATCCATCTCCGAAAAAAAACAAGCTTCTTTATTTTTCACTGTTTTTTCCGCTAGAATAAATTTGTAAAGTCCATATAAACGTGATCAAAATTTCTCGTCGCTATGCCATTCTATCAAAGTGAAAGAGTAGACCTAGAAGCAATTCGCAAAGAGTATGGTGGTACATACATTCCACTCTCTAAGGAGGAGCTTGAATACTTTGAGAAAACGGAGAAGATGGGACAACTTCAGAATCGTGTTATCATTGCTCCTCCGAAACCAGGTCGGATCGTAGAACATGCTCACGTTAGACTATTGATTAACAAGAACTTCGACTTGTTTAACGTTGTGGATGATCTATTCGAATTCATCTCACCGCCTTTTCGTTTTGGAATCGATTTTGCGTTTTTGCTGGAAAACCCCGTCACAGAAGATCCTGACTCACGTTTTCGATTTGTTTGGCCTCAAATCTCGACCTCTCTTCCAATAGAACCTAACCTTATCAAAAACAAGTCATCGAAAAAAGAATTCTTGCAGAACATTCCAGATTGGACTGACATCCCTCGCCTCGTCGACATTACCCATCAAAATCAGAGCATGTTTCGAAAAAGCGGATACAACATCACAAAACTCTTGACCTGTAGTCTTTACATAACAAAGATGAAATAAATGCATTTTAGTCTCAAAATAATTCAGAACACTTTCAAAGTTTGCATGGCTGAGACTAATCGGAAGGGTCTAGATTCAGTTTGCCCGTTTATAGACTGTCGAGGAGAGACCTGTCAAGGGGTCTGAGGTCTGTCAGGGTGGACTAAGGCCAGTCAAGGGGTCAGAGGCCTGTCAAGGGGTCAGAGGCCTGTCAAGGGGTCAGAGACCTGTCAACGGGTCAGAGACCTATCAAGGGGTCTGAGGCCTGTCAGGGTGGACTAAGGCCAGTCAAGGGGTCAGAGGCCTGTCAACGGGTCAGAGGCCTGTCAAGGGGTCAGAGACCTGCCAACGGGTCAGAGGCCTGTCAAGGGGTCAGAGACCTGTCAACGGGTCAGAGACCTATCAAGGGGTCTGAGACCTATCAAGGGGTCTGAGGCCTGTCAGGGTGGACTAAGGCCTGTCAAGAGGCCAGAGGCCTGTCAACGGGTCAGAGGCCTGTCAAGGGGTCAGAGACCTGTCAACGGGTCAGAGACCTATCAAGGGGTCTGAGACCTATCAAGGGGTCTGAGACCTGTCAGGGTGGACTAAGGCCAGTCAAGGGGTCAGAGGCCTGTCAAGGGGTCAGAGGCCTGTCAAGGGGTCAGAGACCTGTCAACGGGTCAGAGACCTATCAAGGGGTCTGAGGCCTGTCAGGGTGGACTAAGGCCAGTCAAGGGGTCAGAGGCCTGTCAACGGGTCTGAGGCCTGTCAGGGTGGACTAAGGCCAGTCAAGGGGTCAGAGGCCTGTCAAGGGGTCAGAGGCCTGTCAAGGGGTCAGAGACCTGTCAACGGGTCAGAGACCTGTCAATGGGTCAGAGCCCCGTCAGTCTGAGGTGAGTCTTTTTTGATTTTCTCATCGCCTAAGTCCAGTTATATCTCTCAGAGCTCCCCCGATCCCAAAAATACCTCTCTGAGCTCCCCGATCCCAAAAATACCTCTCTGAGCTCCCCGATCCCAAAAATACCTCTCTGAGCTCCCCGATCCCAAAAATACCTCTCAGAGCTCCCCCGATCCCAAAAATACCTCTCAGAACTGCTTTGATCCCATGAATGCCTGTGGAAACTAGAACTTACTCTATCGACAATGAATACAAATTAAAAAAGACTTGGAATTTTGTCACCAAAGTTTATTTTCACCGAAAATTTTTATTTACAGGAGAGTTTCACCAGAATTTTTTTTATCAATTTTTTTTTAGTAAAAGGAAGGAGAAATGTTATATCTCAGAGTTCATTATCTTCTTTCTGAATCCAGCGAAAAACGTCTTTTGTCTTGCAGACAGGACAGTCATCGGAGAGGTCTTGTCGCTCGTATTTAAGAGTGAAATCTTTGAAATCAACGAAGTAAGATGAAACAATATTATTCTGCTCATCGTCGACCTTTTTAGGCGCCGTTCCAAGGATCTGTACAGGTATCCAGTTTTCTTTGCCACTTTTTCTGTTTTTGTTCATTATCGCTATTTTCTCAAAAGCAAGAACATTATTTGTCACATTGACAGACGTGTAGTGGAGACGAACTTTTTGGCTTGAATTTTCATCATCACCGCAGATACCGACAATATTGAGTAAGACACCACTTCTGTAAGAAGTGCAGCTAAAACTCTCAACTTTCTGCAAAAACATATTTTTCTTATTGTGAAGAGACTTGAAATTTTAGCCATGAGGTTCAAAAGCACTGGTTACTCCGTGCACATTTTGCTATCCTGGATATGTTTAGGAAAATAGCTCAAGCGGAACTTCGACATGCGAAAAAACAAATAAAGAAAGACAAACAAATTCATCACCCAATTTTATTATCACCAATTTTATGTACAGGAAGAATACACCGCAGTTTCTTTTTTTTTTGACATTTTTTGTTTTTCTTAAAAAAAATGAAAAATGATTTTGTTCAGTTCTTCAAACGTTTCGCTACATATCCATCAAGCATTGCACAGATAAGACATTCTGGATGTCTATGATCCTCGTAATTCTTGTGACCTTTCATAATCGCAGCTTCTTCAGCAGTAACTTCTATAGTTTCTGTAGTCGAGTTAGCATACCCGCAAAAAAACTTTTTGATTTTATTCAAGAAGGACATTTTTCGAATGACGGGTGAATAAAACTTCGACATGAGGTTCGAAAAAGCTGATGGCATACGAGAGCATATTTTTTACTGAACCAGAAATTTTGATTATTGCCTGCTTGTAAATAGAAACTTGCTTCAAAGAAAGACCAAAGAGATAATCACCAAACAAATTTATTACTCGAGTAAATAAAAAAATGAAAAGAAAAGGAAAGAAATTTTCAAGAGAGGGATCAAAAGAAGCAGAATTAATTAGATTTTCTGGTCGACTGGACGATTGAATCGGAAAGTGTAGGAAGGCTTGACATTGTGTTCTTTTTCCCAGTCGGATTGTTTGGCATCAGAAGTGGTGTAGAGATCTGCAGGACGTTGTGATTCTGTGTGCATTTGGAGAGCTTGGAAGACATTCGAGACTTCATCACCAGTCTTTGCAAACAGTCGTAAGTTGATCTCTTTGGTCGGTCGTGAATAATCAAGGTCAGTTTCAAAACCAGGAATGTAAGTTCCCTTGACCCTGAAAAAGCCGCCCCCATTGTAGGAGCGAAAAGTGAAAGTTTTGATCGTGACAAACATTTTGATAATGAGATGAGCGGGCAAAAGAAGACCAGAAGTTCTAAAGCGCTGGTTAATCAGTGCTCTATTCATAACCAGTGATTAATTATATGTTTACTTACAAAGAAGGGTTTTTCAACTTGTTTATGTTCGTCAATCGTGAGCTTGGTCGAGACGATAGACCAAATAACGATTGAGTAATCATCTTCAAGTGGTGTGCTAAAATCGAAAGAGAAAGATAGCCAGCCTTGTGAGATTTCTTCTCCTTCAAACTCATGAGCAAAAATGTTGTTCACTTTGTAGTTTTCCATTGATACAACATATGACAAATCAGCTTGACTAACTCGCCCAAGCGTGTCCAGATATTTCCAGTAGGGAAGAATCGGATATTGATTTGTGATTTTCTAAAGATAAGGATAAAAAAAAAATAAGAAATTGAAAAGATAAACCTGAGGATATCCATTTAAAGATTGACCATTCAACATGACATTCACTTGAACAAGATTGTTGAAAAAGCTGAAATTCGAAGAATCAATTTTAGAAGATCCATGAAGAGCTTCTGTTTGAATCAGTCCAAAGAACAGATATGCAGGGGTATTTCCCCCAGTCACATTAAGAAGTTGCACATTTTTTCTTCCTTTTGGCAAACTCATTGTTGTTATCAAAGTATCATTGAATTTATATGTGATTGGCTTTGATTTGATTCTCCCAAAGTAGTTTCTCAGGCTCGGCGATGACACGTATTCAGCAATAGCGTAGGCATCAGTAATTTTAAGGACTTCTCCTGCTGGAAGCATATCAGTTTCATTCTCTCCGATAAACATTGTCGAAAACTCATGTTTAAGACGATAAAGTGTAATTGAAAGATCTGTGTTTTGAGGAAGAGGTTTGTTCTCCATGAAAAAACCATGAGTCGGAAGGAAGATAAGTTCATAAATATAATTTCCGTTAGATGTTTCGTAACATTGTGGGCGTCGTCCATTTATAATCATTTTCTTTGAGTCACTATCAACAAGATTCTCATAGTTGTATTCATCGTAGTACCCCTCAATCTGGAATGCGGAATTAACATAAAGTGGGTCGAAATTGACACGTTTGGTCAAGTAGTCTGCCAACAAGTAGTGAGAACTAAAGAAAAAATAATTATCAGAACAAAAATTAAGTCCTTACTTTGAATTTGAGTTATCGATAATCTGAGAATTCACCGCAACTTCAGTCTTTCCGAACTGTTTGCTAGCAAAGCCATTTGAAGGAATATAATTCTTGTCAAGCTCGATTGTGAAATGAATCGCAATTTTATTTTTCACAAGGAAAAGATTCGGATCGGCGTCAAACTTAAAGCTAAGCCTTCCGGTCAAGCTGTCCTCTTCTCTTGGATAATGCCGTTTAACAACTTTTTGGTCGTAGTACTCAACTTCTGTCATGATTTCAGTCTAAAAAGAGCAAAAAGTTAGACAATTATATCACCAATTTTAGTCACCAGAGTTGAGAAAGTTTGAAAAGAAGTAATTGATCGTTAACAGTAAAGGAATGAGTAAAGAGAGAAGAAAGTTTCTGTCGTGAATAAAGAGAACGGAAAATAACGAAGAAGCAAACATAAAAACCACAATAAAATGACGAGTCTGACTGGGTTCTTTTATAAAAAAAGGTTTCTTTATCACCAAAAAAGTCAAAAAGCTGCGTAGGATATTTTTTAAGGCCTAAACTATCAAATATTTCAATTTTACTCTTTATAATTCGTAATGAGATCCAGTGAGAGCCTTTTGAAATTTCAGGCGATAAGTTGACAACAATAAAAGAAGGAAAATTTTCAATTTTGGGTAAAGTATCAATGGAGTAAACACCTTGAAAATGTTCAACTCGTTCTAAACGTTTCGCAATTAGGTATGAGTTCATGCTTTTTTCTTTTTCGATGATTTCTTTGATTTTTTCAAATCTTTTGTTGTTTGATTTCGTTTTTTCTTTGTTTTGGTATTTGGATGTTTTCGACCTGGTGTTAGCTTGAGTTTTGTTGGACCGTTTTTTGACTTTCGTTTGCCCGCGCCGGATTGAGATTTTGGAAACCATTTTTTTGGACGATTTTCAAGCGAGGCAATGATTGTTTTCATTCTCTTGTTGTGATAAGTATCTGGAGTGAAAAGTGTTGAATGATGTGTTGACTGCCTAAGTCGATTGAAAATCGTGTATCCCGCCAGTTATATATGTTTAAAGGGAAGGTAACGGAGCGTTGGTCGGAGAAATGGCACCACCTGTCGTTTGGACGGATTTGACCCATCATCAGCGTATTCGGTTCTCCATAGCAAGAAGCAATTGAGTTACACGTTATGAAAGCAATGTCCATGTCACGCGGAGTCGTCATCAGATTACAGACAGCGCTTATAATTTGAACATTGTACTCTTGATTTTTTTCAAAGAAAATTTCAGGAACTTTCAGCTCCTTGGTCATTGTCTCGAAAAGATTCAAGATCATCTGCAACGAAGTTAAGCTCAAAGTAGTACTTTATTCCAGGTTGTCTATTTCCTTCTTCGTCTGCAATTTTATACCAAACTACTCCGGCTCGTTGTCTGATATCGATTATGACGTAAATTTTGTCTGTCCAGTTTTGTGTATATCCTTTTTCGAAGATACCCTTCTCTATTTTTACTCGGACAACGTTCCCAATTTTGAGTCTTGGTTTGACTTTCAAATCGAAATCCGGGAAGAGATGAGCGAAGACCTGTGCTCTATTTTCATGTGAGACTTGGCTTGGTGCCATTCCAATGGCTCGATGAGGAGTGGAATTGTAGCCTTTGACTATTTCTGGAAGAACATCGATCCAATTTTTAGTTTTGTTTGATTTCATAAACAGCTCCACTCGTTTTTTGATGGTTTGATTGACTCGTTCTGCCATACTCGCTTTCAATTTTGTTTTGATACTATAGTGATGCATTCCATAGCGATCAAGAATTTTTTTTACATTGACATTGTAGAATTCCAAGCCTTCGTCTGTGATAAGAGAATTAGGCCATTCGAGAAAATCTTGAAATATATCATTGAGAGCGTTAGCAACATCGATTCCTCCTTTTGTTTTTACAGGTCGTGTCCATATAAAGCGAGAGAAGCAATCGATTATAAGTAGAACATAAGCATACTGACGATTTGAAAATTTGAATTTCTTGTATTCAATCAAGTCACCCATAAAAATTTTGAATGGCGAGTCGACTATGATTTTTCTTCTGGGAAATCGTTTTTTAGTTATTCGACGGTGAGTACTATGAGTTTTATTCTGCCTGAGAAACTCCGCTACTTTCGCTGAGAACGCTGGAGCGCTTGCAACGTTTTCGTACAGGGCTTGAATCTGATCCGTCACTGTCTTCTTCTGTTTTTTCAGAGTCGCTTGTTGATTCACTTGATTCTTTACCTGAGCTTGAGCTTGCTGAGGATGTTTCACTTTCGGAGGAAGTTGATGGTCGTCTTCGCTTGGATTTCTTTGTCTTTTTCTTTGATTTCTTCTCGGGGACAGATCTCTTTCGTCGTTTTCTGGTTCTTTTCCTCTCAACCTCCGACTCTGACGAGTCATCTGTAAAGCTGTCACATCTTGTTTTTGCTTTAACCCTTGATGTTTCGATTGTTTTGCACGATGAGTATTTTTCGTCATCTTTCTTCGCTGTTGCTTCGAAAGTATTTTCTCTTTCGATAATGTTGAAGTTTTGCTTGAAATCGTTGAAGGGTACGATGCAAGCCTTCATACCGGTGACTGAGTAGACAACAGGATATTTTGAGAATATATCCGTGTACAGCCGGTAGCTTGAGGCATGACCTCGAGGCGATTGATCAAGAAACATGTAAGGATATGATTTGTTCTTGATATCTTCGGACGCTCTCTTGAACGCTTTTTGCAGCCCAGCTGTATTGCAAACTCTCTTATTGATTGTTCCGTCAAGACAGTTTCGGCAGAGAAACGTTGCGTTACAGTTCAGACGAATGTTACGACCAAATTTTCCAGCAGCATAATTATTTTGAGTCATAATCATAACGTTCAGGCTTCGCTTGCCGCTTGTGACTCGAAAAAGATGATCTATAGCTTGACTTTGAATCGCTTCTTCATAAAGATCATCAAGAACAATCGTTGTATGGGGCATCATCTCATCAATATCATCCTGTGATGGGATACCGACGCGATAGCTAACAGGAATTCCAAGATCATCCCACTGAACGGGTTTTTCTTCAAGGAAACAGGGATAAAAATACAGGACCCGCTTTGTTTTCTTCTGAAACAGATGCCTGTTCAGAAGAACTTGCTTTGCAATATAAGTTTTTCCAGCACCAGATGATCCACTTAGCAATATACGAAAAGGGTATGCAAACTCTTTTTGAGGAAGAATTTCTCCGCTTATCATCGTTGACATTTTCTCTTAATTACGCGATCATATCTTTCACCGCTCCTTTTATTTACAACAATAAACACTGGATCAATAACTTGGCAATGATTTTGTTTTAAAATATTCAAACTTCAAAATGGTTGTAGTAGAGCCAAAAATAAATTTTTCTTTCTTTAAACAATTATGATTATAAAAATAACACTGGTCGTAAACATTGACGCAAGCGAAATTATTGAAAAAAATATTTTAGTTGAAAATAAATAATTCAAAACAGACATCAAAAAGAAGCAACGAATCTTATTCAGCTCTGTGACTTGTTCACCATTATTTTTTCTGAAAAAAAAAAATTATTATACAAGACTCAATCAACGGGACATTTGAAAGCATTCTAGTTTTTCCCCGGTTTTCAAACTTAAGCAGACTCTAGAAAGTTGTTCTTTCACATATCTCAAAATCAGAGATTCAGAAGGTCGGTTAGAAACACAAAAAACAGGTTTTCGTTTAATTTTCGAGAAAACTACGCTTTTTTGATGAAAAGTTAAGTTTTTAAGGTCAATTTATAAACAAGCCTCATATTTTTTCATATACTCATAGTTTTTCCACAGGAAGTCTTTCAAGTTACGCGAAATAGATTTCCGTCATTTTGAGCGAAAAGCGCGACGCCGCGCGCCTCCTTCCCGATACGAACCCTACGCATGCTTATATTTGAAAAGTCTCATCATAGGGTCAGTTTTTGTAAAAAATAACATAAAAGTTTCTAGAAGGCTATTTGAATAACGGTTATCGTAATAAAAAGTTATTTTAATAACAAGTTATTTCAATAACAAGTTATTTGAATAACTTGGTTATTGAAATAACCTTCTAGAAATATTTTGTTATTTTTGACCGTCCTTTGTTTGGATGACTCATGTTTATATTTTATATTTAGTTTACTAATATTTATCATATGTTTGCGTTTAAAATAAATATTTTAACTTGTTTATATATTTCATAAATATTTATAATTATTTACCTTTCTTTGTTTACATTATCTCCATCATTGAAAAAAGCTTATGTACATACTACTGACCTTTTTGCGAACTTGAAAAAAAGGAGGATGCAGAAAATACCTTGCAAAAAAAAGTTGGCAGAGGACTAAGCGTGGCGCCCCGCGGCCCCTTCTAACCCGGTGATTGATTCCGTAACATTTTCGATTGCACCGCGCTATTGGTGCTCTCTTTTTATCAGCACCCCTCCGCCACACTCCTTCGTGAAGAATGAGAGAATTGATAAAATGAATTTTCTTTTTTGAATAATGAGTATGAGAGAATTGGAGTTTTTCGAGAAAGATATGAGAAGAAAAAATGCAATGAGTGAATTTTATCATGCGAAAACTTTCTGAATTGTCGTCTGTTTCTGTGATAATTTATGTTTTATAAAATGCTGACAAAAACAAAATCGATTATTATTACCGTATTATTGGAGCAACAACTTAAAAACTAAGACGACTGCGTAAAAAATTTTGTCGAAATTGAATAAAATTAAAATCGAAATTGATCAAAATTATTTTTTTTAAGAAACATGCCAGTTATAAACAACAGTCAACGAGACAAGCGTGCCTCTTCCTACCGCCGAGCGTTCGGTGGTCAAACCTCCTTCTCTGCCGGAAAAGGCGGTAAGTTTAAGAAAAACAACTAACCCGGGTGAAGAAGGGTGCTTTGGATATTTACATCTGGTTTTAGGTTTAGCTAAGTCGAATTATTATGACCGTGCTCGGAGCATGACAGACTTGAGCGGCATTGGGGCAGCAGTGAAAGGAATCAAAATTTTCTAGTTTCGAGTCGAAAAATAAAAACATGCAGCAGATAGATATAACAACGGTGGCTTAGATTGTTAGTCGAAATCATGAGTTATCATGATAGATAAGATGGTGTCTTCGAAAAGCAAAAGAGTAGAAACGTAGTGAAACTTAGTATTAACAACAAATTTAAATTCCTGTACAGGAGGTGATATTGCAACGATGTCACATGACGATATCCAGCTCATGTACGCTGCCGGTCGACAAATCAACGAAAAAGAAACAATGGGCAATTTGAACAACCGATTCGCCAACTACATCGAAAAAGTCCGCTACCTCGAGGAACAGAACAAAATTCTAGAGCTCAAGATCAAGCAGGCCTCGAAGCGACAGTCGGAAATCGAGAAAAACGAAGAAAAGGGCGATGAAATCAAAAGCTTCAGAATCAACATCGATGATATCACGATGATCAAAGTCAGATTGCAAGTCGAAAGAGACAATTTGAAGGGAGACGCGGTCGAATTGACCCGAAAACTCGAAGACGAAAACGCTCTGCGAAACGACCTGGACGACGAGCTCCAGCGACTCAGAAAAGACGTCGACGATGCAACTATGGTCAGAGTCGATCTTGAGCGAAAAATCGAAACTCTTCGCGAAGAACTCGAATACAACAGAAAAGTGCACTCGGAAGAGATTGAAGACTTGAAGGAGCAGATTGCTTCGCAAGGAATCAACGTCGAAGTCGACGGAATCACGCCGGATATGAACGAAATTCTCAGAGATATTCGAAACGAATACGAGCAGATTGCGATCAAAAACAGGGACGAGGAACGGTTCTCAGATTTTTTTCTTTTTTTTTTTTGACTTGACCGAAAAATGGAAGTGCATTTTTCGACTACCAATAAGATTGCTATATTCGGCTCACCGGCCAATCAAAACCCTCATTTTTCCATCGTCAAAAGTAGCTAGAAAATTGAGAACCATAAGAAAGGCAGAAGAATGGTACAAGAAAAAGTGCGAAGAACTCGAAGAAAAATCACGAAATACTCAAACCGAGCTCGAAAAAGTCAACATGGAAATCAACGAGTACAGAAAACAAGTCACCCAGCTCGAGATGGAGCTTGAATCGCTCAGAGGAACTAACGATTATCTCGAGCGAAATCTTGCCGGTTCTCTTACTCCCTTTGCTTCCAATTACAATGAGTTTTAGATACGGAGAAGCGATCAGAAATCGAAATCAACAGCTACCAGCAGCGGGTTAATCGTCTTCAAGCCGAGTTGGATCGATCTACGGCCGATATGAAGAAGCATTTGGCGGAGTACAAGAACTTGATGAATGTCAAACAATCTCTTGAAAAGGTATGAAACTAAAATTTGCCACAAATCTAGAATTTTCTTTCAAGGAAATCGATACGTACAGAAATCTCCTGGAAGGCGAAGAAGGTAGATTATCTACTCTTGGTTCTGGAACTGTAAGTATTCTTAAATTACTGTAAGCCGTTTCTTTACTGTATTCTTTCAGGACGATAACGAGTCTGATTCAAGTGAGTCTCAAAAAGTCGAAGGAAAATGGTTAAAATTGTCGATTTTATAAAATCAACCAATATCAGTTTCTTTTTTCGATATTGAGTTGGGTATAAAATTTTTAAAAATTTTAACCGGTGATTGAGTGAAAAAACACAGAGTGGTAATTAAAACTAAAGACGCGGGAAAAGCGGAAGCTAAAGAAGAATCTTCTTCAAGGTAGGGCTTACTGTATAAACCAGGGGTAACTGTTTATTGTTAGCGAGGAAGAGACCTCTAGCGACGATGATGACAGCTCTTCCGACGATGATTCATCAGAATAAATCGCCAATGCTGGTTTTAAAACAATTTCTTCGTGCAAAACTGAATGTAACTAACTCTTTCTTTACCTGTACTGATTGCTTCTTCTCATTCACGCTTTCCTAACACCATTAATGTTTCTCATCATTTCCACATTCTAACAAGAGAGTACAACTCAAACAGCATTCTAGTACAAGAAATAAAATACTTTGCAGTCATTGTGTTTCAAAATAAATTGATTTTGCTAAATTCAAAATTTTTCTTAAAAATTTTTAAAAAGAAAAATTAAAAAAAAATTTAAAAAATTTTCAGAAAGAATTTTTTTCCGATTTTCCAGGTTTCCCATGAGTGTCTTTTGCCCGATTGTTTGTGAGTCTATTCGAAATTGCTGGAATGCGTTCTGAGAGGCAGGTATCGAGAGGCAAGGGCGACATGAGAACGGAGCGAGCGATAGGCGATAAGAAGGAGAATCGTCGTCAATAGCAGCGAAACCTTCCCAAGCGCGATCAGTCTATTCAAAATCGAAAGATGGCAAAGACCAAAAGTTCAACTGCGTCAAAGCGCTGTAGAGAGAGAATTTCCAACTTGTTCGACGATCTCAATACCATCATTCAGGTAAGAAATGACACAGCTGTCCAAAATAACGATGATTTCATAGGCAATGACGGGCATGAAAGAATCAAATCGATTCCGGTAAGAAATCTTCATTTTTTTCACTTTTATTTTCGAATTGAAGAATTATCGAGCGAACTCTTGGTCTTCTAAGAAAAGAGCCGATTAGACATCTATCTCAGAAATGACTCTCAAAAAATGCTTTTCAATTTTTCACAATATTTTTTTTGAGAGCATGAGTAGTCGTCTATGTCTTCAAAGGAAAAACTCTCAAATAAGGATGCTTGTGCTTGCTACAGGTAAAAAAAGCTCTGAACTTATGACTTCTATCTCATTTTTTATAGACTGCGAATGAATGGACTTTTCAATGAGCTTCGAAATGAGCTGAAAAAGGAAAATTTCGTGAAGGTCGATAGGTAAGAGTAAAAATCTTGGAAGTCAATGGCTTGAAGAAGTCAAGAATTTGAGTTTTTTTTGAGTCAAACGTCCGATTTCAGGTACAAAATGAGCACAAAAGCGGGACTTTTGCTTGCAACGATTGATGCACTAAAAAAACTGGTCCTTCAAACGCATATTTTCCGCTATAACTTGAACTTTCTTTTGACCAGAAAAACAGGTCTTGATCCAGCGACAATCAGAGCAATCAGTAGCTACGTTTATCTATGCGCTCTCCCAGACAGCAACCCGCACTCTCGAAAACAATGCTTGATATGGTAGATTATGAAAATTGAATTTTGAAATTTGTTCTTATCTTTATTGCAATAAATGAAATCTAAAATCGAATAGATAAATAGTTGTTGTTGATGAATTATTCTAAAAAGGACCTTCTCTTCTACTGGAATCTAATTGGCAATAAGTCTTCCTGGGTACTCTGATGTTCGCGGTTGGCCATGAATTGAGCCCTAAAAATGAGTGGATAGTGACCAACCAAAGCCTTGATTTCCAAACCGACGGAGGAGGCCACGCTTGTAGACGAGGTACCCAATCACGCCAATTGAAATAAGCAGCTTTTCATGGAATTTTTATTTGACCCTTTTTTCTAATCTGCTGATTTTCTTGGTGATTTGTTCTTATGAAAATCCCGTTCCAGAAAAATGATGAATCCAAAGACTCTCCTGTGTCCGCCCAAGTTCGCGACATCGACTCCATCAACATCGATCAAATAAGCTCTAAAAACAATTTTCTCCTTGAAACAAAAAGCTAACTACCCATGAGGCCAATACGGCGAATCGAGTAAAACTTCTGTACCATTTTTCTCGGCATGAAGAATAATCAGCTCATCAATTTTTTCAGCAGCCTATTTGATTTTTCCCCTTTTTTGTAAAGAAGTTTTTCAAACCTTTTTGCTATTCCCAAAAACATGAAGCGGGATCTTAATTTCGCGATCTTCTTTTGAATGAATCGTTAGATACTTTCACATGTTTTCGAGAATTCCATTTTCTAGAGAAACTTACAATGAGATCTTTCGAAAAATTTCCTGACTCTCTGTTACACAAACTGGTCCAGCCACAACGGATAATTCTTGCGCCAGAAGCTTCCTGATCGCCTTTTTTCAGTTTCGAAATTGTGAAATTTTCAGAATCTTTTTTTCTTTCGGAACTTTCCTCGTCAGGAATCTCACTTGTTTTGACCCGCTCGCCATGGTGCCTTGGCGGTAAATGTAGGCCGACACTGATTTCGATTCTCTGTTCCCACTGTTTTTCGCAAGCAGTATACGTCGGATGCTCTGTCTTATCCACAACCACGTGGGTTGTTGTATTATGGGGACTATGAGTACTGTGGATCTTGGAATGATGCGTTGAATGAGCAGTTGCTGGGGTTGGACTAACTGTAGTGTGACTTTTGAGGGTGGAACTTAATGTTGGAGTTGTCGTTGTTGTTTCTTGAGCGAAAATCTCTAGAACAAGTAGAAAACTTGAAATTCTCATTTTGAAATTGAAAATTTCTCTGCGGAAAAAGTTTGAAAGACTCAGATGTCAGAAGCGGAGAAAAGCGGGAACAGTGATTTGTATTGTTTACTTAGGCGAGAAACACGGAGATGCGAAGAAAAGGGTTCGGATAGAGAACTCGTTGAGTAAGGTTTCGATTACTCATCTGCTGGCAATAAATAAGAAAAAGATTTTTAAAAGAAATCTGACGATTCAATACAAAATATTTATTAAAAAGAACAGAATTATGATTTTGCATTCAGTAAGGTGGATAATAGTCGTACGAGTCCGAATCTAGAGAGCCCCATCGATAGGGTACTAGTTTCGCGACTTCAATTGGGCATTGTCCGATCGGTTTTACCAGTCCATTGCTGCAGCATTCCTTCGTCCGTTCATTATAGATACTTGCGGGGCCAGCTCGGGAATTGCAGCACTAGAAATATTTTTTTTTAATTGGAGAAACAGCAAAATTTACAACCTTGGGTATCATCTGACCACGTTTTTTTCCGAAAGCACAATCTGTTTTTGGATCCCATCCAGAAGTTGAGGAAGAAATATTGAAAAAATCATTGAACTGATGAAGACTATCGGCATGCTTTGCGGCAAACATCGCATCGCACTCGCAAACTGCTCGAACGCAAGTTCCAGGTCGATCGCGACACTTTTTTCTGTCAATATTCACATTGTAGTTTTTGATATCATCGATGCAGGATTCACCGTGAATTTCTCGAGCACACTTGAGGCAGTCTCTGTACAACTTACAGGCGTTGTCAAGATCATCAACAGGAGTTCCCTTTCCACGCTTGACGATCACACCGTCATCTAAAGGATAGAAGAGTGTTTGTTTATATTTTAAGTTTTCTCGTTTACCCGATCCTTGAATAAAGCAATTGCAACCATAGTTCCAGTATTTTTCTGGCGTAAAACTCGGATTGTAAAATTGCATCCATCCAACGAGACCTATATTCTCTATTCTATCCTGCCCGAGAAGTTTTCGATAAGGGTCATGTTTCTTCTTGTTTTTCACAGGTCTTTGGATTCCAGCACTGAGGGAAATCAATGTAGCCGACAGAACTTTCATTTCCAAAAAAGGTTATGATTAAAAGCGTGTTAACTATTCTAGGTCAAATTTTATTTTCAAAGAAAACTGATTGATTTTTTGACGGATCTTCATTTATAAAATAAAAACATAAACAGCGGAATGGAGGGCGCACAAGAGTTCAGCTCCTCCACCGTAATTTACGGATCAAGATTATCCTTTCGAATTTTCAAACACAATTTCGAGGGTGAAGAATTTTTTATCATAGAATGGATTCTCAGGGGTCAAAATTTTGAATTTTCGAAAATCTTTTTTTCGAAAAATCTTGACGAGGGGAGGGGGCCATAAATTCTCAAAAAAAACGGTTCGGTGACTACCAGTACAAATTTCGGTACTATCAGCACCAATTTGAAAACTTCGAGTGAAAACGCAAGATTTAAGACGGGATAATAAAAATGTATCTTTCCCAAATCACTAATTTGTCGGAACTAGAGTGGTACTGGCAGTACCAACTGGTACCGGGAGTCTTCCGTTTTCCTCAGATACAACAGAGCGTCATTCTGGATTTTGATAAGCTTCAGCAGGTTGCCCCTTTGGTAGAGGCCATCTGGTATGGTTATTTAATCTTGATCTTTAAATTATAGTTTTCGACTGAACATTTCAATACGACACTTGAAATTGTTAGAACGATGGCTCCAATACGATTCCCGTAATCTTGCGTAAGCGAGCAATTTTATTTTTAGAGCATCGATTTACGAGCGGGATCTTCTGAACGAGTCAATAATTACTGAAACAGCATCCCCGTAAATCTCTCGCGCCGTAAAATAAATATGGCATCATTTGTACAGAATGAATAGGGTAAGTCACTAATTATTAAGCTTCTCTTCTAGCTTAGTAAGGTGGGAGTAAAATACAGCTTTAGAATCTCTAGAAGCTGGGGATCATTTTGACTATTGATAGTGGGGGGTGATCGCGTATTCTGAGGGCATTAAGGTTCCTCTGAAGTCCTAAAATCAGGCCAATTTCAGAAATGCGAATTGCCAGATCTTAGGACTTCAGAGCCTCTGAATCAGAGGTATCTAAATGCCCTTAGGGCACGAGATCACCCCCCCCCCACTATCAATAGTCAAAATGATCCCCAGCTTCAGGAGATTCTAAGACTGTATTATACTCCCACCTTACTTAGCTAGAAAAAAAAGTTTAATTATTAGTGATTTACCCTAAGAATGAATTAAAGGTCCAGAACTTGAGTTCGGCGGTCGGGTTTTCATATAATTCAACTGAGGTCGGCATTTGACTGGTGCTTTCGATGACTAAGTCAAACTTATCTCTTGGCCCGAAGGAATTATGAGCGTCGATTTCAATCTGTCCGGTTATTGAAAAGGACAGAATAGAACAGTTTTTTTGGAGGTCATTTACTTTCGGAGCAAATATTCTTGAGCAAGTCAAACTCATTTGAACTTATTTCCGCCAGCGCATTAATTTTCTTTTCAGTCTTATCGCGTGCTTAGTATAATATTGAAAAGTCGTAAATTTGAATGGATAAGATCAGCAGAGTGATGAATTTTTCATATCGCTTTACGAACAAATGACCCCTCTTTCTCGATGTCGTTGATCAATGATCGTGGCTTAGGGATTAATATCCCGGGATTTCGCATTTTCTCATCTTCATTTTTATTGAGTTTCGAATTTAATCGTCACAATAGGAGACAATAATCGGATAAAATGCAAGTTATGAATCCTTAATAAAGATATTCTAGATAAAGTGTTGCAAAGTCGATGGACTTCTCATTCGATAAAATGCGAATATCAATCTTAAACTTATTTTTTTATTGTGATTCTTTCAAAGTCTCCTATAAAATTCCAGTCGAACAATATCCTGAGCCCCATTCAATCGGTACAAATTTAGAAGAAATCAGTGAAGAGACATACCCTCTGCCAGTCAAAAGAGCCCTGTCTGCTAAGCAATCAGCTGAACAAGATGTGCGCAGGGAAATCTTCGCTGGATATAATCGTTACAGTGCTCCACCACAAGAGCCAGTAGAGGTTGAGGTCTCGGTTGAGCTTGAATTTTTAGCAAAAATTGATTTTCGAAACAGTGCGATGAAATCGCTGATGCTGCTCCATACAAGTTGGCTTGGTAAGTGATATATCGTATTTGCTTTATTATAAAGTTTATGAAATATCCGTATTTTCGAGTTCCTTGATTGAAAGGTTTACAAGAATTCCATGAAACCAAATTGATGATTAGGGTAAGGGTGTCAAGGTCGATTTTAGGCTAGCTTATTAACCGGTCTAAGATTCTTTCTACTCACATTATTAGGGGGGTATTTTTCCGGAACGCCGAAGTTTTATTATAAAAATCTTTATGAAAGAATTGTTCTATAGGAGACAAGCTTAAGAATCGCTTAAATTGGTTAAGGGGGTGTTGGTCGAGAACTATAAAATGATTTTTAATTTTCAACCATAACTTACAGTTATTCAATAAAAAACAATTCTTCAACAGATTCTCAATTCTTAAGAGGTAGATATCAAGAATCGGGATTTTCTGGCACGAACTAAAATAGGGAAGTTATAAGCTAGGAAGTGACAGCGTAGGAGCGAACAAGAAAGTATCATACACGAAAGGATCAAATAAGAAAGTATCATACATGAAAGTATCAAATTAAATAGGATCATGCATTAAAGGATCGAATTTTTTTGGAACCAATAAGATTGCCGTATAAGGCCTACCGGCCTATAAGAAACCCATCCTCAATCATTTTCAAATGTATGCCCGATCCAATCTTCCACGATACTGGCTTGGATCTTCCATTATAATTTGATCCTTTCGTGTATGATACTTTCTTGTTCGCTCCTACGCTGTCACTTCCTAGCTTATTACTTCCTTATTTTGGTTCGGCCCGATTTTCTGGCAGACTTTTCTCCCAATCCTAACATAGTGACCGATGATTTTTTTTTGTTTTAATAAAGAGTTGAGGCCCTTATCTCGTGCCTATGGGAGGCCGATTTTTTAATTTCCAGAAAAAAATCGTAAAAAATGGCGTTGAAAACTCGGAAATCGCTAAAAATGACCATTTTCTTGGCAGACTTTCCTCGAAACCCTTATATAGGGCGGAATTTATTTTCTTCTGAGAAGTAAGATAAGACCCTTGTCTAGATCCTATGGAGGCCAGAATTTAAAATTTCAAAAATTTTTTTAACAAAAAAATCGATTTCCTGTTTTTCACGATTTTCAACGAAAATATATAATTTTGAATTTTTATTCAGTAGTATTAAAATCATTCTATAAATGTTCCCAGGGGTTTCTGTTAATGTTTTTTGGACGAAAACTAAGTAATAACTTATCTAATTACTAATAATTGGTCGATCTATCATAAAATGTGCAAATTTTCGAGATTTTAGAGGCGATTTTGTGAAAAATCACGTGGTCCAATCGAAAAATTTTTGCTTACAAGTTTTCTCCTTGACCTCGGAACTATACGTAGAAAAAGTTTGAGGCGAAAAAATGGAAAATTTTTTTTGATATCTACCTCCTTAAGGAGGTAGTACCCGGTTTTAAGAAAATCGGAATTTTCTTAACATATTTGGAAAGCCCGATAAACTTAAAACCTTGTGCTGATCATTTTATCTAAATATACGAGGATAGCCCCAAAAACCGCCGGTTGAAAAGTTAATTTGAGATGAAAAATCTCAAAAACTGTTGATTTTTGTCTTTTTTATCCAAAGTTATAGCTTTATTTCGAGATGACCTCGAGATTATGTGAATAGTTTTTCAAAAGTCTTTAATAAAGATTTTTAAAGATCAATCTTCTCTAAAAATAGATTGTCAGTGTTGACCTCTCATAATGATTTGATCCGTAATTTATTTGGGGTACGCGTTTCGGCGACTATTGTGCCTTCATCAGCCCCTAGTACAGATATAAATTTCACAGCTCAGAAAAAAGAAAGAATACTCTCACCTAGAGTTGGACAATTTCGAATGAGATTGAAAGTTGAAAACAAAAGATGAAAACTCGCTTTCGCGGCAGATGTAATGGAGCGCCAGAGAAAGCGAGTTTCACTTTCGAGCGGTTTTCACTGGTGCGAGGTGCGACAGTATTGGCCGCAGAATGCGTGCTATTCTCAAGAAAGTAACTCCAAAATTCTTTCTAAGACTCTGTTGGAAAACAGTGAGAATAGAACAATGTCTGCATCCAACCTGGAAGCGTCCGGTCCCGATTGAGCAAAAGAGTGGGGTCGTTTACCACTATAAATGCCCTTGTGGCAAAAATGATTATCAGGGTGAAACAAAGAGGCAGCTTGGAACAAGAATTCAGGAGCATTTTGAGCCCAGATATCGTAGCCCTATGTTCTTCCATACTTTGAGGTGTCCAAAATTCAGGGAACTTTTTGACACATATTTAAATGAGCCAGACACTCCTAAATACAAACGACTTCTAGAGCTAGAATCAAAACCAATTTCTGCTTCAAACACAAACTCGTTTCTGTTATCTCCAATCAACCGTACTACAAAGACCGTTTTCTTTGTGAAGCGTTTGCAATGAAATTAAGGGGGTGGTGGTCGAGAAATTTTTTTTCGGCTTTTAAAAATTTTGATATTATTTTTAGATTCCTTGATAAAAAAGGAACATATTTGGTCTCTAGCTTTTTTTGATTGGACCAACTTTATTTAAGAAAATTCTCGATTTTATGCTATGAAATCGCCATTTTCGGGAATTTTGAAACGCTTTTTTCGTACGAAGACTAATTTTAAATTGATTTTTTATTGCGAAGTAATGGTTTTTGATCATATTTTTATTATAAAAATCTAAAAAATTATAAATGATAAGGGGATAGAGTTTTTTAGGTCAAGAGATGGGTCGACTTTGAAGAAATTTTTCATCATTTTTTCCGAAAAAATATTTTTTTCAAATATAGCCGCCCACATTAATTGGACCCTTTTTAACTTATTTTTAATTATAGAAAAAAAAATTTTTTTGAAAAAATTTGAGTTTTTTAGGTAGAAAAAAGTCTTAGTCTCGACCACCACCCCCTTAAAA